CTCCAACGACAACAACCAGTACAACAATAAGCAGCACAACTGTTCCTACAACAACAACCAGTACAACCAGTACAACCACAGCTCCAACAACTAGTACAACAGCTACTCCAACGACTGCTTCAACAAAGACAAGTAGCACTACTGATCCAACAACAAGTAGCACAACTGCTCCAACAACAACAACAAGTAGCACTACTGCTCCAACAACAACAACAACAAGTAGCACAACTGTTGCAACAACAACAAGTAGCATTACTGCTCCAACAACAACAAGTAGCACAACTGTTCCAACAACAACAACAAGTAGCACAACTGCTCCAACAACAAGAAGCACAACTGCTCCAACAACAACAAGTAGTACAACTGCTCAAACAACAACAAGTAACACTACTGCTTCAACAACAAGTAGCACAACTGCTTTAACAACAACAAGTAGCACAACTGCTCCAACAACAACAAGTAGCACAACTGCTCCAACAACAACAAGTAGTACTACTGCCCCGATATCGACAACAACTAGTACAACAATTGCTCCGACAACAACAAGTACAACAGCCACTCCAGCAACAACAAGTAGCACAACTACTTCTACAACAAGTAGCACAACTGCCTCAACAACAAATAGCACAACTGCTTCAACAACAAGTATTACAACTGTTTCAACAACAAGTAGCACTACTGCTTCCACAACAAGCAGCACAGCCGCACCAAAATCAACAAGCAGCACTACTGCTTCAACAACAAGGAGCACAACTCCTCCAACAACAACAAGTAGCACAACTCTTTTAGCTACAAGAACCAATTCAACAACAGAAAATAGGACAACTGCTGCCTCAACACCAACAGCCAGTGCAACGACCTTGCCAATGAGTAGTTCTACTTCCAGCAAGCCTGCTGGCAGTACAAAAACAACCGTTAATAAAATTTCGACAACATCGACAACAACCACCACCCCAGTTCCGGATACGTCCTCGAATAGAGCTTCAACCACGTCGGCTACCTCTTCAGTGGATTCAACTTCAACAACGTTATTAACAACGCCAATCACTATTGGACTAACTTCTTCCTCAGCCGTGCCACAATCTACAACAACCACAGCAACAACAACCATCGCCATCCCAGTATCTCAGATTTTTCATGGAAGAATGACCTTTGATGCAGTATTCATTTCTGCCTACAATGATACGTCATCGCAAGAATATCTTACATTCAAAAATACAACGGAAAAACAAGTAAGAACCACATCGATACGTTGCTCCAACGACAGTTTTAAACAATGTATTCTGCAATGCCGACAAAACTGAAAAACATATATTCTAATTTCTTATATTGACCCATCTTAAATGAATATCAAAGTCCAAAATTCATCTTAGTCTGCTGTAAGGCCACATTCAGAACAGCGAACTAACTAATCCGCGGATCAAATATGGCGACCCACTTTAAGGCTTGACGTCAAATTCCCTAATAGACGCTGTATACATTTCCTGCGGGGATTAAGAAACAAGCATTCAAGTGGGTGAGCCATATTTGATCCGCGGACTGGTTAGTCCGCTGTTCTGAATGCAGCCTTAGAGATTCAATAACTCCAGTGTTTAACAATTAAGTAATTTGAACTATTTTGCACTAAATTTTTCTTACAATTTCCAGCTGAAGGACATATACCAACCCCTATCTCCCCAGTCTGTCACGATCACCAGGTTAAGGTAAATGCTAATCGCATGATTTATCTATCATTGGAAATTTCGGGTTAAATGTAGTTTAATCTCACAAAGGCTCCAGCTCCACGTATAATCATGCATAACAGATGTTTACTAACAGCAAGTCATTAACATGTTCAGCTCAGCAGCAATCTATCAAATAAGAAAACTAATGTTGATACTACACATCAACATCAAATCAACGTGATATATATGATTTCAGCCCAGGTAGTATCAAGGTTGAATACGAGCTGATACTGAGTCCATCAACAATCCGGCGCACTGCAGAGCAGGTTCAGCAAGTGTTTGAACAGGGCACAAAGGCCGGAATCATGGGGAACTATGCAATTGTTGGAGGCTCCATCAATGTGACTGGTGAGTTATAAGTTTGGCACAGTTTTTAAGTCCTCTTGACTACAAAGATAAGGTTATATGACAATCAAAATATATGCTTTCCGCCCAGACTCATTCTGAATATATAGGTCCATTTAACATTTAAAAAATTATTCGAAGTAAGCGAGATGAAGATTTGTTTTTTTTTTCAACTGGAATTTTACTGACATAAGTATAGCACCTTAAATCACTAAAAATTAATTACTTGATTTATCTGTTCTCACATAAAAAACGTAAACGGACTAATTATCAACTTTCGTTACTATCGTTCACAGTATCATCTCAAATTCTCCAATCGATCTTGTTTATTTTCACTAAATGTTAATTTAAGATAACAAATAGCCAAACAGCCTGCAGTTATTTTAGCGGTGTGGCCGGGTTTTTAAAAAATTGAAAAAACTTTTCGTTGTGTCTTATTATATGGTTGTCAAAAATAAATAAATAAATAAATAAATAACAGATTAAAAGACTGCAGCGTGTTCAGAACATCTCAGCTAGATTATTAACCCGTACATCCATGAGTAATCATATCACCCCAGTTTTAAAAGAGTTACATTGCCTACCTTTGCAAGCCATGGTTTTATTTAAATTTCTAGTCTTTGTTCATGATGTTTTTAACAAAGTTGCACCGATCTACTTAAGTGAATTAGTCACTCACTATGTTTCAGCAAGAAACCTGCGGTCTGCAGACAAATTGTTACTTAAGCCGGTAAAAATGCGCCTAAATACTTTTGGTGACATTTCTTTTAAATCAGCAGGTCCAAAGGAATGGAATTTATTACCACTGGTAATCCGATCAATTGAGTCTACCAAGCATTTTAAAAAAGAATTGAAGACATACCTATTCAGGAATTTTTTGACTAATCGACTTTTGAATTGATTTTACAAATTTTATAGTAATTGCATCTGTGCACTGTAAGAAATAAGACTGTTCTACTTATAATTTTTTTAGGTGTGCAAATACGGCTGTTTTTTTACCTAGAATTTTTCTTAACAAACATATTTTAATTATGTAATGTAAGTGCTTTTATGTGAGAATCCGTATGTTTTATCTAGAATACTCAATTTTTTTGTCGTTAAGCTCTGAAATTTTTTATTAATCTATTCCTAATAATTGATTTCTTCTGGACATTTTATAATGGATTTTAGACTCAAAATAAATTTATTATTATTATTATTATTATTATTATTATTATTATTATTTTAGCTCAGATCGTCAAGTTTAGTTGCTTGTGTTTTTCATATAATTATTTAAAAAACTTTCGTTACCAAAACATTGTTTGCTGAAAACGAAAACTCCCCGCACTAGCAAGGCATGATCATGAATTTTAAAAAAAAATCCATGATTTTCGCAGAAAAATAGATTTACCACTCCCAGTCACAAGAGTTTTAGAAAAAAGTAGAATCCCCAAATGTATCTTTAACCCAATTTTTCACTTTTCTGTTTTTATCTTCAAATGGACCTACTACGNCAGTACAACCACAGCTCCAAGAACTAGTACAACAGCTACTCCAACGACTGCTTCAAGAAAAACAAGTAGCACTACTGCTCCAACAACAACAACAAGTAGCACAACTGTTGCAACAACAACAAGTAGCACTACTGCTCCAACAACAACAAGTAGCACAACTATTCCAACAACAACAACAAGTAGCACAACTGCTCCAACAACAAGAAGCACAACTGCTCCAACAACAACAAGTAATACAACTGCTCAAACAACAACAAGTAACACTACTGCTTCAACAACAAGTAGCACAGCTGCTTTAACAACAACAAGTAGCACAACTGCTCCAACAACAACAAGTAGCACAACTGCTCCAACAACAACAAGTAGTACTACTGCCCCGATATCGACAACAACTAGTACAACAATTGCTCCAACAACAACAAGTACAACAGCCACTCCAGCAACAACAAGAAGCACAACTACTTCTACAACAAGTAGCACAACTGCCTCAACAACAAGTAGCACAACTGCTTCAACAACAAATATTACAACTGTTCCAACAACAAGTAGCACTACTGCTTCCACAACAAGCAGCACAGCCGCACCAAAAACAACAAGCAGCACTAATGCTTCAACAACAAGCAGCACAGATGCTACAACAACAACAAGTGGCACAACTTCTTCTACAACAAGGAGCACAACTCCTCCAACAACAACAAGTAGCACAACTCTTTTAGCAACAAGAACCAATTCAACAACAGAAAATAGGACAACTGCTGCCTCAACACCAACAGCCAGTGCAACGGCCTTGCCAATGAGTAGTTCTACTTCCAGCAAGCCTGCTGGCAGTACAAAAACAACCGTTAATAAAATTTCGACAACATCGACAACAACCACCACCCCAGTTCCGGATACGTCCTCGAATAGAGCTTCAACCACGTCGGCTACCTCTTCAGTGGATTCAACTTCAACAACGTTATTGACAACGCCAAGCACTATTGGACTAACTTCCTCCTCAGCCGTGCCACAATCTACAACAACCACAGCAACAGTTGTTACAACAACCATCGCCATCCCAGGATCTCAGATTTTTCATGGAAGAATGACCCTTGATGCAGTATTCATTTCTGCCTACAATGATACGTCATCGCAAGAATATCTTACATTCAAAAATACAACGGAAAAACAAGTAAGAACCACATCGATACGTTGCTCCAACGAAAGTTTAAAACAATGTATTCTGCAATGCCGACAAAACTGAAAAACATATATTTTAATTTCTTATATTGACCCATCTTAAATGAATATCAAAGTCCAAAATTCATCTTAGTCTGCTGTAAGGCCACATTCAGAACAGCGAACTAACTAATCCGCGGGTCAAATATGGCGACCCACTTTAAGGCTTGACGTCAAATTCCCTAATAGACGCTGTATACATCTCCTGCGGGGATTAAGAAACAAGCATTCAAGTGGGTGAGCCATATTTGATCCGCGGACTGGTTAGTCCGCTGTTCTGAATGCAGCCTTAGAGATTCAATAACTCCAGTATTTAACAATAAAGTAATTTGAACTATTTTGCACTAAATTTTTCTTACAATTTCCAGCTGAAGGATATATACCAACCCCTATCTCCCCAGTCTGTCACGATCACCAGGTTAAGGTAAATGCTAATCGCATGATTTATCTACCATTGGAAAATTCGGGTTAAATGTAGTTTAATCTCATAAAGGCTCCAGCTCCACGTATATTCATGCATAGCAGATGTTTACTAACAGCAAGTCATTAACATGTTCAGCTCATCAGCAATCTATCAAATAAGAAAACTAATGTTGATACTACACATCAACATCAAATCAACGTGATATATATGATTTCAGCCCAGGTAGTATCAAGGTTGAATACGAGATGACACTGAGTCCATCAACAATCCAGCGCACTGCAGAGCAGGTTCAGCAAGTGTTTGAACAGGGCACAAAGGCCGGAATCATGGGGAGCTATGCAATTGTTGGAGGCTCCATCAATGTGACTGGTGAGTTATAAGTTTGGCACAGTTTTTAAGTCCTCTTGACTACAAAGATAAGGTTATATGACAATCAAAATATATGCTTTCCGCCCAGACTCATTCTGAATATATAGGTCCATTTAACATAAAAAAATTATTCGAAGTAAGCGAGATGAAGATTTGTTTTTTTTTTCAACTGGAACTTTACTGACATAAGTATAGCACCTTAAATCACTAAAAAATAATTACTAGATTTATCTGTTCTCACATAAAAAACGTAAACGGACTAATTATCAACTTTCGTTACTATCGTTCTCAGTATCATCTCAAATTCTCCAATCGATCTTGTTTATTTTCACTAAAGTAGAAAATCTGCAACTTGTCAGCAGGAGTCTAACGTCTCAGAAAATGTCTACAATGTTAATTTAAGATAACAAATAGCCAAATAGCCTGCAGTTATTTTAGCGGTGTGGCCGGGTTTTTAAAAAATTGAAAAAACTTTTCGTTGCGTCTTTTTATATGGTTGTCAAAAAAAAAAAAAAAAAAAAAACAGATTAAAAGACTGCAGCGTGTTCAGAACATCTTAGCTAGAATATTAACCCGTACATCCATGAGTAATCATATCACCCCAGTTTTAAAAGAGTTACATTGCGTACCTTTGCAAGCCATGGTTTTATTTAAATTTCTAGTCTTTGTTCATGATGCTTTTAACAAAGTTGCACCGATCTACTTAAGTGAATTAGTCACTCACTATGTTTCAGCAAGAAACCTGCGGTCTGTAGACAAATTGTTACTTAAGCCGGTAAAAATGCGCCTTAATACTTTTGGTGACATTTCTTTTAAATCAGCAGGTCCAAAGGAATGGAATTTATTACCACTGGTAATCCGATCAATTGAGTCTACCAAGCATTTTAAAAGAACTGAAGACATACCTATTCAGGAATTTTTTTACTAATCGACTTTTAAATTGATTTTACAAATTTTATAGTAATTGCATCTGTGCACTGTAAGAAATAAGACTGTTCTACTTATAATTTTTTTCTGTGTGCAAATACGGCTGTTTTTTTACCTAGAATTTTTTCTTAACAAACATATTTTAATTATGTAATGTAAGTGCTTTTATGTGAGAATCCGTATGTTTTATCTGGAATACTCAATTTTTTTGTCGTTAAGCTCTGAAATTTTTTATTCATCTATTCCTAATAATTGATTTCTTCTGGACATGTTATAATGGATTTTAGACTCAAAACAAATTTATTATTATTATTATTATTATTTTAGCTCAGATCGTCAAGTTTAGTCGCTTGGGTTTTTCATATAATTATTTAAAAAACTTTCGTTACCAAAACATTGTTTGCTGAATACGAAAACTCCCCGCACTAGCAAGGCATGATCATGAATTAAAAAAAAATTCCATGATTTTCGCAGAAAAATAGATTTACCACTCCCAGTCACAAGAGTTAGAAAAAAGTAGAATCCCCAAATGTATCTTTAACCCAATTTTTCACTTTTCTGTTTTTATCTTCAAATGGACCTACTACATATTGTGGATGATTGTCAGCAATTTTTTTATCAAACTATTCCAGAAGCCACAGCTACATCTACAACTGCGACAACAGTGCCTACATCATCTACGGTTTCTTCCACTAAAGGGTCTTCACCAAGTACAGCATCTTCAACATTGTCTACGGTATCAACTACTGTAACCTCTACACCAATAACATCATCTAAAACATTGTCTACGGTGTCAACTACTGTAACTTCTACACCAATAACATCATCTACCATATTGTCTACGGTGTCAACTACTGGGTCTCCTACGCCAAGTACAGCTTTTACAACACCGTCTACTTTGTCTTCTACTGCATCTCCTACACCAAGCACAGCATCTACAACATCGTCTACTGTGACAACTACTGGATCCTCTACACCAAGCACAGCATCTACAACATCGTCTACTATGACAACTACTGGATCCTCTACACCAAGCACAGCGTTTACAACATCGTCTGCTGTGACAACTACTGGATCCTCTACACCAAGCACAGCATCTACAGCATCGTCTACGATGACAACTACTGGATCCTCTACATCAAGCACAGCGTCTACAACATCGTCTACTATGACAACAAATGGATCTTCTACACCAAGCACAGCATCTACAACATCCTCTACGATGACAACTACTGGATCCTCTACACCAAGCACAGCGTCTACAACATCGTCTACTTTGACAACTACTGGATCCTCTACACCAAGCACAGCGTCTACAACATCGTCTACTATGACAACTACTGGATCCTCTACACCAAGCACAGCGTCTACTACGTCGTCTACTATGACAACTACTGGATCCTCTACACCAAGCACAGCGTCTACAACATCGTCTACTGTGACAACTAATGGATCTTCTACACCAAGAACGGCATCTACATTATCATCTTTTGTGTCAAGAACAACGATGCCATCAACCGAAGCTCAGAATGCAACAACAACCATGACTATGCCATCAACTGTAGTGCAGAATGCAACATCAACCACGACTATGCCATCGACTGTAGCAGAGAATGTCACAATGTCAACATCATCGACACCATTGTCTACTACTGGATCATCTACACCAAGTTCAGCATCTACAACATCGTCTTTTGTGTCAAGAACAACGATGCCATCAACCGAAGCTCAGAATGCAACAACAACCACGACTATGCCATCAACTGTAGCACAGAATGCAACATCAACCACGACTATGACATCAACTGTAGCACAGAATGTCACAATGTCAACATCATCGACACCTTTGTCTACTACTGGATCATCTTCACCATCATCTGCTACTGGATCTACGTCGACAACTGTGTCCACTGTGTCTACGACTGCGGCTTCTAAACCAAGTACAACATCGACAACAGTATCTGCTGTGTCTACTACTGGAGAGTCTACATCAACTTTTTCAACCACTGGGGGATCAACACCAAGTACTGCATCTACCACTTTGTCTGCTGTATCTACTACTGGAGCTTCTACAGGAAGCACAGCGTCTACAACTTTATCTATTGTGTCTACTACATCTACTAGAGCAACGACATCGACTGAAGCTAAGAACGCAACATCATCTCCAACTATGGCATCAACTGTAGCCCAAAACACAACAGCTTCGACTACATCTTCCACTGCGGCTACCACTGCGGGTACCACTCCAAGTGCAGCAACTTCGAGTTCTACAGTGTCAACAACTGTGACTACACAGGCACCAACTACAACCACACTTGGACCACCTCAGACATTTAGAGGGAAGATTAAAGTCGACCTAGTTTTCTATCCTGTCTACTTAAATAATCTCACAGAGGCTTACGCCGGTCTTGTGTACGGTATGAGGGTACATGTAAGTATCTGGGCATTTTCTTTTCATGGAGAAAGTAATGACTGTCACTGAAAATCGAACTTTTTAATATCAGGAAGATGATAATTTATAGTGTTGATGTTTTATTGTCTAACAGATGTCGACAAACATTTTAATGTTTTTGTTTTCCTCATATTGTATTCTTTCAGCTTTTGGAGATCTACAAACCTTTAAACCCAACAGATGTTCATATCATAAATTTAAGGTAAGATAAGTTGATATGAGTTTATATTTCAATGTTTTTCTAAATGAAAGCATTAAGGCTCACCAGCATTGAATAGTTACTTGAGAAATATTATCCTTGCTTATATTAAATTACCTTTTAGCTGTGATGGTGAAACTGTTTTTCTTTCAAAAATAACATGAATGAATTATATTCATATGTATTCCAGCAATGGTAGTATTATCGTTGTGTATGACGTAACTTTCGCCCCTACTTCAACACCCATCACCCCACAGCAGGTGCGACAGGTGTTTGACCAAGGGACATCAGACGGCTTAATAGGAACACATCGATTTGAAAGGGAATCTTTTGTAATATTCGGTAAATATAATCTTTATCTTATTTTATCTTAGATATATAAGCTAAATAAGGATTCAATATAATTTTATTAACTAAATTAGCTTGTTTTTACCGAGTGAAACATGTTTTATTTCAGAAACAACACCAGGTACCGTATCTTCTACAACAACACGTGTTCTGACTACAACTGCAACGACAAATACAACGCCCACTCCAACCACTGTAACGACTACATTGCCAGCCACCACAGTGGCGTTAACTGCAGCCCAAAACACCACAGCGTCTGCAAGTACGCCATCAACTGTGGCGCAGAACACAATGTTAACCACTACCATGCCATCAACTGTAGCTCAGAATGCAACATTAACTACAAAAATACCATCAACTGTAGGTCACACTGCAACATCAAACACAACTATGGCGTCAACTCTAGCTCAGAATTTAACATCCACCACGACTTTGGCATCAACTGTAGCTCAGAATGCAACAGTCACGACTAATGCAATGACTAAAGCTCAGAATGTGACGTCAACCACGACTATGCCATCAACTTTAGTTCAGAATGTAACATCAGCCACGACTTTGCCATCAACTGTAGCTCAGAATGCAACATCAGACACGACTTTGCCATCAACTGTAGCTCAGAATGCAACATCAACCACGATTGTGGCATCAACTGTTTCTCAGAATGCAACAACCACAGCTATGCCATCAACCATTGCTCATAATATAACATCTACCACGACTATTCCGTCAAGTGTAACTCAAAATGCAACACTAACTACGATTATGGCATCAACTGTAGCTCAGAATGCAACATCGACCACTATTATGGCATCAACTGTTTCTCAGAATGCAACAACCACAGCTATGCCATCAACATTTGCTCATAATACAACATCAGCCACGACTATGCCATCAACTCTAGCTCAGAATGCAACATCAACCACGACTATGGCATCAACTGTAGCTCCAAATGCAACAACAACCACGACTATAGCATCAACTGTTACTCAAAATGCAACATCAGCCACGACTATGGCATCAACGGAAGTTCAGAATAAAACATCAACCACGACTTTGCCATCAACTGTAGCTCAAAATGCAACATCAACAACAACTGTTGCATCAACTGTAGCTCAAAATGCAACATCAACCACTTTTATGGCATCAACTGTTTCTCAGAATGCATCAACCACGACTATGGCATCAACTGTTTCTCAGAATGCATCAACCACGACTATGGCATCAACTGTAGCTCACAATGTAACATCACCCACGGCTATGGCATCAACTGTAGCTCAGAATGCAACATCAACCACGACTACGGCATCAACTGTAGCTCAAAATGCAACATCAGCCACGACTTTGGCATCAACTGAAGCTCAGAATGAAACATCAACCATGACAATGCCATCAACTGTAGCTCAGAATGAAACATCAACCACGACTATGGCATCAACTGTAGCTAGAAATGAAACATCAACCACGACTTTGCCATCAACTGTAGCTCAGAATGCAACATCAACCACAACTGTTGCATCAACTGTAGCTCAAAATGCAACATCAACCACTTTTATGGCATCAACTGTTTCTCGGAATGCATCACCCACGACTGTGGCATCAACTGTTTCTCAGAATGCATCAACCACGACTATGGCATCAACTGTAGCTCATAATACAACATCAACCACGACTATGCCATCAACTGTAGCTCATAATGCAACATCAACCACGACTACGGCATCAACTGTAGCTCAAAATGCGACATCAGCCACGACTTTGGCATCAACTGAAGCTCAGAATGAAACATCATCCACGACAATGCCATCAACTGTAGCTCAGAATGCAACATCAACAACAACTGTTGCATCAACTGTAGCTCAGAATGCAACATCAACCACGACTATGGCATCAACTGTAGCTCAAAATGCAACATCAGCCACGACTGTGTTGTCAACTGTAGCTCAAAATGCAACAACAACCACGACTATGGCATCAACTGTTTCTCAGAATGCATCAACCACGACTGTGGCATCAACAGTTTCTCAGAATGCATCAGCCACGACTATGGCATCAACTGTAGCTCAGAATGCAACAACAACCACGACTATGGCATCAACTGTAGCGCAGAATGAAACATCAACCACGACAATGGCATCAACTGTTTTTGAGAATGCAACATCAACCACGACTGTGTCGTCAACTGTAGCTCAAAATGCAACAACAACCACGATTAGGGCATCAACTGAAGCTCAGAATGAAACATCATCCACGACTTTGGCATCAACTGTAGCTCAGAATGCAACATCAACCACGACTATGGCATCAACCATTGCTCAAAATGCAACATCAACAACGACTTTATCATCAACCGTATCTCAGAATGTAACATCCAGCGCAACTGTGCAATCAACTGCAGCGCACAATGTAACATCAACCACGAATTTGCCATCAACTGTAGCTCAGAATGCAACATCGACCACGATTCTGGCATCAACTGTGCCATCAACATCAACCACGACTGTGCCATCAACTGTAGCTCAGAATGCAACATCGACCACGATTCTGGCATCAACTGTTTCTCAGAATGCAACAACCACAACTTTGCCATCAACCGTTGCTAATAATTCAACATCAACTATGACTATTCCATCAACTGTAGCTCAAAATGCAACATCCGCCACTTCTATGCTATCAACTGTGACCCAAAATGAAACATCAGCCACGACTAAAGCGTCAACTGTAGCTCAGAATGTAACATCAGCCACAACTATGCCATCAACTATAGTTCAGAACGTAACATCAGCCACGACTATAGCTTCAACTGTAGCTCAGAATGTAACATCAGCCACGACTGTAGCATCAACTGTAGCTCAAAATGCAACATCAACCATGACTATGGCATCAACTGTATTTCAGAATGTAACAACAACCACGGCTATTCCACCAACTGAAGCTCAGAATGCAACTACCGCGACTATGCCATCAACTGTTGCTCAGAATGCAACAATCACAATGAAGACATCAACTCTTGCTCCAAATGCAACATCAACTACGGCAATGCCATCAACTGGAGCTGATAATACAATATCAAGCACGACTATGTCATCAACTGTTGCTCAAAATGTAACATCAGGCACGACTGTGGGATCAACTGCTGCTGAAAATGCAACATCCACTGCTACTGTGCCATCAACTGCAGCTCAGAATGCAACAACAACCACCACTTTGTCAACAACTGTCGCTCAAAATGTGACATCAACTACAACTATGATATTTACTATTCCTCACAATGAAACTTCAACCACAGCATTGACTTCGACTTTATCTCATAATGCAACATCAACCACGGCAATGACATCAACTGAAGCTCAGGACACAACATCAACAACGATTATGCCATCAACTGTAGCCCAGAATGTAACATCAACCACGACTTTACCAACAACTGTGGCTCAAAATGTAACATCAACCACGGTAATGCCATCAACTGAAACTCACAACACTACATCAGCAACTATTATGCCATCAACTGTAGCTCAGAATGTAACATCAACCACTGTAATGCCATCAACCGAAGCTCAGAACACTACATCAACAACTACTATGCCATCAACTGTAGCCCAGAATGTAACATCAACTACGACTTTGGGATCAACTGTGGCTCAGAATGTAACATCCGCAACGACTGTGCCTTCAACTGTAGCCCAGAATGTAACATCAACCACGACTGTGCCATCAACCGTAGCTCAAAATACAACAACAACCACAACTGTGCCATCAACTGTGGCCCAAAATGCAACATCAGCCACTACTATGGCATCAACTGTTGAACAGAATGCAACATCAACTACAACCATGCCATCAACGGTGGCAGAGAATGCAACAGTGTCTACAGGATCGACACCGTCTAGTACTGGATCTTCTACAGTTAGCACAGCTCCCACCACAGTGTCTACTATTTCCACTACTATAACTTCTACATCGAGCACAGCATCTACAACATCGCCTACTGTGTCTACTACCATAACTTCTACATCGACTACAGCACCCAAAACAACATCAACAGTGTCCACAACAGTGACAACTTCATTACCAACTACTTCCTCGACTCCTTCAATTTCGATAACGACAGCTGCAGGTTCGACAAAAGTAGACCAAACCTCGACTACAGAAAGTCCAGTGTCCACAACAGTGACAACTCCATTACCAACTACTTCCTCGACTCCTTCCATTTCCTTAACGACAGCTGCAGGTTCTACAATAGTAGACCAAACTACAGAAAGTCAAGTGACCACAACAATGACAGTGTCAGCGAATACAACTGCCGGTTTAGTTGAAACTACTACTGAAGAGAGACTGTATGCTGTTGTTCGGATTACCCTGCGCCTCACTAATATTTTTTACACTCCAAGCCTTGCAGATTCCAAGTCAAGTGAATACCTGTTGCTGCGTTCCCGCTTTGTCAGTGCGGTAAGTGAACTTAATACGTGGACCAGTCAACGGCATAGTTAGTGAAGAATGATACAGGGATTTTGTATTTTGTGATGTGTGTCGTTAACTGAAAAGGCCACTTGAGGCTTTGTGATTTAAAAGAATAATTCATTGAAATTAAGCTTCTTGAAAAACTATACTTGTCTTTAAAATTACAAATCATGTTGGACTTGTTTTCGATAGACCTATTTTCATTGAGACCCAATTTATATAGTTGTTTTATAATAATTGTTTTTAACCATTATATACTGTGTTAAATTATGCTAAATGTATTTTGCAGATGGAAACATTCCTTCTCTCCACTGTGTTCGGCGGTTCTTATGAGCGGATTGCTTCTGTCACTTTCAGGTAGGGTTGTAGACAAATAAATATTTCCCTGCTATGTCTTTGAAGAGAATATTATAAAAAGTTACGTATAAGAATGTGTAGTTAAAGTATTATTTACCATACTTAATATGTCTTTGAAGAGAATATTATAAAAAGTTACGTAAAAGAATGTGTAGTTAAAGTATTATTTACCATACTTAATATGAACACCACTGTGATGGCGGGCAGGGTACGGTTTGTTATTTTCTACATACTGCAACCATGTAAAGTGTAAAAATTTGGAAGTAACTCTTTTTGACATATTCGGCCAAAATACATGCTTTATATTTTCAGTAATGGTAGCGTAGTGACGACATTTGACATATTCGGCCAAAATACATGCTTTATCTTTTCAGTAATGGTAGCGTAGTGACGACATTTGACGTGTATTTCTCCACGCCTGTCAGTGTGGCGGCTGTCCGGCTCTTATTCCTGAATCAAACGACAGGAGGAAACTCGTTTGGAATCTTTGAATTCGATCAAGCTGCGTCAGTAGTTGAAGGTAGGAAGTTTTTTGTGTATCCAGCCACCTTAACCTGTCAGTGATTTTAGATGGATTTATGAGTATCAGAAATCAGTATCTGTAAAGGAGCTGTACTACAGGCTTACTAGTACTTATTTACATTTAATATATAAAGCATATATGGGTATCAGAAATTAGTATCTGTAAAGGACCTGTACTACAGGCTTACTAGTACTTATTCACATTTAATATTTAGAAGACTAATCACATTAATTAGACTTTTCCAAAATCTAAAATCTTTTGCCTATCCTAATGAACTTTCAAATCTCATTTTTCCAAGGGCATTATCTCGTGCCTGATTGGATAAGTGCAATGCTATATGTGCCTGCCGATAACGTCAGTACTAACACGTTATGTACAATCTTCTTTCCAGGAGTAGTCCAAACAACTACCACGTCCACAACGCCTGTCTCAACTACCACAATCAAGAACCCAGCGACCCCTGCAGAAATATCAAGTCCAGAATTCATGTTCCTGGACTGGCAGCTGGCCCTCCTCATCACTGGCTGTATCATCGTGTTCTTCCTCATCATACTTCTCTGTGCAACTGTAAGCAGTTTACTATGTCAAAGATTATTTCAACTTAAAACTGGTATTTTGTGTTCATTTATTAGAATGAAGGCAGTAAGGCTACATGTTTTATTTATTGGTAAACCCACCCCCTAAAAAAGAGAAAGGGGTAAAAAGAAAAGAAAAAAGATTTTAAAAAGTGACAAGTCAGTAAAATATCTCTGTCTTTACTTGGTCTTGGAATCAAATTTTTATGTGATATACCTTTTATTGTACAGTGTTGCACAAAATACCATCGCAAGAAGTCTGAACTTCGCAAGAAAGCCATATATCAACAGAGAATGAACGAAAAATCACAGTCGAACGCAGCATACGATAACTTCATACTGGCAGCCAAGGCGGCCCAGCCCCCTGAAGACTTCAGAGAGCTCGAGGAGATTCAGACGGCCAACCAGTACTTAAATATCATAGATGAGATAGCTAGTCCAGAAAACGAACTCAGCAGGGTACCGGGGCCATCTCAAAGTAATAGCGGCAGTTCGGGGAGTACGTCAGGGAGCGAATCTAACCTGGTAAATACCGCTTGTACATTATTTCTCCAGGCATTTTACAAAACGATTTCGGAATTTATAATTAAAAAAAACAGGGACAAGTCCGTTAAACATATTACTTTCTGCCTCAAAATCGTTTAGTCTTTATTCGTACCCAAAGCCACCGAAATAAATTCAGAATTGAACTGGATGAAAAAAGTTCTGATTTGTAAATTTTTCTCTATTTGCAATAAGGCAACCTTTACATAATGCAAAGGAATGGCTTTTTTGCCTTCAAAACCGTGATTCAGAGTAAAAAGGACTCTGAACAGGTATTTGCTTAAAGTAATTGACTTTGGTTAAATTTGGCACACTTGTATTTTTACAGTTTCTCACAATTTGTTGTTTATCCGTTTCAGGCTACTAGCTCCAAAAACTACGAAAAAGGATATGACAATAAAGTGATAATTTACACGGACGATGAAACAAAGACTTATTACGACCAAGTGGCTGAAACGTGGGAAACTCATATGTGATTTTATGACAAGAGTTTTACATAAATCATAATATAAGAGTTTTACATGAATCCAAATATTTTAATTTCATTGTTATACATTTCGTTTCATAAAAACACAAAACGTCCTCTTGCATCATTGTAAATATTGTGGATTACACAATAAAACTCGCATCATCCTCATTCATAACTTCATCAGTCGCGAGATTAAGGGTTGTTTTTTAGATAGCCTTTTTATTGGTATGAGAGGAGAATCGTAAGGATCTTTTCTGCTCTGGGAAATCTGGTCATCCATCCTTATTTAGCTTTGCCAATTTCCACTCACTTCTTAAGCGGAGTCCAATTACATAGGGAGTGAGTGAATGAGGGAGTGACGCGGTCGCACCAGCACAGAAACTGAGAGGTATTGTTAAGATAAGTTCAATATACGTTAGAAATGAATGAAGAGTTTGAAGACGCGATGGTCTCTGCTAGACCGCTCACAGGTGGATGTGCTGGTGCTCCATGTAAACGCATGTAATACCAGTATATCCAAAACAGTACATACACAAACGTCCACATACTTTTTGCGTCCTTGTTTTATTGTACTGATCACAATGGGTATTTAGTTGGCATCGACTTTTATGTACATACAATATTATATATTAGTATTTGTTTTATTTTGTACAGAAAATAGGCCTATCTCGTGTTTAATGTGATGATTCAAATGTTAAACATCTATATTAGGATTAGACGTACGTAGGTCTATTTATATAATGAATAGTTTTTATGATAATTGCCTACGTATTTATTCATACTTTAAATTATATAGTAAGCACAAATAAAATCAGTACATTGCATAATCCATATCCTGATCCACATCCTGCAATTGAGGGAAGTCTCATTATTAAGAAGGCCAGTGAGTACAGGCGTGACATGTACTCATACAAAAGTTATCATACTGTCCGCGTCGCAATTTTTAATGGAAGCTGCCGAGGCAGCCCTGTTTTAGAGAAATAGATATTGTACAATAAAATTCTTTTTTATACATGTAGTTAAATATGTTTGTTTATTTTATTTTATTTTAAAGGACCACAATTTAAATGCCTAGGTTCAGGAATTTATTGTATTCATTCATTTATTGTAAAAGTTATTACGTAGTACATCTGAAATATATAACAGCGCATTTACTTGAACACTATTAATAACCAATATATGTAATTCCTCTCCTGCTTCTAAGTACATCTTTGTAGGGGCAGGCATTTGAAAACTGGCCTCTACTTAAACAAAGTAAGCTCTCCATTAAACATCACTGCCTGTTAGGGGACGGCCTGAAACGTCCTAAAATAGTAAAATAAAATCATTAGACCTTGTTAGATCACGATTGCAACAAAATCGTACAGATTATGTGATAAGGTTGGAAAATGAATTGTTTACATCTTGTAAGTTACAAATTAGACGATGTCTAAGTAATCTATTTACATTTCACTGTGTCAAACAATTCAATAGTGGCGCCTACTGGAATTTGGTACACTTAATATATCACAGTGACTAAGGTAAGCACACTCAGGCACTACTCCGCGATCTGATAACCAAAATTATCAGGATAAGTTCAAATAAAAGGCCATTAGTTATTTACTTCCCCATTGCAATACCACAGGTACTGGTATATTACTAATGTACATACAGGTAATTATTTGACATAGTAGGAACACTCAGATCGATGATGACGAAACTGAAACACTTCCTCTTGGTGAACGCTGTGTGCTTTCTTTTGACTCAAGCACGGGCTCAGTCCACCGCAGCAGCGCCTGTAGGACAAGGTAAATAGCTACCTCCTTCGGTCTTATTGTCACAGGTCTAAAGTTTTCAAGTAGACCGGGCATTAAACTATTAAAATGTTAACCTGCTCAGTCCGCAATTGTCTCGTCTCTTAGAAGTGATATAATAACATTCCCTGGAGGATCCAGAGGTGATGGCGACATATAAGCTGCATTGTTTATTCAGTCGCCCCTCCTCCCCCCCCCCCCCCCAAATCCCGCAAAGGGGGGAGGGGGGCTAGGCTAGGGAGTCAATACACCATCTAAGGACGCAGAATTATATTTCATAACCTTCAATTATTATTTGGGTTAATTGGAAAATAAACTATTTTGGGAAACTGTTCTTGATATTCTAGGGTCACTAGCGACAAGTACCCTCAAAGTGATGGAATGCCTGTCGTTTATTTATGCTCTTCCTACAGAAACAATCATAATTGACGATTGCTTTATATTCGGAAGTAATGATAATATATGTTTTCACAAAGATAACTCTTAATTCCAAATTCTGATAGTGGTGCACTGTATGATAAGATGGTCGACTGTTTACGCTATACCTTCGCTATTACAAACAAACATAAATGACAAATGCATGCACTTTATATATCAACGTAATACTATGATTAATAATGATCATAGTTTACACTGAATCGTATGATCTTATGCCCACTGACTGTTAGTTTAAAATATCTATCTTATCATTAGAAACACAACATATATATGGTAGACCGGGGCTAAACGCCCAGTCGGGGTCAAACGCCCACCCGCTTTTTTTCAGGTATTACGTATAAATACGCGTCTCGTGATGTTTTTTCCACTTCCGATTTCCAGCAGACTTATCCTCCATGACGGAGATGACCACAAACTAAAAAATAAGCATTTTATGATAATTTGTTCATTTTTGCCTTGTTTACTGTTATTTAGCCTTTTCCTTAACATCAGTGACACCACCTACCAAATGCACGAATTCAAAAAACTTTGTTGGTGACAGATAGGATGGTATCAGACCTCCATACAAGTTTCGATGAAGTCAGATTGTATAAAACTTTTCCCGCCGAATTTTGAAAAAATATACAAAATCTCACTTTGGGGCAAAACGCCCATGCTGATATGGGGCAAAACGCCTATAGTGGGCGTTTTGCCCCGATCACTGGGCGTTTTGCCCCCTTTCGTTTTTAAATAAAAAATAATTCTAAAAAGATGCGGAAGTGTTCTTTCATGCATGTTTTTTTATTGTATATCATCAGTTATAACACTTATATGGGGAAAAGCCAAAGCAAGTGGCTGTACTAGGAACTTAATTTTGGAAGTATCACAGTGCCCTGTCGTAAAGAGTAGAATTACAGCTCATTCTGAATAAATTTGATGGGTATTTTTATTATCTCAGTATCCCAAAATATTATATGTTGCTTTTAAAGGCTTACCAAGTTGTCTCGTAGAAATATAATTTGATTTTATTTTGCTTTGTACAAAGGCGGGGCATAACGCCTATAGTTTGGGGCAAGACGCCCACGGTGGGCGTTTAGCCCCGTGGTGCGAGGCGTAATGCCCCAGCCATGGGGCAAAAAGGCCTATTTTATAATTTACCTATTTTTACCTATAAGGTTTTTCTTTTGTTTGTTTCCAAAAGTGTTAGTATCAGTTTGTAGTCTAGTCAGCTCTTCATAGTTAACACCCACTTTGAACGGTCTATACCTTCAGCAGGGAAAATTGTGATGTTTCTTGCTTAAGGGGGGCGTTTAGCCCCGGTCTACCCTACTAACCACTGCATTACAGTAATGTTCAGATTTTAACTTGTCTAAGGATGCGGGACCACCGAGTTCTCCAGCCAGACAGGTGTGATAACATCCCCGGGATATTGTGGACAGGGGGCCTGTCAGTATCCACCCAGTATCACGTGCTGGTATACGGTCTCTGTCCCCGGTAATTATGCACGGATTTATCGACTTTCTTCTTAATATATTTCTGAATAGATATTTAGTTTTTATTCTCTAATCCAGTAACGGGACATATAATAAATTTTAGACACCTAGCTGGGTTCTTTTCTTGTGGTATTGAATTATCTCGAATCAATTGTCTTTTTTAATATCTAGTAAAATGCCTCTAGGGAATATTATCGTCACATTTATCATATTAGCACGACCTGCCTAATAACTGAAAGGATATTAAAAATATTATCTTTCCTTTTGAAGGTGCATGCAAAATAGATCTTATTTTCACGAATTTTGATTTGGAAAATGGAGGATGCAATTATGACTTTCTGAACATAAGCTTCAAGCATTTGGGGTCTACCAATTCTACCACATTTTGCGACAGTAAATTCTCTGTGACAGCACCGCAGATAAACGTGACATCTATTGTTATAGAGGACAACAGTTTTAATATGACATTTGTCAGTGACAGTTCGTCTACAGCAGAAGGGTTTCGCTTGGAGTATGAAGGATATTTGTGCACGACTCTCGTGCAGACAGACGGCACCACAGAACACCACGAAACAACTAGAGAAGTCACTACTGCACACTGGCATGCGATTACGTCTGAAACAATATTAATACCAAAAACAACTCAAAAGACAACTGCAATATTCAAAGCAATTTCAACAGCACAAAATAAAGTAACTGCAGCGATAACAGTGCCCAAAACAACAACAATGCAGTCATTTGCGTCAACTCGGAAACTTCATACCAGTCCAAGTGTCATATTTATCTCTTCCAAAACTCTCTCAACAACTCGGATATTTACGACGACATATGACAAGATAACTTCGAGCTCTACAAATAAAGAAGTTACTACATCGAAAATGGGAAATCCTGATTCAGACAGGGGGTCCCAAAACAAGAACCCAATGATAAATTTCCCCGTCTGGAGCTGGGTTCTCATTGCTGTAGGAGCGTGTTTGCTGGTGGTGGTAGAGATTGTGTTTGCGGTGCTGTACACGAAGAGGAATAGGTGAGAGTACCCGTTATTGATTGCAAGGTGGAGATGTAACCCTAAGCATTATTACTAAATGGAGGGCGGACTTTCTGTTTGACGGACCTTCAGTTTCGTTACACTTGACCTGTGGCCAGCAGTTTGTAAAGATTTCCTTTTTCTGAACAGTGAACCTTTTTTTTACAAGGAAACGTGTGTTCAAAGAATCTAGATGAAATTTTGAATTAGAGTGGTCCTTTTCCCGATAAAACGGTCTTTCTTCAAAGCCCAGGGACCCTCCACCAATTGACTTTATTCTTCAAATAAGAATTAACAGGTAGAATTTTATGTAGGATTAGGCCTAGATATTAAAACCAATTGAAACAAGCTTAAGAGCGTCTCCTTCCCCAACCAACATCCTCTTATAAGTATCATNTCCAAAACGATTTCGGAATTTATAATTAAAAAAACAGGGACAAGTCCGTTAAACATATTACTTTCTGCCTCAAAATCGTTTAGTCTTTATTCGTACCCAAAGCCACTGAAATAAATTCAGAATTGAACTGGATGAAAAAAGTTCTGATTTGTACATTTTTCACTATTTGCAATAAGGCAACCTTTACATAATTCAAAGGAATGGCTTTTTTGCCTTCAAAACCGTGATTCAGAGTAAAAAGGTATTTGCTTAAAGTAATTGACTTTGGTTAAATTTGGTACACTTGTATTTTTACAGTTTCTCACAATTTGTTGTTTATCCGTTTCAGGCTACTAGCTCCAAAAACTACGAAAAAGGATATGACAATAAAGTGATAATTTACACGGACGATGAAACAAAGACTTATTACGACCAAGTGGCTGAAACGTGGGAAACTCATATGTGATTTTATGACAAGAGTTTTACATAAATCATAATATAAGAGTTTTACATGAATCCAAATATTTTAATTTCATTGTTATACATTTCGTTTCATAAAAACACAAAACGTCCTCTTGCATCATTGTAAATATTATGGATTACACAGTAAAACTCGCATCATCCTCATTCATAACTTCATCAGTCGCGAGATTAAGGGTTGTTTTTTAGAAAGCCTTTTTATTGGTATGAGAGGAGAATCGTAAGGATCTTTTCTGCTCTGGGAAATCTGGTCACCCATCCTTATTTAGCTTTGCCAATTTCCACTCACTTCTTAAGCGGAGTCCAATTACATAGGGAGTGAGTGAATGAGGGATTGACGCGGTCGCACCAGCACAGAAACTGAGAGGTATTGTTAAGATAAGTTGAATATACGTTAGAAATGAATGAAGAGTTTGAAGACGCGATGGTCTCTGCTAGACCGCTCACAAGTGGATGTGCTGGTGCTCCATGTAAACGCATGTAATACTAGTATATCCAAAACAGTACATACACGAACGTCCACATACTTTTTTCGTCCTTGTTTTATTGTACTGATCACAATGGGTATTTAGTTGGCATCGACTTTTATATACATACAATATTATATATTAGTATTTGTTTTATTTTGTACAGAAAATAGGCCTATCTCGTGTTTAATGTGATGATTCAAATGTTAAACATCTATATTAGGATTACACGTACGTAGGTCTATTTATATAATGAATAGTTTTTATGATAATTGCCTACGTATTTATTCATACTTTAAATTATATAGTAAGCACAAATAAAATCAGTACATTGCATAATCCATATCCTGATCCACATCCTGCAATTGAGGGAAGTCTCATTATTAAGAAGGCCAGTGAGTACAGGCGTGACATGTACTCATACAAAAGTTATCATACTGTCCGCATCGCAATTTTTAATGGAAGCTGCCGAGGCAGCCCTGTTTTAGAGAAATAGATATTGTACAATAAAATTCTTTTTTATACATGTAGTTAAATATGTTTGTTTATTTTATTTTATTTTAAAGGACCACAATTTAAATGCCTAGGTTCAGGAATTTATTGTATTCATTCATTTATTGTAAAAGTTATTACGTAGTACATCTGAAATATATAACAGCGCATTTACTTGAACACTATTAATAACCAATATATGTAATTCCTCTCCTGCTTCTAAGTACATCTTTGTAGGGGCAGGCATTTGAAAACTGGCCTCTACTTAAACAAAGTAAGCTCCATTAAACATCACCGCCTGTTAGGGGACGGCCTGAAACGTCCTAAAATAGTAAAATAAAATCATTAGACCTTGTTAGATCACGATTGCAACAAAATCGTACAGATTATGTGATAAGGTTGGAAAATGAATTGTTTACATCTTGTAAGTTACAAATTAGACGATATCTAAGTAATCTATTTACATTTCACTGTGTCAAACAATTCAATAGTGGCGCCTACTGGAATTTGGTACACTTAATATATCACAGTGACTAAGGTAAGCACACTCAGGCACTACTCCGCGATCTGATAACCAAAATTATCAGGATAAGTTCAAATAAAAGGCCATTAGTTATATACTTCCCCATTGCAATACCACAGGTACTGGTATATTACTAATGTACATTCAGGTAATTATTTGACATAGTAGGGATACTCAGATCGCTGATGACGAAACTGAAACACTTCCTCTTGGTGAACGCTGTGTGCTTTCTTTTGACTCAAGCATGGGCTCAGTCCACCGCAGCAGCGCCTGTAGGACAAGGTAAGTAGCCACGTCCTTCGGTCTTATTGTCTTATTGTCACATGTCTAAAATTTTCAAGTAGACCGGACATTAAACTATTAAAATGTTAACCTGTTCAGTGCGCAACTGTCTCCCCTCTTAAAAGTGATACAATAACATTCCCTGAAGGATCCAGAGGTGGGAACGACATCTTTTAAAGCTAAATTGTTTATTCAGTCGCCCGCCATCCCACCAAAGGAGGAGGGGGAGGTTAGGGAGTCGAGACACCATCTGAGGACGCAGAATTATGTTTCATAACCTTCAATTATCATTGGGGTAAATTGGAAAATAAACTTTTCTAAATCCACTAGCGACAAGTACCCTCAAAATGATGACGATAGTGTTATTATACTGGAATGTCCGTCGTTTATTTATGCTATGCCTACAGAACCAATCATAATTGACGATTGTTTTATGATCTGAAGTAATGATAATACATGCATTCACAAAGATAACTCATAATTCAAAATTCTGATGATGGTATAATAAGTTGTTTGACTGTTTACAAACAAACATAAACGACAAATACAGTGTACGTGCACTTTATACAAATGTAGTTTACACTGAATCGTATGTTCTTATGCCCACTGGCTGTTAGTTTACAATATCTATCTTATCATTAGAAACACAACATATATACTAACCACTGTATTACAGTAATGTTCAGATTTTAACTTGTCTAAGGATGCGGGACCACCGAGTTCTCCAGCCAGACAGGTGTGATAACATCCCCGGGATATTGTGGACAGGGGGCCTGTCAGTATCCACCCAGTATCACGTGCTGGTATACGGTCTCTGTCCCCGGTAATTATGCACGGATTTTTCGACTTTCTTCTTAATATGTTTCTGAATAGATATTTAGTTTTTATTTTCTAATCCAGTAACGGGATATATAATAAATTTTAGACACCTAGCTGGGTTCTTTTCTTGTGGTATTGAATTATCTCGAATCAATTGTCTTTTTTAATATCCAGTAAAATGCCTCTAGGGAATATTATCGTCACATATATCATATTAGCACGACCTGCCTAATAACTGTAAGGATTTTTAAAAAATTATCTTTCCTTTTGAAGGTGCATGCAAAATAGATCTTATTTTCACGAATTTTGATTTGGAAAATGGAGGATGCAATTATGACTTTCTGAACATAAGCTTCAAGCATTTGGGATCTACCAATTCTACCACATTTTGCGACAGTAAATCATCTGTGACAGCACCACAGTTAAACGTGACATCTATTGTTATAGAGGACAACAGTTTTAATATGACATTTGTCAGTGACAGTTCGTCTACAGAAAAAGGGTTTCGTTTGGAGTATGAAGGATATTTGTGCACGACTCTCGCGCAGACAGACGACACCACAGAACACCACGAAACAACTAGAGAAGTCACTACTTTACACTGGCCTGCGATTACGTCTGAAACAATATTAATACCAAAAACAACTCAAAAGACAACTGCAATATTCAAAGCAATTTCAACAGCACAAAATAAAGTAACTGCAGCGATAACAGTGCCCAAAACAACAACAATGCAGTCATTTGCGTCATTTGTGTCAACTCGGCAACTTCAAACCAGTCCAAGTGCCATATTTATCTCTTCCAAAACTCTCTCAACAACTCGGAAATTTACGACGACATATGACAAGAAAACTTCGAGCTCTACAAATAAAGAGGTTACTACATCGAAAATGGGAAATTCTGATTCAGACAGGGGGTCCCAAAACAAGAACCCAATGATAAATTTCCCCGTCTGGAGCTGGGTTCTCATTGCTGTAGGAGTGTGTTTGCTGGTGGTGGTAGCGATTGTGTTTGCGGTGCTGTACACGAAGAGGAAAAGGTGAGAGTACCCGTTATTGATTGCAAGGTGGAGATGTAACCCTAAGCATTATTACTAAATGGAGGGCGGACTTTCTGTTTGACGGGCCCTCAGTTTCGTTACACTTGATCTGTGGCCAGCAGTTTGTAAAGGTTTCCTTTTTCTGAACAGTGAACCTTTTTTTTACAAGGAAACGTGTATTCATAGAATCTAGATGAAATTTTGAATTAGAGTGGTCCTTTTCCCGATAAAACGGTCTTTCTTCAAAGCCCAGGGACCCTCCACCAATTGACTTTATTCTTCAAATAAGATTTAACAGGTAGAATTTTATGAAGGATTAGGCCTAGATATTGAAACCAACTGAAACAAGCTTAAGAGCGTCTCCTTCCCCAATCAACATCCTCTTATAAGTATCAANTTCTTAATATGTTTCTGAATAGATATTTAGTTTTTATTTTCTAATCCAGTAACGGGATATATAATAAATTTTAGACACCTAGCTGGGTTCTTTTCTTGTGGTATTGAATTATCTCGAATCAATTGTCTTTTTTAATATCCAGTAAAATGCCTCTAGGGAATATTATCGTCACATATATCATATTAGCACGACCTGCCTAATAACTGTAAGGATTTTTAAAAAATTATCTTTCCTTTTGAAGGTGCATGCAAAATAGATCTTATTTTCACGAATTTTGATTTGGAAAATGGAGGATGCAATTATGACTTTCTGAACATAAGCTTCAAGCATTTGGGATCTACCAATTCTACCACATTTTGCGACAGTAAATCATCTGTGACAGCACCACAGTTAAACGTGACATCTATTGTTATAGAGGACAACAGTTTTAATATGACATTTGTCAGTGACAGTTCGTCTACAGAAAAAGGGTTTCGTTTGGAGTATGAAGGATATTTGTGCACGACTCTCGCGCAGACAGACGACACCACAGAACACCACGAAACAACTAGAGAAGTCACTACTTTACACTGGCCTGCGATTACGTCTGAAACAATATTAATACCAAAAACAACTCAAAAGACAACTGCAATATTCAAAGCAATTTCAACAGCACAAAATAAAGTAACTGCAGCGATAACAGTGCCCAAAACAACAACAATGCAGTCATTTGCGTCATTTGTGTCAACTCGGCAACTTCAAACCAGTCCAAGTGCCATATTTATCTCTTCCAAAACTCTCTCAACAACTCGGAAATTTACGACGACATATGACAAGAAAACTTCGAGCTCTACAAATAAAGAGGTTACTACATCGAAAATGGGAAATTCTGATTCAGACAGGGGGTCCCAAAACAAGAACCCAATGATAAATTTCCCCGTCTGGAGCTGGGTTCTCATTGCTGTAGGAGTGTGTTTGCTGGTGGTGGTAGCGATTGTGTTTGCGGTGCTGTACACGAAGAGGAAAAGGTGAGAGTACCCGTTATTGATTGCAAGGTGGAGATGTAACCCTAAGCATTATTACTAAATGGAGGGCGGACTTTCTGTTTGACGGGCCCTCAGTTTCGTTACACTTGATCTGTGGCCAGCAGTTTGTAAAGGTTTCCTTTTTCTGAACAGTGAACCTTTTTTTTACAAGGAAACGTGTATTCATAGAATCTAGATGAAATTTTGAATTAGAGTGGTCCTTTTCCCGATAAAACGGTCTTTCTTCAAAGCCCAGGGACCCTCCACCAATTGACTTTATTCTTCAAATAAGATTTAACAGGTAGAATTTTATGAAGGATTAGGCCTAGATATTGAAACCAACTGAAACAAGCTTAAGAGCGTCTCCTTCCCCAATCAACATCCTCTTATAAGTATCAACAACAATCCTGTTTATCGAACTTGTTTTGTTTTCTTTTCAGAGACAATCAGCCTCGTGAATATAGTGACATGGATGATGATTCTATCATGGTGTCTAATCAGCCGAATTCAAAACCGCCTGAGCTAGTACGCTATGAAGCACGGTAAACCAATTACGTGAACTCTGAACTTATTAGTTTATTATCGGGTGGCGAACGAGCGGAACACCGCCAGCAACCCCTCCCCCCCCCTCCCCAACCACCACTTCCAAACTTAATCAGATTTTGGACCCATATATTTTCACTGCTACGTGTATCATTACTTACGAGCGTCCTCTGGAAGGGGGTGCGTAAGTTGGTTGTTCGGACGTTTTATTTATTTTTTTTTTGGGGGGGGGGGGAGAGGGGCTTTTTCTCGCGTTATTGGGGAGATTTAGGAAGGAAATTCTGTGTGTGGGAAATTACAGAGACAGGACGTGTGTCTGTGTTTGTCATAAGGAACGAGTTTGTGGTTGATTTTTAATTGTCTCTTCCTTTGAAATTTTGTCACAGTTTTTCCTTTCTTTTCAGAAATTCAGAGCAAAACAGCAAGGTTAGCTTCGGAGTCGAAGTCACCATATTTTCAAATGGAGCATTTGTACATTAGATACACGGACCTTATGGTTATGTCTATAAATAACTGGTCGCACAATGCAGAATTAGTACAAGTGCTTCATATTTATTCGATATTTAAGAGCGCTATAGTCTTCGTATTGCATGTTCTTAATTGCCGCTTAAAATTATTTTAGGCAACAAATTGATTACCCAATTCACAAACAATTTAGGGCGTATTCAACTCTCTCTCTCTCTCTCTCTCTCTCTCTCTCTCTCTCTCTCTCTCTCTCTCTCTGTTATGTGTAATATTCGGAATATTGTGAACAGTGAAGTCAACAAGTGGCAATTTGAATCCTGTAGCGGGATTGCTTTTGGAGTTTATAGAAAGAGGCTTCATTCATTCCAGAGATACACAAGAATAAGTACTGGGTATATCCTGTTATATAGATAATATGAAAAAGAAAACTGAAAGGTAACAGGCATGAGTTAACTGCTATTTATTGACTGAGGTGTAAATTTTATCAGTAATAAAGCTTCTCTTCGGTAATTACGAAGTTTCATTTTCGTCCTTATCATCAAAGTGAAACGATGTCTCATCCACTCAGACAGCAAGAATCAACATCGAGGAGGAACTAGCGGATAGACGCAGTTAAAGTCCCTAAATGTGAGAATGACTCTCGTAATATGCACCACGTGGACGTGACGTCGAGCCTTGATAGACAAGTGCTGTATGCAGAAAATGATATAGAACAGGGAAGGAGATTAGGAAGGGAAAGAGAGAAACAAGATAACTGATGGAGCAGACAGTGATTTTTGAATGTGAGATAGGCGACCACAAGTTTGGGTGATAAAATGTATTAAACTTTGACAAATGCTGAGTCCCAGACTATTGCAAAGGATGGAAAGAACAAGGGAGCATGCTGATTCACGAATATATTAGCTTTACGCAACTTCCGGGAGTCAAGTATTGTTCAAGTTATGTTCTCTCCTTTATGCACTTGTTTCCCTTTCATTTTGAACAGTGTTTTACCGCCTGTTTTTCCCTATCCTCTTTTAAAGGTCAATTTATGCACATACCGGTATATGACCCTTCGCCAAAACGAGCCTGGGCATAAGCATGTCTCCATCTTTCTCAAATATTTCCCCTTATCACTTAATCTCTAAGAGAAACAAGTCAAAATGCTGCATGATCTGTAAGGTTAAAAAGTAGATCATATTTAAGGGGCATCATAACCGGCTTGCTTTTTAGTGGGGACGGTCAGATAAGTTAGCCTGCGGAGCATCTGTTCTGTAAGTGCCCTATATAGTGTAACTTATTAAAGTATAAATTACAAGTAACATACTGAAAGAATAAAAAAACCATAGTCCCTATATAGTGTAACTTATTAAAGTATAAATTACAAGTAACATACTGAAAGAATAAAAAACCATAGTCGTACATAAATTATTGCACCCACAGTGCTGCAGCTTCTTTTTATGTCAAAGTGTAACCACTGTCATATCAGAAATTCATCTTTGTCAGTTATTTTCTCAGAAGTGCTGTGCTCTGTTAACTTGTATGACTTGCAAAATGCGGAGGAAAAATAAGTCTTTCAACCGGTAACAATTATAATTGATGTCTTCAATTAGGTATTTTTAAAGGCACGTTTTGGCAAACGTCAGTTGATGTTCCACCTAATCGTGTCCCCATAATTACAAGTTCATGGTCCTGTAAATTGAAATAAATAACTACATAGACCATTAACTTCCGCTTTACTGTTTTTAATCCAATTCTTGGAATTGACATTTATATATAACACGCGTCCGTGGTTTTGTCATTTTCTAAAGGTAAGTAACTAAAAAAAAAATTAGATCAGCTGCATTAGATTAATGAATAAATAATTGATACATAGATAGATAGAAAAATTAACAACTAAATGAAAGGAAGAAAGAAGAATGTATAGACAAAAACAAAGCAAAAAAATGGGATAATGGTTTATTGATGTTATTGAAATGGTTCACTTTAAATAACATTGCTATCTAGTCTCTTGTGAACCTCTTTAGCGAGTCCCCCAACCCCAACCCCCCGTCCAGGTACTGGGTTATTAGAGCTTCACGACAAAAAGTTTTTACTATGTGCGGAAAAGGCGAAAACAAAACCGAAACTTGAATATTCTACTAGGGCAGGAAGTGAATATTAGTCAATATAGCACATGATTCATCTGTGGTTTGAAATCACATGCTATCTAGACTTCCCTATTTAATGTCTGAGCCGCAGTGTTCCTTGTCACTCGCAATAGCTAGCTTAGATTGGAGGCATCTTTAGACGATCTCTGGCGATACTAAATAGCTTTTTATACAGCAATACCAGCCATGTTGAAGATCATACTCGTGGCAGTCGCAGTGGTTGTCTGCTGTAAAGGTGAGCAAGGATGATTAAGGTTTTACCTGTAAAGGAAAAACTATATAGTTTTGAATTTTTGAAAAGATTTTTTATTCAAAATAATGAAAAAAAAACGTCCGAGTAATTAGGTTAGCATGTTGCATAAATAATATCATTCAAACAATTTGTTAATTGGTTGGTCTTTAGAAATCATCTTACGTTGACAAGCCATTGCTAGTAATTTTTTCTTTACTTAAAATACTATAACCATTACTTTTTAATATAAAATAATCCTTTTTACTTTTTTATTTTTTATTTTACAAAAAAAAGGGGGTTTAAGACTGTTCTATATTATTATTATTATTTCTCCTGTATTGTGTATTTTTGCCACGTCTGTTGTGTTACTAGTCGACATTAGGAATTAAGATCTGGTTTATAGTACAGTGTATAGTAGAGGTCATTTTTCTTGTTAAGTTGTATCGTGATAATAATGCACTTTGAAGTGATTTTGGAGCTTTTCCGTGATAGCACCTAAATAAATTTCAGTGGTGCTTATTGTTAGATTCGGGGATGTATTCGTTTAAAAATATATATTTTCAGGTGTTGAATGTGCAGGAGGCGTGTTGAAATTTACCCAAGTAGACGTCCAACAGACGAGTAGCGTCAACAATGAGTTCGTAAACTGCATGGCCAAATGCCTAGGCCATTCTGTGGCTGAGATTGAAGAGTGGGTTGCGGAATGCGGGACCGATGTAAAATGCTGGTTGGAGAAAGTGGGTATTGAGGCAATCAAATGTGTCCCACGTTGTCTCTCTGTGGGAATAGACGCGAAGCATGTCGATGATATCGCAACAGTCAGAGGTAAGATTTGATAACTGAAAAAAAAAGAATATGAGGTATTTAAGTTTGGCGTGTGTGTGTGTGCGTGCGTGCGCGTTTGGTTATTATTATTATTTTGTTCGCACTGCAAAAATATATTTAGTTAGCATGTTGCAGAAAAACATGGAAAAGGATTCGCAAATGAATGTGTTTGTTTAACTATATCATCGAAATAAACAGTTCTATGTTCTATATCTGGACATTTAATCCATTTGAGTGGGGTTTTCGTTTTCTTTTCAGAAAAAGACGAAGTTGGCAATAACTTTGCCATTTGTCTTGCCAAGTGTTTGGGCAGGTCTGTGGCGGATATTGAACGCTGGATTGGAGAATGCGGGGAGAACGTCAAATGCTGGGTGAAAAAAGTGGGCTTTGCTGCTCTTAAGTGCGTACCTAAGTGCGTGTCACTGGAAGGTGACGCAGTCCAGAATGTAGTCGCCAACACACCGGAAAATAAAGGTTAGTGCATAAGTCAAGCAACTTAACCTAACAGTGGTTCTTCTTCTCTGAAACTAGACTAACCGTGGGCTTACATGTCACCATATTTTGTATCAAAACCATAAATTTAAAGTTGTAAGTTATAACGAGAACATGTTCTAAATCTAGACATTTTATCCATATCAGTTGGGGGTTTCGTTTTCTTTTTTTTTAAAAGTTGAAGTTGGCAATCACTTTGCCGATTGCCTTGCCAAGTGTTTGGGCAAGTCTGTGGCTGACGTAGAACAGTGGTTGGAGGAATGTGGAACAGATGTCCATTGCTGGCTGAAAAAAGTGGGCTTTGCAGCTCTTAAGTGCGTACCTGAGTGCGTATCACTGGAAGTTTACGCTGATCTTACCACAACTGATGATAAAAGCCAACAAAAAGGTAGATATAAAGATGTTTAAGCATGCTGTATTCATGGTCTCAATATGTAAGTACTTTTGGAACTGGATACTGCCTTTTATATATTACTTTATTTTATAAGAGATGTTTTTTTCGTGTTAGTGTTAGGGCATTTTCAAATGCAATTGCTGTATATATGTATGAGCCAGAATACAAAAGCGAGGAATAAGAACTGCGTGATTTCGTTCATTTGGTGCTTAGTATTTCCATCTACTAGGTGCTTTCAAATTTCAGAAAAATATTGATGGTGTTTCAGTAAAGAGCATCACTGACATATTGTATATAAAAATTTTATATAAAAATTTTGTTGTATGAGACAAGACAAATCGCCAAGGTACAATTTACATTTACAGCACGTAGTTAATTTCAAATCATATGAATATACTATTTATTTATTTATAACCGTGGCATGTTCAAAATATCCAAACACCTTGCCTCATGGGCCTTCGTGTCACCGTTTTTTTTTTTTTTCCAAAACCATAAAGTTAAGATTATAAGTTATAACGAGAACATGTTCTATATCTGGGGTTTTTATCCATATCAGTTGGGGGTTTCGTTTTCTTTTTTAAAAAAGCTGAAGTTGGCAATCACTTTGCCGATTGCCTTGCCAAGTGTTTGGGCAAGTCTGTGGCTGACGTAGAACGGTGGTTGGAGGAATGTGGAACAGACGTCCAATGCTGGCTGAAAAAAGTGGGCTTTGCAGCTCTGAAGTGCGTACCTGAGTGCGTATCACTGGAAAGTGACGCAGTCCAAATTGTATTTTCCGACACACCAAAGAATAAAGGTTAGTGTAAATGGCAGGCAACTGGGCCTAGCAATAATTCTAGTTGTCTTTAATTAACCACTTATACTAGTTTCTTACACGACTTAGATAAAGTCCACATGCCAAAGAATGAAACCAAATAAATCACTCAATCACAAAAAAAAGCTTTACAACTGAACATTTTTTATATTTCTGGCCGTATACTTGACCTGTATGTATCCGTCTCACCATTCGCAAATGACTTAGTAATGTATAACGCATAACTGCTGCTTGCACAATAGCATTAATATTTGAATGAGGGCTGGCGAAACGACAGTGGGTAAAAAGGAGTTCAAATATCATTTTTTTGGGAAACTACGACACGATACCCTTTGGTATTTCTTTATGTTTTGCTATTTGAAAAACCAAATGATGGCATTTGGTCGGATTTTTGCAATGATTTGACTTCATATATAACTTAAAATGTATTCATTTTTCAATCCTTCAATCATCTGGGTCAATATGACATAAGCACTCCAAATAATCATAAACTTTCAATTTCAGACCATGTTGACAATGACGTGGTGTCTTGTTTGGCCAGATGTCTGGGAAAGTCTGTGGTAGATATTGAGCGTTGGATTGAAGAGTGCAAGAAGAACGTCAAATGCTGGGTAAAGAAAGTGGGAATCGCAGCTCTCAAATGTGTTCCAAAGTGCACGCTCACAGCGCCTACACGGAGCATCACATCTTGGAGATTGGAGGTATGGCCGTCCTACTATGGCCTCTGAAATAAGTGCTCATTCCCACAGCACCTTCACTCTACGTAGATTGATCCACTGAGTGCAATCAGAGCTGAATGACGCCTCCTCTTGTTTCCAACGTACTTGTATAATCACCAGCTTCTCTGTAATCAGGAGGAGCGGTTTATCAGTTAAGCTGAGTCACCGCAGAGTTGGATCGATCTACGTAGACCGATGGTGTCTGTGGAAATGAACTCTAAGTCTTAGTTGTACCAGATGTAATCTGCGCACGTATTTTTTCATTTTGATATATTTGATTAACATTCGTTGTTAGCCGAAACCTGAGTTTTGATTTTGTATATATTATATAACAGTGGTGATCAAAACTTAAAAGTAGTATAAAGCTTTAAGCTTTAATATTTTAACTGTGCTATTTTGATAACAGTTATTGACGAGTGGAAAATAATTACTTTTCCCACAGGTACTGAATTATAACACTCAGGGAGAAGGTAGAAGATTTGCACCGTAGTCGGGCCCATGTGAAAAGCACAGTTGATGAAATGAAGCGAACTGGTGCCTGTGTTATTGACACACGCAAATACTAAAGCATTTTATTGAGGAAGAGACCACAGGATACACAAGTAATTTTGTGAAAGAAGGGTGTCCAACACACTATTGAAATGAGCCAATAATAGAAATGAATGATGTGGACACACGGAATATTTATTGATTGATTCAAGCTGAATGGTACTTGCGAATGACAATGACATAAGAAGATAGTTTAAAATTAACGTGGAAGTATGCCTATTATGATTATGTTAAAACATTGTAAAGACTCATTTGTGATAATCTATGTACTTTTTATTAGTAATCTCCGTGAAGAATTGTTTGAAGAAATACAATCTCGATCTGTTTTGTCCATCATAACGTAGGCCTATGCCTTCTTATTTACTGTTTATATATAATTATGTCAAGAATATCTTAAATTGTCAATCCATTTGTATGGAGATGAAGTTACACATTTTGAGCAAGTCTTGATAATTAACAGTAAAGCCCCTATTTCACACAGTCCACGAATCCCACGAATGGCCATGAATTGACAAATTTCACGATTCGTGGTTGAATCGTAATCAGTTCGTGAAGTTCTTTACAGATTCGTATCTATTCGTAGTCAGTTCTTGCACTTCTTGACCAACAGGAATTGGTGGCAAAAACTTTGATGCCCCTATTTCACACAGACCACGAATCCCAGGAATCGCCAGGAATTGAAAATTTCAGGATTCGTGGTTGAATCGTAATCAGTTCGTGAAGTTCTTAGCAGATTCGTATATAATCGTAGTCAGTTATTGCAATTCTTGATCAATCGGGAATTCGTGGCAAAAATTTTGAGCTGTTCAAAGTTTTGGCCACGAACTCCCGATTCCAAAAAATCGTAGTGAATTTCTGGACAATATTCGTGCGATTCCAACCGAATCCCACGAATATTCGTAACACTATCGCACCTGTATCGTAACTGAATCGTAGAGCGTGTCGAATTAGACCAGAAAATTGGCAAAATCTCACGAATCCTGAAATTTGTCAATTCCTGGCGATTCGTGGGGTTCGTGGTCTGTGTGAAATAGGGGCCTAAAGGATTTTATTTTAACCGTACGGCATGTAGGCTACAGTTAGAAAAAAATTCTTGGTTGCTCACCATCAGTATCGTATGAAACCTTCACTTTATTGTCAAGACTTGCTCAAACTTTCTCACTCTGTTTTATTTCATTTCCTTGAAAAAATTTCAAAAAGTTACGAATGTCAAGTGTATTATGTATCAATAAAATTAGTAAAATGAATTACCTTAGCTCACATGGTGATTTATAATTATTCAACTTAACGATGTTTCCAAACAACTAGGTAGAATGTGTGTGTGTGTGTGTGTGTGTGTGTGCACGTTCACAGTGCTAAAGATACACATATTTTTGTCTCATCTCTATGTAGAGAGTAAAAATAAACTATTGCTTTTACGAACGATGTATTATTATATCTATAATAGAGGTGCCCTTTCATCGGCACCCAATGGCTTTCAACATCAAGCTAAAAATTTACCTATTTCTTATGCTTGTTTTCTTTTACTTATTTTCTTTTTTTATACGTTCATAGTAAAGTTTGCTCTGAATGCCTGAGAACATCCATAACTTCTAGATGTTATAGTTGTCTCTCATTTGTCAAACATCTATGCCACCCCTCCTCTCCCTCCATAAATCGCACTCATGTGCCCTCTGTTTGATCATTCTCTAGCTGGTATCAACGGTATCTAAGCTTAGTTTCCATTCGTTATCAAATTAACCGCAATTATTGCTCTGGAATGTCACAAGGGTGAAATGCATGCCGGGGTGGGGGTGGGGGGGGGGGGGGGTTCGTGAGGACCATTAAAGCGCGAACATCTTACGTAGCAACGTATTAGTAATTACTACAATGATTGGTGCGTATTTATTAATGCAAATCATTTTTCATAGTTCCGTGAAAATTAACTATAAGATAAAAACAATGTCTGCGCTTACAACGCCATACCCTGCCGTTAATTAATATGGCCGCACATGTCACGCAGATTCAAAGGTCAGTCTCATGACAATAGCACGTTCCCCATTGCCTCACTCCAGATGAGAATAATTGCGTAAATTCATCCCAAAATAATGCTTTGTATCAGTTGTCGCGTGACGTGACAGCGCGGCTATTGTGTATAAAGAGTTGCAAGTAAATCCATTAGCGTCAGTTTTAGGTTCGGTCTCTCAACCATTTGAAGTGAGAAACCAGTGATGACGATGCTATTAGTTCTGTGCTCGGTGGCGCTTTTTATTGGGGCTCATGGTGAGGCAGTTAATTTTCAATTGGCAAAAGTACAGTTTTTTTCTTTCACAGATTATCAAAACTTGTTATCGTTTGTGGGAGTTGGTGGTTTTTTTTTAATATCCGCAATGTTAATCAAAAGCAAGTATTTCTAATCAATAATAATTTACGGATTGCACCTTTTATAAAAGGCATTTACTATAATGAAACATGTTTAAAACATCTGTAATCAATCATTTTTCCTATCCTCAAACAATCTTGAGACAAAAGGAAACACCAAAAATAGCAAATAATGATAAGTTACGATTTACGCTTTCCAGGAGCTGCGTTGGGGGACATGCCAAAGATGGACCAAAGTCCAATTGAATACAACCCTTTTCTTGACATGGCCAGCGAATTTCAATCTCATGCCAATCAAGGTAAAATCCTACAGCTTAATCTGTATTAATCTAGTTAGACACACAATAAAACATTATTTTGAAAAGTTCCTTACAATTTTAACACTTTCTGCTCATTCAAAATTCATTTTCTCTAGACCAAGGCGCCTCATCGTTCGTGATATGTATGGCAAAATGCTTGGGAAAAAGTGTTACAGAGGTCGAGGGTTGGGTCAAGGAATGTGGCAAAGACGCAAAATGTTGGCTGGAAAAAGTTGGCGGAGCTGCTTTGAAATGTGTAGGAGAATGCCTTGCCACTTCTTCTTTAGATCTGTCTGAAGGTGAGAAATTTATTCTGTGAGAAGCCGAGTCCGTTTGGTTCCATTGTAAAGTGCCCCTTTGCAGTTAATCATTGTGCGTATGGATTAACAACCCCACCCATTCCCTAATGGTTAGCATGTTGAAACGATTAATGATTTGGATAAGTGTATATCTAGCAGGAAAATTTTTTTCTTATTTTAGAACCTGTGTTCGTCGAAGATGAAGCCATCCCTCCCTTTGTGGAATGTTTGGGAAAGTGTTTGTTAAAAAGTATAGTCCCAGAAATAGCCGACTGGGTTAAGGCGTGTGGTCAGGACGCCAAATGTTGGTTGGGAAAAGTTGGTGGAGCTGTCGTAAAATGCATCGGAAGCTGTATCCCTTATGCCGAGCAAACCGAAGGTGTGAAACAGTTATCTGTCTTTATTTTTCTCTATCTTTCCTGTTCTTTCTTTCTAGGCGATTGGATATATCAAATGGATATTTGTTGTAGTTTAGCTATCAATTTACAATTTGGAACATGAATGATATCAACAATGACATTGATATTTCAGAAAAATTGTAACAAACATAATTGTCCTTTTGGAAATTACATGCTAACGGCATGCTTCAGTTCTATACATCTTTTATTTTAGCTGAAGTCTTTTCGAAATTGGCAACCGTTGAAGAGCAAGCCATCCCTCCCTTTGTGAAATGTTTGGGAAAGTGTTTGTTACAAAGTATCGTTCCTGAGATAGGCGACTGGGTCAAGGCTTGTGGGCAGGATGCCAAATGTTGGTTGGGAAAAGTTGGCGGAGCTGTCGTAAAATGTATTGGAAGCTGTATCCCTTATGCCGAGCAAACCGAAGGTTTGAAACAGTCGTCTGTTTTTTTTTTTTCATTTTATAAAAAAGGTATATGTTGGAATGTAGCTATCAGTTTACAAGTTTAAACATTGTGATATTTACAGTGGCATCAATATTTAAAGTTCTTAGCTTATTATTTTAGAATTTGTGTCCGTCGAAGACCAAGCCATCCCTCCCTTTGTGGAATGTATGGGGAAGTGCTTGTTGAAAAGTATAGTTCCAGAGATAGGCGACTGGGTTAAGGCATGTGGACATGACGCTAAGTGTTGGCTGGGAAAAGTTGGCGGAGCTGTTGTAAAATGTATTGGAAGCTGTATCCCTTACGCCGAGCAAACAGAAGGTTTGTAATAGTCGTCTTTCTTTTTTTTTTCTCTTTTTCTTTTCCTTTTTTTTTCGCCAATTAATAAAAATGGATATATGTTTAAGTTTAACCATCAATTTACAATTTGATTTTAAAATGATATTTATATTTCAGTAAAGTTTTTGACAAACATAATAGTCCATTTGAAAATTACGTGCTAACCCCAAACTACAATTTCATACATCTTTTGTTGTGGTTGAAGCCTTTTCGAAATTGGCAACCGTCGACGAGCAAGACATTCCTCCAATTGTGAAATGTTTGGGAAAGTGTTTGCTACAAAGCATCGTTCCCGAGATAGGCGACTGGGTTAAGGCTTGTGGGCAGGATGCCAAATGTTGGTTGGGAAAAGTTGGCGGAGCTGTCGTAAAATGTATCGGAAGCTGCATCCCTTATGCCAAGCAGACTGAAGGTTTGCAGCCATTTAGAATGTATCCATTGAAAAAATTACCCTTTCTATTAGATATAAAGACGCTTACGACATTTACATATATGATGTATTTTCATGTGAAGATGAAAGCATTCTCCATAGCATATGATCAAACGGTTGAGAGATCAATGCTGCAAATTGTGCGCGAGAAATGGCTTATTCCTTTGCATATCGTCAAGGTTTGTCCAAACATCATGAGAAGTATACATATACGTATTGATTTCCGTACATTTTGATACTATGTTGTAATAATGTTGTAGAAGACGTGACTCTGGAAGAACAAGACATTCCTCCAATTGTGAAATGTTTGGGAAAGTGTTTGCTACAAAGTATCGTTCCCGAGATAGGCGACTGGGTGAAGGCGTGCGGACAGGACGCCAAATGTTGGTTGGGAAAAGTTGGCGGAGCTGTTGTAAAATGTATCGGAAGCTGTATTCCATATGCCGAGCAAACCGAAGGTATGACGCTACCGTTTTTCAATTTTAATTCATGGAAATAAAGTTGTGTATACTGATTGAAAATTGAATGAAATGATTTGATGTTTTGGATTTAATAAAAGTTGAACAGATATATTGGTCCTTTTGAACATAATATGCATACTCCAAGTTTAATCTCTTTCATCTATGCATTTATTTTAGCTGAAGCCTTTTCGAAATTGGCAACCGTCGACGAACAAGACATTCCTCCAATTGTGAAATGTTTGGGAAAGTGTTTGCTACAAAGCATCGTTCCCGAGATAGGCGACTGGGTTAAGGCATGTGGACATGACGCCAAATGTTGGTTGGGAAAAGTTGGCGGAGCTGTCGTAAAATGCATCGGAAGCTGCATCCCTTATGCCAAGCAGACTGAAGGTTTGCAGATATTTAGAATGTATCAATTGAAAAAATTAACCTTTCTACCTATCTATTAGATCTAAAGACGTACACGACATTTACATATATGGGTTATTTTCATGTGAAGATGAAAGCATTCTCCAGAGCATATGCTCAAACGGTTGAGATATCAAAGCTGCAAATTGTGCGAGAGAAATGGCTTATTCATTTGGAAATTGTCAAGGTATCGCCAAACATCATGAGAAGTATTAAAGACGTATACTTAACATATTTATTCTATTTGCATATCGATTTCCGTACATTTTGATACTATGAATTAATGATGTTATAGAAGACGTGACTCTGGAAGAACGAGACATTCCTCCAATTGTGAAATGTTTGGGAAAGTGTTTGCTACAAAGTATCGTTCCCGAGATAGGCGACTGGGTCAAGGCTTGTGGGCAGGATGCCAAATGTTGGTTGGGAAAAGTTGGCGGAGCTGTTGTAAAATGTATCGGAAGCTGTATTCCATATGCCGAACAAACCGAAGGTATGACGCTACCGTTTTTTCATGGAAATAAAGTTGTGTATGCTGATGGAAAATTTAATGGAGTAATCTATTTGATGTTTTGAATTTAATAAAATTTGATCAGATATATTATTCTTTTTGAGCATAATATGCATACTCCAAGATAAATCTCTTTCACCTATGCATTTATTTTAGCTGAAGTCTTTTCGAAATTGGCAACCGTTGACGAACAGGCCATCCCTCCTTTTGTGGAATGTTTGGGAAAGTGTTTGTTAAAAAGTATAGTCCCAGAGATAGCCGACTGGGTTCAGGCGTGTGGGCATGACGCCAAATGTTGGTTGGGAAAAGTTGGCGGAGCTGTTGTGAAATGTATCGGAAGCTGTATTCCATATGCCGAACAAACCGAAGGTATGATGCTACCGTTTTTTTAATTCATAGAAATAAAGCTGTGTATGCTGATTGAAAATTGAATGGAGTGATCTATTTGATGTTTTGGATTTAATAAAAGTTGAACAGATATATTATTCTTTTGGAGCATAATATGCATACTCCAAGTTAACTCTCTTACACCTATGCATTTATTTTAGCTGAAGTCTTTTCGAAATTGGCAACCGTTGACGAACAGGCCATCCCTCCTTTTGTGGAATGTTTGGGAAAGTGTTTGTTAAAAAGTATAGTCCCAGAGATAGCCGACTGGGTTCAGGCGTGTGGGCATGACGCCAAATGTTGGTTGGGAAAAGTTGGCGGAGCTGTTGTAAAATGTATTGGAAGCTGTATCCCTTATGCCGAGCAAACAGGAGGTATGCATTAACATATTCAAATAAACGACGAGTATAACCAGTGATGGATTTTTGATCTTGCGATGTTGAAAATTTATCATTTATAAGTAATATACGAATGTATTCTAATAAACAGAGATTTGTTTTACTACGTGTTTGTTTTTAAAATTTGTGAACGAATTAATATCATAGAAATACATTCAGTGCTTTCATGCCACAAGCATAAAAGTGATTTTCTGAAATTTATTCACTTATATTCGCATTTTATTTTCCTTTTTAGACAACAACAGGTTGCCTTCTTATTCTGTTATGATGCGCTACCCTCTCTCACAAAGGCTGTTGAAGTCTGCTTATGCTGAGAGTAAACTGCGCCAGAACCTTTAAAATTCTAACAGACATCACGATGCAGTAAAGCCTCGCACATTTCGGCCTGAATGACATTGATGGGAAAATTCAGTGACTCTTAACATAATTCACAGACTCTTACATGAACGATGTAGATTTAATTCCCGCTTGATGTATATATCTTTAGAAATGTGAAGTAAAGAGGAAAATAAAGTAAGCGACAAAATATGCTATCGATATTTCGGTTTAAGGGGATATTTTTTAACTTTTAGTTGACAGCATTAAAACTGTAGCTCAAATCGTCTCACTACCTTAATTTTGATATACAGACAATGTATAAAGTGTGTACATGGACATGCCAATGCAACTGTCATATGACGTCCAGTCTGCCGGTCAGCCTGGTGGCGATTCCAATATATTATCTGATAAAAAGATCTTATCTCTCTTGATTGTACATCCAATACGTTATCTCCTTTATCTAGAGATCTGATATCACTGAACACACGGACTCGATATTAACGTAATAACCAAGTACACACGCCTTGTACAAGTAAATAAAAAGGATTTGGAAATCGACATTTGTGATATTTAAAATACATATTTTAAATTTCATTTTCTATTTCCTTTCGTATAGCACTGTTGTTTTCCTGTTAAGAGGACGCCTACGGACAAAGACGGCCACATTCACCCGCGGTTCTCGCTGTTACCGAGTGCAAGACAAGACTATCGTGCTATATCTTTAGTTCCTTTATTTTTAAATAATATTAAAATTTTGAAAAGTCACAGCATCCAATTTCATCTGCTAGTGCAATGAACAAACATGTCACATGTCGGTTTTGTGTAAAGACTCTTGATAAAACTGACAACTTTTTTCCTTAGTCTTAAAAAGAAAAAAAAACATGCATGAAGTGAATCAATGTAGAATGCATTTGCATCCATTAATTCAGTATTAACTGCAAAATGAATTAAGATAATGAGTCATAAGCCAAAACTAAAAATATAAGCGAAAGGAATTAATAAAAATACATTAAAAGCAAGCTTAGTTTCCCGGTATCGCATATAAATCACTACTACCAGTGAAAACTGAATGAAGGGGTAGAACTCGACTATTGTTAAACGCAACATCATTTAAATGTAACGAGAACGATTTTACATTCATGCTCACCTGCTGAATGGTAAACATCGCCAATACTTATTTATGAACATAGCACTGCTCTACTAAATGGTAACCGAGATCAAAAACAGACTTGCCTCTCTCCCTTAAACATCCAGGGTCCGGTTTCATCAAAGCTGTATAATAGCGCCCTGGTTACTAGCTTGTCCTGGGCTACATACAATCACAAAGTTCTACAGTGAACGGTAAAATATTTCATATTAACAACTTAAATGGAACATGGTCATTAAAAACATTTATTCCGTAATGTATCAAATGATTGGAATATTTCTCCACTTTACGGTGAGTATGTTAACAGACAGGCTATAATCGATGTGGATGGTAGTATCACGGAACTTTGATTAGGATATAAATGAGCTGTGCGCTTCAGAGCTTAAAAGTTGGTCGTTGGGTACACCATCCGGCCCCCTTTTTTCTCCTGTCATACATATGACGCTGTATTATGAAAGAGAAAGAGGACGTAAAGTTGGTCTAAGTTGGAACAAATTTTGTTCTTCTTAAGTCATTTGATTGTGTGATTGGAAAGTGACAGCAGATCACGAGCGGATGACAGGGCATCACTCTGTTGGAGGGGCATAGACCTATATAAGCTCGTGCAACGTCGAAGCAGTGCCAAGGGTCTTCTTCGCCTTAAACTTACCAGACTGCCATTAACGCGATCAGAACAAATTTTAGAGGCAGTATGATGCATTGGGCTTCAGCAGTTTTAGTTTTGCACTTTACAGGTATATCCTTATCTCTTAGAGCAGGCGAAAACATTTTATTTAGTAACACGTTGACAAAGATAATCAGCCTTTTAAAAAGTTCAAATTGGCTGTATGGTTAATGCCTTTTTATTCCTTTTAGTTAAAATGTTTTACATAATCTGTAACAATCCAAGGTTTTCTTCAGATTTCTGCATTTGCTCGCCGCTACTTCCCATGCATACAAATCACTGGGAGCATCAAAGAGGGCCACGGCAGCAACAAATGGATTATCTTCAAGGTAAAAGATAAACAGCAGAGTGTCCTTTTTTAAAAGAATAGAGGCAAGCGGTTGATTTAAAAATAAGAAGTCCTTAGACATGATCTTAAAAAGTTACTCATTTCTTGCGCAGAGTAATGTTGTTTTTTTCTTATTTCCTTTTCGAGTCGTTTGAGTTTTTTCTTCTGCGTTAGAAGAATAATTACTGAAAAAAGGGATAAATTATTCATGTTACCAGTTCACGTCCCACTTGGTCTTCCATGTATCAGTCTTAGCAGATTTGTTAATTAGTAGGTAGACAAGTTATAAGTTTCCTTTTGATGTTTTATTTTACTTTGGGCCCATTAAAAATTGTAATAAGATTTTCTTTTGATGTTTTATTTTACACAGATAAAGACAACCGCCGTTTAGGTGACTCATCTTTTCTTATTGCGTGTCTTGGTAATTCGGAAAATGAAATCGAGAAAGCAGCAGAACTATGCGGAAGAGACTTGAAGTGTTTGGAAAATCACTTGAGCAATGTCATTTTCTTATGTTTGTCAAAGAGAGACATGTCTGACGTACAAGAATTAAAACTCGGTGAGATACGATATTATTGCCCCTTTTTTGATTTGTTTAATTTTTAGCCGATTATCCGTTTTACCAAAAGTAAAAATAAAGACGAAAAATGACTGGTATGGACGTGCCATTTTTTCTTTTTCTTTAAAAAAGTGTATAAAGAAAGAGATCATTAAGTCAGTTGAGATGTGTAAAATATCGCACGCTCACATGTTTCAGAGACAGTACTTAACAATGAAAACAGTTTCCTTCCCTGCATGTTTCAATGCCTCGGCAAATCATTACCTGAGATCTTCATCATATGGGGTGAATGCAGAGAAAACATCAGCTGTTGGGCCCAGAAGATTGGTGGAATAGTCAGAGATTGTTTATCTGAGTGCAATAGAGGTGTAGAGAATGACGAACCAAATGATTCGCTTGGCTTTTATTCTGGTGAGGAATAAATTGCACTCTTGTGTTAACAAAAGCTTTATATTAAAGAGTTTATTATATAGACTAAATAAGAACAGTACCTAACAGGATGTATGGACTTAAAAATTAGTACATCTGTGCCTGATTACTTACAATATAAATAAAATGTTAAGACAGTAGCTTAGATCATGATCATGAATTTACATTGACGATTTCATTTTCACTTCCATTATTATTTAAATGAAAGGGGCAGTTATCGCAATCCGTCTTAAAATTTTTAATAAAATAAAATAAATAACAAGTAAACTATAAAAGCGTGCTACATTTGTACCAGTAGTAATACTATTTTTGCAGTTTTCTGTTGTTCTGCAAGTGTTTCAGTCATGCGACTTTTTGTGCTATTGTAGGCCTAATAGTTTGTTCAACAAATCTTATTTCATTTTTATTTTTATTTAATTCTTCTTTAAACAGGGCGCCTTGACGATGAAACTTTAGGTCCAAAAGTTGAGGCACAGCGGGAAGATATTACTGATCTTGGTAGGTTTGGCTGGTCAGAGCCTGTAGACCTATGGTATTATTTGAATGCGCGATTCACTAATAAAACAGATGAGACATAAGTAATCCTGTAGGGGTTCCATTGGGGGGGGGGGGTCACAATTCACGGGAAATAAAACCAACAAATCTTAGTATTTTAAACTTTATTCATATCTCATTGAGAATCACCGAGTATAGTGACTTCATTTGACGAAGGGCGAGGAATAAAAAGCTGCATTCACTAGTCACGGGAATGGGGTGCTTCACGGATCACGCTGAATAATATGAACGTTTCACGCATTTCGAGAAATAAAAAGTGGCTTTCACGAGTAACAAAAATACCCAATGGGTCCATCTTCCTTCCGTGGTTGTTATGTGAACTGAAAAAAAAAACGTTGTCATAATATGATGTAGACTATAAAAGAAACATCGATGTTATTTGCTTGCAGGTGCGGGTATTAAAAAGGTGGATTTGAAATTCATTAAGTGCGTGGCGTCGTGTCTGAAGACTAATGCTTTTCACATATGGAACATATTCCGCAAGTGCAAGTACGACTTTCATTGTTACGCCATAGAGGTAAGTTATGGTGGTTATCGTTCATATTTTAAAAGAATACCAATGCACAACACCAAGAATTTAAAAGCGCGCCGTTTCTTAGCGTGCGTCCTTTCTGGCGATTCGCATTCTAATAGGAGTGTTTCATGTTTCAAAGTCAGGAATTAACGAGTAATTAATTGATTCAGTTGATAAAAACAAAGGAAAGACATGAATGACTAATGTTAAAACGTTATTTTTGCCCTTTCATTTCAGCTCGGCAAGGAAGCGCTGTCCTGTGTGGAAAGCTGTATAGTCGAAGTTGGTCTGGTCCCGGGGAGGTTAACCTGGAGTCCAGGGCCCGTGACAGAAACAAAGATTACATTAGTGCGGATGCGGAGACTGTTCAAATTGATCAGACCCTCAGAATAGGAAAGTTGAAAATGTGTTATGATTTTTTCTTTTTTACTGAAACTTTTAATTTTGACTATATTCACCTGCGCCTATGGCGACTTTATGCCTAAAAACAACTTTTATAGTCCTCCAACAAGATTGAGGACGTAATGATCAGTTCTTATGCTTTATAAATACAATTTTAAATCTTCAGTTAACTCTCACCTGGTTTAGTTAGTCAATTCTTATTGTTGTTACGATGCTCGAGGGGGAGATTGACACAGAGAAATTAGGCCTACAAAATGTAAAAAAGACGAAATAAAACCGATAAAAAGAAGAGTGAGGATGATGTAAAAGTTATAACATAATTTGAATAAAACATTTTGGTCTTGCAACAAATTTACTGAAAACGAAAGATGTGCCTACATGTACAAATGGATTAAAAAAAAAATATATATATATATATATATATATATATATATATATATATNTTTTTTTTTTTTCAAAACCATAAAGTTAAGATTATAAGTTATAACGAGAACATGTTCTATATCTGGGGTTTTTATCCATATCAGTTGGGGGTTTCGTTTTCTTTTTTAAAAAAAGCTGAAGTTGGCAATCACTTTGCCGATTGCCTTGCCAAGTGTTTGGGCAAGTCTGTGGCTGACGTAGAACGGTGGTTGGAGGAATGTGAAACAGACGTCCAATGCTGGCTGAAAAAAGTGGGCTTTGCAGCTCTGAAGTGCGTACCTGAGTGCGTATCACTGGAAAGTGACGCAGTCCAAATTGTATTTTCCGACACACCAAAGAATAAAGGTTAGTGTAAATGGCAGGCAACTGGGCCTAGCAATGATTCTAGTTGTCTTTAATTAACCACTTCTACTAGTTTCTTACACGACTTAAATAAAGTCCACATGCCAAAGAATGAAACCAAATGAATCACTCAATCACAAAAAAAAAAGCTTTACAACTGAACATTTTTTATATTTCTGGCCGTATACTTGACCTGTATGTATCCGTCTCACCATTCGCAAATGACTTAGTAATGTATAACGCATAACTGCTGCTTGCACAATAGCATTAATATTTGAATGAGGGCTGGCGAAACGACAGTGGGTAAAAAGGAGTTCAAATATCATTTTTTTGGGAAACTACGACACGATACCCTTTGGTATTTCTTTATGTTTTGCTATTTGAAAAACCAAATGATGGCATTTGGTCGGATTTTTGCAATGATTTGACTTCATATATAACTTAAAATGTATTCATTTTTCAACCCTTCAATCATCTGGGTCAATATGACATAAGCACTCCAAATAATCATAAACTTTCAATTTCAGACCATGTTGACAATGACGTGGTGTCTTGTTTGGCCAGATGTCTGGGAAAGTCTGTGGTGGATATTGAGCGTTGGATTGAAGAGTGCAAGAAGAACGTCAAATGCTGGGTAAAGAAAGTGGGAATCGCAGCTCTCAAATGTGTTCCAAAGTGCACGCTCACAGCGCCTACACGGAGCATCACATCTTGGAGATTGGAGGTATGGCCGTCCTACTATGGCCTCTGAAATAAGTGCTCATTCCCACAGCACCTTCACTCTACGTAGATTGATCCACTGAGTGCAATCAGAGCTGAATGACGCCACCTCTTGTTTCCAACGTACTTGTATAATCACCGCAGAGTTGGATCGATCTACGTAGACCGATGGTGCCTGTGGAAATGAACTCTAAGTCTTAGTTATACCAGATGTAATCTGCGCACGTATTTTTTTTTATTTTGATATATTTGATTAACATTCGTTGTTAGCCGAAACCTGAGTTTTGATTTTGTATATATTATATAACAGTGGTGATCAAAAACTTAAAAGTAGTATAAAGCTTTAAGTTTTATTATTTTAACTGTGCTATTTTGATAACAGTTATTGACGAGTGCAAAATGATTACTTTTCCCACAGGTACTGAATTATAACACTCAGGGAGAAGGTAGAAGATTTGTACAGTAGTTGGGCCCAGGTGAAAAGCACAGTTGATGAAATGAAGCGAACTGGTGCCTGTGTTATTGACACACGCATATACTAAAGTATTTTATTGAGGAAGAGACCACAGGATACACAAGTAATTTTGTGAAAGAAGGGTGTCCAACACACTATTGAAATGAGCCAATAATAGAAATGAATGATGTGGAAAAAATGATAGAAACACGGAATATTTATTGATTGATTCCAGATGAATTTACTTGCGATTGACAATGACATAAGAAAATATTTCAAAATTAACGTAGTAGTATGCCTATTATGATTATGTTAAAACATATTGTAAAGACTCATTTGTGATAATCTATGTACTTTTTATTAGTAATCTCCGTGAAGAATTGTTTGAAGAAATACAATCTCGATCTGTTTTGTCCATCATAACGTAGGCCTATGCCTTCTTATTTACTGTTTATATATAATTATGTCAAGAATATCTTAAATTGTCAATCCATTTGTATGGAGATGAAGTTACACAGTTTGAGCAAGTCTTGATAATTAACAGTAAAGCCCCTATTTCACACAGACCACGAATCCCACGAATGGCCATGAATTGACAAATTTCACGATTCGTGGTTGAATCGTAATCAGTTCGTGAAGTTCTTAACAGATTCGTATCTATTCGTAGTCAGTTCTTGCACTTCTTGACCAACAGGAATTGGTGGCAAAAACTTTGATGCCCCTATTTCACACAGACCACGAATCCCAGGAATCGCCAGGAATTGAAAATTTCAGGATTCGTAATCAGTTCGTGAAGTTCTTAGCAGATTCGTATATAATCGTGGTCAGTTATTGCAATTCTTGATCAATCGGGAATTCGTGGCAAAAATTTTGAGCTGTTCAAAGTTTTGGCCACGAACTCCCGATTCCAAAAAATCGTAGTGAATTTCTGGACAATATTCGTGCGATTCCAACCGAATCCCACGAATTTTCGTAACACTATCGCACCTGTATCGTAACTGAATCGTAGAGCGTGTCGAATTAGACCAGAAAATTGGCAAAATCTCGCGAATCCTCACGAATCCTGAAATTTGTCAATTCCTGGCGATTCGTGGGGTCCGTGGTCTGTGTGAAATAGGGGCCTAAAGGATTTTATTTTAAGCGTACGGCATGTAGGCTACAGTTAGAAAAAAATTCTTGGTTGCTCACCATCAGTATCGTATGAAACCTTCAGTTTATTGTCAAGACTTGCTCAAACTTTCTCACTCTGTTTTATTTCATTTCCTTGCAAAAATTTCAAAAAGTTACGAATGTCAAGTGTATTATGTATCAATATAATTAGTTAAATGAATTACCTTAGCTCACATGGTGATTTATAATTATTCAAAATAACGATGTTTCCAAACAACTAGGTAGAATGTGTGTGTGTGTGTGTGTGTGTGTGCACGTTCACAGTGCTAAAGATACACATATTTTTGTCTCATCTCTATGTAGAGAGTAAAAATAAACTATTGCTTTTACGAGCGATGTATTATTATATCTATAATAGAGGTGCCCTTTCATCGGCACCCAATGGCTTTCAACATCAAGCTAAAAATTTACCTATTTCTTGTTTTCTTTTACTTATTTTCTTTTTTTTATACGTTCATAATAAAGTTTGCTCTGAATGCCTGAGAACATCCATAACTTCTAGATCTTATAGTTGTCTCTCATTTGTCAAACATCTATGCCACCCCTCCTCTCCCTCCATCAATCGTACTCATGTACCCTCTGTTTGATCATTCTCTAGCTGGTATCAACGGTATCTAAGCTTAGTTTCCATTCGTTATCAAATTAACCGCAATTATTGCTCTGGATTGTCACAAGGGTGAAATGCATGCCGGGGTGGGGGGGGGGGGAGGGGGTTCGTGAGGACCATTAAAGCGCGAACATCTTACGTAGCAACGTATTAGTAATTACTACAATGATTGGTGCGTATTTATTAATGATAATCATTTTTCATAGTTCCGTGAAAATTAACTATAAGATAAAGACAATGTCTGCGCTTACAACGCCATACCCTGGCGTTAATTAATATGGCCTCACATGTCACGCAGATTCAAAGGTCAGTCTCATGACAATAGCACGTTCCCCATTGCCTCACTCCAGATGAGAATAATTGCGTAAATTCATCCCAAAATAATGCTTTGTATCAGTTGTCGCGTGACGTGACAGCGCGGCTATTGTGTATAAAGAGTTGCTAGTAAATCCATTAGCGTCAGTTTTAGGTTCGGTCTCTCAACCATTTGAAGTGAGAAACCAGTGATGACGATGCTATTAGTTCTGTGCTCGGTGGCGCTTTTTATTGGGGCTCATGGTGAGGCAGTTAATTTTCAATTGGCAAAAGTACAGTTTTTTTCTTTCACAGGTTATCTAAACTTGTAATCGTTTGTGGGAGTTGGTGGTTTTTTTTTTTTTTTTTTTTTTTTGAATATCTGCAATGTTAATCAAAAGCAAGTATTTCTAATCAATAATAATTTACGGTTTGCACCTTTTATAAAAGGCATTCACTATAATGAAACATGTTTAAAACATCTGTAATCAATTATTTTTCCTATCCTCAAACAATCTTGAGAAAAAAGGAAACACCAAAAATAGCAAATAATGATAAGTTACGATTTTCGCTTTCCAGGAGCTGCGTTGGGGGACATGCCAAAGATGGACCAAAGTCTTGAATACAACCCTTTTCTTGACATGGCCAGCGAATTTCAATCTCATGCCAATCAAGGTAAAATCCTACAGCTTAATCTGTATTAATCTAGTTAGACACACAATAAAACATTATTTTGAAAAGTTCCTTACAATTTCAACACTTTCTGCTCATTCAAAATTCATTTTGTCTAGACCAAGGCGCCTCATCGTTCGTGATATGTATGGCAAAATGCTTGGGAAAAAGTGTTACAGAGGTCGAAGGTTGGGTCAAGGAATGTGGAAAAGACGCAAAATGTTGGCTGGAAAAAGTTGGCGGAGCTGCTTTGAAATGTGTAGGAGAATGCCTTGCCACTTCTTCTTTAGATATGTCTGAAGGTGAGTTATTTATTCTGTGAGAAGCCGAGTCCGTTTGGTTCCATTGTAAAGTGCCCCTTTGCAGTTAATCATTGTGCGTATGGATTAACAACCCCACCCATTCCCTAATGGTTAGCATGTTGAAACGATTAATGGTTTGGATAAGTGTATATCTAGCAGGAAAAGTTTTTTCTTATTTTAGAACCTGCGTTCGTCGCAGATGAAGCCATCCCTCCCTTTGTGGAATGTTTGGGGAAGTGTCTGTTAAAAAGTATAGTCCCAGAAATAGCCGACTGGGTTAAGGCGTGTGGCCAGGACGCCAAATGTTGGTTGGGAAAAGTTGGTGGAGCTGTCGTAAAATGCATCGGAAGCTGTATCCCTTATGCCGAGCAAACCGAAGGTGTGAAACAGTTATCTGTCTTTATTTTTCTCTATCTTTCCTGTTCTTTCTTTCTAGGCGATTGGATATATCAAATGATATTTGTTGTAGTTTAGCTATCAATTTACAATTTGGAACATGAATGATATCAACAATGACATTGATATTTCAGAAAAATTGTAACAAACATAATTGTCCTTTTGGAAATTACATGCTAACGGCATGCTTCAGTTCTATACATCTTTTATTTTAGCTGAAGTCTTTTCGAAATTGGCAACCGTTGAAGAGCAAGCCATCCCTCCCTTTGTGAAATGTTTGGGAAAGTGTTTGCTACAAAGTATCGTTCCTGAGATAGGCGACTGGGTCAAGGCTTGTGGGCAGGATGCCAAATGTTGGTTGGCAAAAGTTGGCGGAGCTGTCGTAAAATGTATTGGAAGCTGTATCCCTTATGCCGAGCAAACCGAAGGTTTGAAACAGTCGTCTGTTTTTTTTTTTTTTTTTCATTTAATAAAATAGGTATATGTTGGAATGTAGCTATCAGTTTACAAGTTTAAACATTGTGATATTTACAGTGGCATCAATATTTAAAGTTCTTGGCTTATTACTTTTAGAATTTGTGTCCGTCGAAGACCAAGCCATCCCTCCCTTTGTGGAATGTATGGGGAAATGCTTGTTGAAAAGTATAGTTCCAGAGATAGGCGACTGGGTTAAGGCATGTGGACATGACGCTAAGTGTTGGCTGGGAAAAGTTGGCGGAGCTGTTGTAAAATGTATTGGAAGCTGTATCCCTTACGCCGAGCAAACAGAAGGTTTGTAATAGTCGTCTTTCTTTTTTTTTTTTTTTCTCTCTTTTTCTTTTCCTTTTTTTTTTCGCCAATTAATAAAAATGGATATATGTTTAAGTTTAACTATCAATTTACAATTTGATTTTAAAATGATATTTATATTTCAGTAAAGTTTTTGACAAACATAATAGTCCATTTGAAAATTACGTGCTAACCCCAAACTACAATTTCATACATCTTTTGTTGTGGTTGAAGCCTTTTCGAAATTGGCAACCGTCGACGAACAAGACATTCCTCCAATTGTGAAATGTTTGGGCAAGTGTTTGCTACAAAGTATCGTTCCCGAGATAGGCGACTGGGTCAAGGCTTGTGGGCAGGATGCCAAATGTTGGTTGGGAAAAGTTGGCGGAGCTGTCGTAAAATGTATCGGAAGCTGCATTCCTTATGCCAAGCAGACTGAAGGTTTGCAGATATTTAGAATGTATCAATTGAAAAAATTACCCTTTCTACCTATCTATTAGATCTAAAGACGTACACGACATTTACATATATGGGTTATTTTCATGTGAAGATGAAAGCATTCTCCATAGCATATGATCAAACGGTTGAGATATCAATGCTGCAAATTGTGCGCGAGAAATGGCTTATTCCTTTGCATATCGTCAAGGTTTGTCCAAACATCATGAGAAGTATTTAAGACGTATACGTATTGATTTCCGTACATTTTGATACTATGAATTAATAATGTTGTAGAAGACGTGACTCTGGAAGAACAAGACATTCCTCCAATTGTGAAATGTTTGGGAAAGTGTTTGCTACAAAGTATCGTTCCCGAGATAGGCGACTGGGTGAAGGCGTGCGGACAGGACGCCAAATGTTGGTTGGGAAAAGTTGGCGGAGCTGTTGTAAAATGTATCGGAAGCTGTATTCCATATGCCGAACAAACCGAAGGTATGACGCTACCGTTTTTCAATTTTAATTCATGGAAATAAAGTTGTGTATGCTGATTGAAAATTGAATGAAATGATTTGATGTTTTGGATTGAATAAAAGTTGAACAGATATATTGATCCTTTTGAACATAATATGCATACTCCAAGTTTAATCTCTTTCACCTATGCATTTATTTTAGCTGAAGCCTTTTCGAAATTGGCAACCGTCGACGAACAAGACATTCCTCCAATTGTGAAATGTTTGGGCAAGTGTTTGCTACAAAGCATCGTTCCCGAGATAGGCGACTGGGTTAAGGCATGTGGACATGACGCCAAATGTTGGTTGGGAAAAGTTGGCGGAGCTGTCGTAAAATGTATCGGAAGCTGCATCCCTTATGCCAAGCAGACTGAAGGTTTGCAGATATTTAGAATGTATCAATTGAAAAAATTACCCTTTCTACCTATCTATTAGATCTAAAGACGTACACGACATTTACATATATGGGTTATTTTCATGTGAAGATGAAAGCATTCTCCAGAGCATATGCTCAAACGGTTGAGATATCAAAGCTGCAAATTGTGCGAGAGAAATGGCTTATTCATTTGGAAATTGTCAAGGTTCGCCAAACATCATGAGGAGTATTTAAGACGTATACTTAACATATTTATTCTATTTACGTATTGATTTCCGTACATTTTGATACTATGAATTAATAATGTTGTAGAAGACGTGACTCTGGAAGAACAAGACATTCCTCCAATTGTGAAATGTTTGGGAAAGTGTTTGCTACAAAGTATCGTTCCCGAGATAGGCGACTGGGTGAAGGCGTGCGGACAGGACGCCAAATGTTGGTTGGGAAAAGTTGGCGGAGCTGTTGTAAAATGTATCGGAAGCTGTATTCCATATGCCGAACAAACCGAAGGTATGACGCTACCGTTTTTCATGGAAATAAAGTTGTGTATGCTGATGGAAAATTGAATGGAGTGATCTATTTGATGTTTTGGATTTAATAAAATTTGAACAGATATATTATTCTTTTTGAGCATAATATGCATACTCCAAGTTAACTCTCTTACACCTATGCGTTTATTTTAGCTGAAGTCTTTTCGCAATTGGCAACCGTTGACGAACAGGCCATCCCTCCTTTTGTGGAATGTTTGGGAAAGTGTTTGTTAAAAAGTATAGTCCCAGAGATAGCCGACTGGGTTCAGGCGTGTGGGCATGACGCCAAATGTTGGTTGGGAAAAGTTGGCGGAGCTATTGTAAAATGTATCGGAAGCTGTATCCCTTATGCCGAGCAAACAGGAGGTATGCATTATCATATTCAAATAAACGACGAGTATGACCAGTGATGGATTTTGATCTTGCGATGTTAAAAATTTATCATTTATAAGTAATATACGAATGTATTCTAATAAACGGAGATTTGTTTTACTACGTGTTTGTATTTAAATTTTGTGGACGAATTAATATCATAGAAATACACACTGTGCTTTCATGCCACAACCATGAAAGTGATTTTCTGAAATTTATTCACTTATATCGCATTTTATTTTCCTTTTTAGAGAACAACAGGTTGCCTTCTTATTCTGTTATGATGCGCTACCCTCTCTCACAAAGACTGTTGAAGTCTGCTTATGCTGAGAGTAAACTGCGCCAGAACCTTTGAAATTCTAACAGACATCACAATGCAGTAAAGCCTCGTACATTTCGGCCTGAATGACATTGATGGGAAAATTCAGTGACTCTTAACATAATTCACAGACTCTTACATGAACGATGTAGATTTAATTCCCGCTTGATGTATATATCTTTAGAAATGTGAAGTAAAGAGGAAAATAAAGTAAGCGACAAAATATGCTATCGATATTTCGGTTTAAGGGGATATTTTTTAACTTTTAGTTGACAGCATTAAAACTGTAGCTCAAATCGTCTCACTACCTTAATTTTGATATACAGACAATGTATAAAGTGTGTACATGGACATGCCAATGCAACTGTCATGTGACGTCCAGTCTGCCGGTCAGCCTGGTGGCGATTCCAATATATTATCTGATAAAAAGATCTTATCTCTCTTGATTGTACATCCGATACGTTATCTCCTTTATCTAGAGATCTGATACATGTATCACTGAACACACGGACTCAATATTAACGTAATAACCAAGTACACGCGCCTTGTACAAGTAAATAAAAAGGATTTGGAAATCGACATTTGTGATATTTAAAATACATATTTTAAATTTCATTTTCTATTTCCTTTCGTATAGCACTGTTGTTTTCCTGTTAAGAGGACGCCTACGGACAAAGACGGCCACATTCACCCGCGGTTCTCGCTGTTACCGAGTGCAAGACAAGACTATCGTGCTATATCTTTAGTTCCTTTATTTTTAAATTATATTAAAATTTTGAAAAGTCACAGCATCCAATTTCATCTGCTAGTGCAATGAACAAACATGTCACATGTCGGTTTTGTGTTAAGACTCTTGATAAAACTGACAACTTTTTTCCTTAGTCTTAAAAAGAAAAAAAACATGCATGAAGTGAATCAATATAGAATGCATTTGCATCCATTAATTCAGTATTAACTGCAAAATGAATTAAGATAATGAGTCATAAGCCAAAACTAAAAATATAAGCGAAAGGAATTAATAAAAATACATTTAAAGCAAGCTTAGTTTCCCGGTATCGCATATAAATCACTACTACCAGTGAAAACTGAATGAAGTAAACTCGACTATTGTTAAACGCAACATCATTTAAATGTAACGAGAACGATTTTACATTCATGCTCACCTGCTGAATGGTAAACATCGCCAATACTTATTAATATAGCACTGCTCTACTAAATGGTAACCGAGATCAAAAACAGACTTGCCTCTCTCCCTTAAACATCCAGGGTCCGGTTTCATCAAAGCTGTATAATAGCGCCCTGGTTACTAGCTTGTCCTGGGCTACATACAATCACAAAGTTCTACAGTGAACGGTAAAATATTTCATATTAACAACTTAAATGGAACATGGTCATTAAAAACATTTATTCCGTAATGTATCAAATGATTGAAATATTTCTCCACTTTACGGTGACTATGTTAACAGACAGGCTATAATCGATGTGGATGGTAGTATCACGGAACTTTGATTAGGATATAAATGAGGTGTGCGCTTCAGAGCTTAAAAGTTGGTCGTTGGGTACACCATCCGGCCCCCTTTTTTCCTTTTTTCTCCTGTCATACATATGACGCTGTATTATGAAAGAGAAAGAGGACGTAAAGTTGGTCTAAAATGGAACAAATTTTGTTCTTCTTAAGTCATTTGATTGTGTGATTGGAAAGTGACAGCAGATCACGAGCGGATGACAGGGCATCACTCTGTTGGAGGGGCATAGACCTATGTAAGCTCGTGCAACGTCGAAGCAGTGCCTAGGGTCTTCTTCGCCTTAAACTTACCAGACTGCCATTAACGCGATCAGAACAAATTTTAGAGGCAGTATGATGCATTGGGCTTCAGCAGTTTTAGTTTTGCACTTTACAGGTATATCCTTATCTCTTAGAGCAGGCGAAAACATTTTATTTAGTAACACGTTGACAAAGATAATCAGCCTTTTAAAAAGTTCAAATTGGCTGTATGGTTAATGCCTTTTTATTCCTTTAAGTTAAAATGTTTTACATAATCTGTAACAATCCACGGTTTTCTTCAGATTTCTGCATTTGCTCGCCGCTACTTCCCATGCATACAAATCATTGGGAGCATCAAAGAGGCCCACGGCAGCAACAAATGGATAATCTTCAAGGTAAAAGATAAACAGCAGAGTGTCCTTTTTTAAAAGAATGGAGGCAAGCGGTTGATTTAAAAATAAGAAGTACTTAGAAATTATCTCAAAAAGTTACTCATTTCTTGCGCAAAGTAATGTTGTTTTTTTTCTTATTTCCTTTTCGTGTCGTTTGAAAGTTTTTTCTTCTGCATTAGAAGAATAATTGCTGAAAAAAGGGATAAATTATTCATGTTACCAGTTCACGGCCCCCTTGGTCCCCCATGTATCAGTCTTAGCAGATTTGTTAATTAGTAGGTAGACAAGTTATAAGTTTCCTTTTGATGTTTTATTTTACTTTGGGCCCATTAAAAATTGTAATAAGATTTTCTTTTGATGTTTTATTTTACATAGATAAAGACAACCGCCGTTTAGGTGACTCATCTTTTCTTATTGCGTGTCTTGGTAATTCGGAAAATGAAATCGAGAAAGCAGCAGAACTATGCGGAAGAGACTTGAAGTGTTTGGAAAATCACTTGAGCAAAGTCATTTTCTTATGTTTGTCAAAGAGAGACATGTCTGAAGTACAAGAATTAAAACTCGGTGAGATACGATATTATTGCCCCTTTTTCAATTTGTTTAATTTTTAGCCGATTATCCGTTTTACCAAAAGTAAAATTAAAGACGAAAAATTACTGGTATGGACGTGCCATTTTTTCTTTTTCTTTAAAAAAAGTGTATAAAAAAAGAGATCATTAAGTCAGTTGAGATGTGTAAAATATCGCACGCTCACATGTTTCAGAGACAGTACTTAACAATGAGAACAGTTTCCTTCCCTGCATGTTTCAATGCCTCGGCAAATCATTACCTGAGATCTTCATCATATGGGGTGAATGCAGAGAAAACATCAGCTGTTGGGCCCAGAAGATTGGTGGAATAGTCAGAGATTGTTTATCCGAGTGCAATAGAGGTGTTGAGAATGACGAACCAAATGATTCGCTTGGCTTTTATTCTAGTGAGGAATAAATTGCACTCTTGTGTTAACAAAAGGTTTATATTAAAGAGTTTATTATATAGACTAAATAAGAACAGTACCTAACAGGATGTATGGACTTAAAAATGAGTACATCTGTGCCTGATTACCTACAATATAAATAAAATGTTAAGACAGTAGCTTAGATCATGATCATGAATTTACATTGACGATTTCATTTTCACTTCCATTATTATTTAAATGAAAGGGGCAGTTATCGCAATCCGTCTTAAAATTTTTAATAAAATAAAATAAATAACAAGTTAACTATAAAAGCGTGCTACATTTGTACCAGTAGTAATACTATTTTTGCAGGTTTCTGCTGCTCTGCAAGTGTTTCAGTCATGCGACTTTTTGTGCTATTGTAGGCCTAATAGTTTGTTCAACAAATCTTATTTCATTTTTATTTTTATTTAATTCTTCTTTAAACAGGGCGCCCTGACGATGAAACTTTAGGTCCAAAAGTTGAGGCACAGCGGGAAGATATTATTGATCTTGGTAGGTTTGGCTGGTCAGAGCCTGTAGACCTATGGTATTATTTGAATGCGCGATTCACTAATAAAACAGATGAGACATGAGTAATCTTTCCTGTAGGGGTTCCATTGGGGGGGGGGGGGGGGGGGTCACAATTCACGGGAAATAAAACCATCAAATCTTAGTATTTTAAACTTTATTCATATCTCATTGAGGATCACCGAGTATAGTGACTTCATTTGACGAAGGGCGAGGAATAAAAAGCTGCATTCACTAGTCACGGGAATGGGGTGCTTCACGGATCACGCTGAATAATATGAACGTTTCACGCATTTCGAGAAATAAAAAGTGGCTTTCACGAGTAACAAAAATACCCAATGGGTCCATCTTCCTTCCGTGGTTGTTATGTGAACTGAAAAAAAAAACGTTGTCATAATATGATGTAGACTATAAAAGAAACATCGATGTTCTTTGCTTGCAGTTGCGGGTATTAAAAAGGTGGATTTGAAATTCATTAAGTGCGTGGCGTCGTGTCTGAAGACTAATGTTTTTCACATATGGAACATATTCCGCAAGTGCAAGTACGACTTTCATTGTTACGTCATAGAGGTAAGTTACGGTGGTTATCGTTCATATTTTAAAAGAATACCAATGCACAACACCAAGAATTTAAAAGCGCGCCGTTTCTTAGCGTGCGTCCTTTCTGACGATTCTCATTCTAATAGGAGTGTTTCATGTTTCAAAGTCAGGAATTAACGAGTAATTAATTGATTCAGTTGATAAAAACAAAGGAAAGACATGAATGACTAATGTTAAAACGTTATTTTTGCCCTTTCATTTCAGCTCGGCAAGGAAGCGCTGTCCTGTGTGGAAAGCTGTATAGCCGAAGTTGGTCTGGCCCCAGGGAGGTTAACCTGGAGTCCAGGACCCGTGACAGAAGCAAAGATTACATTAGTGCGGATGCGGAGACTGTTCAAATTGATCAGACCCTCAGACTAGGAAAGTTTAAAATGTGTTATGATTTTTTCTTTTTTACTGAAACTTTTAATTATGCCTATATTCACCTGCGCCTATGGCGACTTTATGCCTAAAAACAACTTTTATAGTCCTCCAAAAAGATTGAGGACGTAATGATCAGATCTTATGCTTTTTAAATACAATTTTCAATCTTCAATTAACTCTTACCTGGTTTAGTTAGTTGAAGATTATTGTTGTTACGATGCTCGAGCGGGAGATTGACACAGAGAAATTAGGCCTACAAAATGTAAAAAAGACGAAATAAAAAGAAGAGTGAGGATGATGTAAAAGTTATAACATAATTTGAATAAAACATTTTGGTCTTGCAACAAATTTACAGAAAACGAATACCAATGCACATGTAAGTACTATAACAGGCACTTGTAATTACTACATATATGTTATGCAAATACCAGATACTTCCTTTATACTGTTAATATTTTTAAATTGTATTAAAATACTATGGACAAGAACTTTCAATAAAATAAAAGGAATAGACACTGTACTGACCGCACTTCCTTGTTACATGTAATAACACAATTACGCCTTTACAAATACAAAGAAGAGTTTTCAGTACAAAGCATAATTAATGGTCACCCAACTTATACATATTTTTTTTGATTTTTTTGTTTTTCTATCATCTTATCAAGATCAGTGGCGAATAATGTTTATTGATTAAACTGCCTGTCATCGAACATGATTCAGGATCTGATTCCACGTGCTTTCGTTCTGTGAAAACATAAAAAACTAGAAAAGCACTCCGAGAGCGCAGACCTCCGCCAAGGCAGCGATTTTTTATTATTATTGATTATTGATTGATTATTGATCCGGATCACCACCAAAAGCTAATCATCTCTTCCTTGGCCCACTTCTGACAGTTCCTGAAATTTTCATTAAAATCGGTCCATAACTTTTTGAGTGTTGATGACAGACAGACAAACAAACAAACAAACAGACAAACAGGGGTGAAAAAATACCCTTGGAGGAGGTAATAACCCGCGAGATATCGCGAGAAGCAACATGTCAGCCTCCTGCGAAAACAAAAGCTTCTTTTGCGAAAGCCGTGTAAACAACTACCACTGAAAACGTGAGTGGCCAGAGTCTGGTTGGACTGACAGTTGCCAAATTTTCATTTGTAGGCCAACTCTTGATAAATTCAATTTTCTTGTTTTCAACTCTTTTTATCGTTTTGCTTTTTTAATCGAGTTTAGTCTCCACACTAATGCGCACATGCAAACATGGAGAAGATTCCCATTAAGAAGCTTGGATGGTGTTGCCGTCTGCTGTTTTAGAAAAATGACAACTGTGCCTAAAGTGGAGGCCGTGCTTATAGATCTTAGTGGAACGCTTCACATAGAAGATACCGCGATTCCTAACGCTGCGGATGCATTAAAAAGGTGTGTCAGTTACATTGTATTGCCAAAATATTTGTAACGAGATGAAAAGTTTTGCCTCAGTACTTGTATTTCGTCCATAAAATTGATCATAGTAGTAGCATGCTGCAAAGTATGAATAATTCAAATGTTGGACTTAAGCTTGCTTATTGGTATTTTAGAAAGCATTTTTTAAATAATGGAACTATTGGCATTGCATTTAATTTTTTACCAGAATTATGTTTGCACACAATAATGGAAAAATGTTTGCATGTCACCAACATGCCAGGTGAAGTTCATACACACAAAAATGAAACAGAATTAAAAATATATTGCATCAAACTTTGCAGTGCCATATGTTATCCATTTTGTTGCATAAAATGTCATTTGACATAAGATACATGCACAGTAAGTTGTGACATGCAGATTTAATTATTAAATTAGTTGCTTGTCTTATATACAGTTATTTTGCAGTTTTAACTTGAAATAAGTGTATTGATTATCGCTGGTAATCCACCATTTACATGCTTTATTTATTTATTTATTTATTTATTTATTTATTTATTTATTTATTTATATTTTTGAAGGTTGAAGAGCAGTGGTGTGAAAGTCAGATATGTCACAAACACGACTAAAGAGCCAAAGCGGTTACTGCACAACAGATTAACGCAGCTGGGGTTTGCCATACAGCTAGAAGAGATCTTCACTTCCCTAACAGCTGCTAGAAATTTAGTGGAGGCCAGAAAGATCAGGCCATTGTGCTTTTTGGAAGATGAAGCCAAGGAAGATTTTGAAGGTAAAATGTGGGTATGACTGGGATTTCTTACCCTACATGTCCCATGTTTGGCAAATTTCTTGTTTTATTTGAAGTAATCAAAATATGGTAAAGAATGGAAGGTTTTGAATACCAGAGTGCCATAAGCAAAGTATTATACAAGTGTTTTCTTTATTTTGAATTGAAAAGAAAAATTTAAAATGTAGAATGGAATCATTTATTCAACAGAATAGACATGATGTACATGTAGAACTTTTTTGTAGGTATTGGAGTAGAAGACCCTAATGCTGTGGTTGTTGGCCTTGCTCCATCATATTTTAACTATGAACCTTTAAATAAAGCTTTCAAGTAGGCGAACTTTTTATACAAGTAGATAAAAAATGAGGATTTAGTTTTTGTGTAAGTTATAAACTTAAAGTAAAAGCGGAGAGATAATTGATTAACTTGGTAAATTGAATGGGAGTATAATTTAGGTCTAGAATACCTAACACCTTGCACCCAAAACATTCAGTGGCATGTATTTTCCAAAGCATATATGAAAAAAGAAAGAAAAGGAAAAAATATATCAATCCTGTAGTCTTTTTGTTAACCTTCTATCCTGCAGTTTGCTTATTGAAGGTGCTTCACTAATTGCCATCCACAAAGCAAGGTATTATAAAAAGAAAGATGGGTTGGCACTGGGTCCAGGTGAGCTTTTTCCCTTTTGTAACTTTTCCTTTAGCACAGTTCTGCTAGTGATCATTAAACAAAATATCTCTACTAAATATAGCAACACAGTTGTGCTGAAGTTTTTAATATATTTAAAGGGATAAAAACTTTTCATGTGACATCTGTATTTCACAATAAATCTTGTAAACAACTCCAAGAAATATAGTAAATTCTACTTAACCACCAAAACAACAGTTATTGCAGTTATTCTGGAATCTGTGCTAAGTATGTGACCTGTCTTTGAAATTTTAAGTTTTAGAGGAATAAAACAAAGTTACCATAAAACTAAATCTTTTAGAATTAAGTTCCCCATAATGTCAGTTTTTTTTCTAGGGGGCTTTGTGGAAGCACTGGAGTATGCATCCGGTGTAAAAGCTGAAGTAGTCGGAAAACCAGAAAAAACTTTTTTCCTGGAAGCCCTTAGGGATTTGAAGTGTTCTCCACAGAATGCCGTCATGATTGGAGATGTATGCACTTTTTCTCATCTGATTGTTATTTGGACAAATTATAAAAATAACATACTGAGCAAACATGACAGGATATTACCTACTCCATGCTCCTTTCATAAAGTATGATTCACAACCATTTCATTTGTTCATGCATCATATTTATGCATTTATGACTATTTATAATTTATATTATTTATGATTAAATTTGTTTATATTTACTGCTGTGCTGTATTGTAGGATGTCCGAGATGATGTAGGGGGCGCTCAAGCTGCAGGTTTGCATGGTATTCTGGTCAAGACTGGTAGGTCATTGTGGAACTTAAATTGGTCTGACAGAATTGTTACTGGTTAAAAAAAAAATACTACTTTTGACTCATATTTGTTCCAACAGATTTGTGTTTTTATCAGTTTGGTTGAAAATTTTAACTAAAAACAAAATTACGCAAGCAGGTTTCTTGTAAGCATTAGTAAGTGTAACTATTGTTTTTTTTTTTGTATAGTTTTTATTTTCTTTTAGCTTTTATTCGAACTAATGTTAAAATGGCATTCTTCCTGCAGGTAAATATCGTGAAGGGGATGAAGAAAAGATTAGCCCTGCACCATTTGCCACATGTTTCGACTTCCCAGCAGCCACAGAACTGTTGATAAACAAATACTTGTGACAAAGAGAAAACAGAGGGGTTAACCAATTTAACGCATTAAAAGACTTATGGTATAGATTACAGCAAAAATCAGGATACCAACCTAATTTATATATTACAAGCTGTATTCCTCCCGTTTTAGTGTGGTTACAGTATGGCATGTCAGGTCATTTTAAAACATTTTAAAAGGTCAGACTGCAAATTGTAACTCTTCTTTTTTACAGTGTCTGCATAGAAATAAAATTAAGTATACAAGATTCAAACTTCATTTTTATTTATTAATTTATTTATTTGATCATTCAAAGAAGTCAAGATTCAATATTTGCATTTATTATTAAAAACCTATGACCCAAATTTTCAAATAGCCCACAAAAATATTCCAGTTGAATTTTTCAGCTCTCACTGAATGTTTTGGCTCAAAATAAATCACAAACAAACTGCATCCTGGTAATAGACTCTAGGTTAGCAACATTTTCGGTTACAAATACATCAGATTCATTACACTGTCATGAATGGAGAAAAACACTAGTAAATATGTTCCATGACACTTCTTTTATAAAGTTTGAGCTCATTAATTTTCATCTGCCAGGGATGTGATGCTAACATTGCCAGCACTTGAATTGACAAATGAACAATCAGAGTTTAGATAGAGCCGAAGATCTGATGCTCAGTTCTACCCATCACAGGGACATTCTGATGGTAGAGCACACGATGTGATTCCCCAGTCANGAAAACATGAAAACAAAAGCTTCTTTTGCGAAAGCCCGTGTAAACAACTACCACTGAGAACGTGAGTGGCCAGATTCTGGTTGGACTGACAGTTGTCAAAATTTTCATTTGTAGGCCAACTCTTGACAAACTCGATTTTCTTGTTTTCAACTCTTTTTATCGTTTTGCTTTTTTAATCGAGTTTAGTCTCCACACTACAATGCGCACATGCAAACATTGAGAAGATTCCCATTAAAAAGCTTGGATGGTGTCTTCGTCTGTTGTTTTAGAAAAATGACAACTGTGCCTAAAGTGGAGGCCGTGCTTATAGATCTTAGTGGAACGCTTCACATAGAAGATACCGCGATTCCTAACGCTGTGGATGCATTAAAAAGGTGTGTCAGTTAAATTGTATTGCCAAAATATTTGTAACGAGATGAAAAGTTTTGCCTCAGTACTTGTATTTCGTCCATAAAATTGATCATAGTAGTAGCATGCTGCAAAGTATGAATAATTCAAATGTTGGACTTAAGCTTGCTTATTGGTATTTTAGAAAGCATCTTTTAAATAATGGAACTATTGGCATTGCATTTAATTTTTTACCAGAATTATGTTTGCACACAATAATGGAAAAATGTTTGCATGTCACCAACATGCCAGGTGAAGTTCATACACACAAAAATGAAACAGAATTAAAAATATATTGCATCAAACCTTGCAGTGCCATATGTTATCCATTTTGTTGCATAAAACGTCATTTGACATAAGATACATGCACAGTAAGTTGTGACATGCAGATTTAATTATTAAATTAGTTGCTTGTCTTATACACATTTATTTTGCAGTTTTAACTTGAAATAAGTGTATTGATTATCACTGGTAATACACCATTTACATGCTTTATTTATTTATTTATATTTTTGAAGGTTGAAGAGCAGTGGTGTGAAAGTCAGATATGTCACAAACACGACTAAAGAGCCAAAGCGGTTACTGCACAACAGATTAACGCAGCTGGGGTTTGCCATACAGCTAGAAGAGATCTTCACTTCCCTAACAGCTGCTAGAAATTTAGTGGAGGCCAGAAAGATCAGGCCATTGTGCTTTTTGGAAGATGAAGCCAAGGAAGATTTTGAAGGTAAAATGTGGGTATGACTGGGATTTCTTACCCTACATGTCCCATGTTTGGCAAATTTCTTGTTTTATTTGAAGTAATCAAAATATGGTAAAGAATGGAAGGTTTTGAATATCAGAGTGCCATAAGTAAAGTATTATACAAGTGTTTTCTTTATTTTGAATTGAAAAGAAAAGTTTAAAATGTAGAATGGAATCATTTATTCAACAGAATAGACATGATGTACATGTAGAACTTTTTTGTAGGTATTGGAGTAGAAGACCCTAATGCTGTGGTTGTTGGCCTTGCTCCATCATATTTTAACTATGAACCTTTAAATAAAGCTTTCAAGTAGGCGAACTTTTTATACAAGTAGATAAAAAATGAGGATTTAGTTTTTGTGTAAGTTATAAACTTAAAGTAAAAGCGGAGAGATAATTGATTAACTTGGTAAATTGAATGGGAGTATAATTTAGGTCTAGAATATCTACACACCTTGCACCCAAAACATTAAGTGGCATGTATTTTCCAAAGCATATATGAAAAAAGAAAGAAAAGGAAAAAATATATCAATCCTGTAGTCTTTTTGTTAACCTTCTATCCTGCAGTTTGCTTATTGAAGGTGCTTCACTAATTGCCATCCACAAAGCAAGGTATTATAAAAAGAAAGATGGGTTGGCACTGGGTCCAGGTGAGCTTTTTCCCTTTTGTAACTTTTCTTTTAGCACAGTTCTGCTAGTGATCATTAAACAAAATATCTCTACTAAATATAGCAACACAGTTGTGCTGAAGTTTTTAATATATTTAAAGGGATAAAAACTTTTCGTGTGACATCTGTATTTCACAATAAATCTTGTAAACAACTCCTAGAAATATAGTATATTCTACTGAACCACCAAAACAACAGCTATTGCAGTTATTCTGGAATCTGTGCTGACCATGTGACCTGTCTTTGAAATTTTAAGTTTTAGAGGAATAAAACAAAGTTACCATAAAACTAAATCTTTTAGAATTAAGTTCCCCATAATGTCAGTTTTTTTTCTAGGGGGCTTTGTGGAAGCACTGGAGTATGCATCCGGTGTAAAAGCTGAAGTAGTCGGAAAACCAGAAAAAACTTTTTTCCTGGAAGCCCTTAGGGATTTGAAGTGTTCTCCACAGAATGCCGTCATGATTGGAGATGTATGCACTTTTTCTCATCTGATTGTTATTTGGACAAATTGTTTGTGCTGAAAAATAACATACTGAGCAAACATGACAGGATATTACCTACTCCATGCTCCTTTCATAAAGTATGATGCACAACCATTTCATTTCTTCATGCATCATATTTATGCATTTATGACTATTTATAATTTATATTATTTATGATTAAATTTGTTTATATTTACTGCTGTGCTGTATTGTAGGATGTCCGAGATGATGTAGGGGGCGCTCAAGCTGCAGGTTTGCATGGTATTCTGGTCAAGACTGGTAGGTCATTGTGGAACTTAATTTGGTCTGACAGACTTGTTACTGGTTTAAAAAAATACTTCTTTTGACTCATATTTGTTCCAACAAATTTGTGTTTTTATCAGTTTGGTTGAAAATTTTAACTAAAAACAAAATTATGCAAGCAGGTTTCTTGTAAGCATTAGTAAGTGTAACTATTGTTTTTTTTTTGTATTGTTTTTATTTTCTTTTAGCTTTTATTCGAACTAATGTTAAAATGGCATTCTTCCTGCAGGTAAATATCGTGAAGGGGATGAAGAAAAGATTAGCCCTGCACCACTTGCCACATGTTTTGACTTCCCAGCAGCCACAGAACTGTTGATAAACAAATACTTGTGACAAAGAGAAAACAGAGGGGTTAACCAATTTAACGCGTTAAAAGGCTTATAGTATAGATTACATCAAAAATCAGGATACAAACCTAATTTATATATTACAAGCTGTATTCCTCCTTTTTTAGTGTGGTTACAGTATGGCATGCCAGGTCATTTTAAAACATTTTAAAAGGTCAGACTGCAAATTGTAACTCTTCTTTTTTTACAGTGTCTGCATAGAAATAAAATTAAGTATACAAGATTCAAACTTCATTTTTATTTATTAATTTATTTATTTGATCATTCAAAGAAGTCAAGATTCAATATTTGCAATTATTATTAAAAACCTATGACCAAAATTTTCAAATAGCCCACATAAATATTCCAGTTGAATTTTTCAGCTCTCACTGAATGTTTTGGCTAAAAATAAATCACAAACAAAAACTGCATCCTGGTAATAGACTCTAGGTTAGCAACATTTTCAGTTACAAATACATCAGATTCATTACACTGTCATGAATGGAGAAAAACACTAGTAAATATGTTCCATGACACTTCTTTTATAAAGTTTGAGCTCATTAATTTTCATCTGCCAGGGATATGATGCTAACATTGCCAGCACTTGAATTGACAAATGTACAATCAGAGTTTAGATAGAGCCGAAGATCTGATGCTCAGTTCTACCCATCACAGGGGCATTCTGGTGGTAGAGCACACAATGTGATTCCCCAGTTGNACACTAGTAAATATGTTCCATGACACTTCTTTTATAAAGTTTGAGCTCATTAATTTTCATCTGCCAGGGATGTGATGCTAACATTGCCAGCACTTGAATTGACAAATGAACAATCAGAGTTTAGATAGAGCCGAAGATCTGATGCTCAGTTCTACCCATCACAGGGACATTCTGATGGTAGAGCACACGATGTGATTCCCCAGTCACATCTGCTCTTATGATCTCTCCTTTTAGTTTCTCTTTAAAGCAATAAACCACATTCCATAAAAACCTCCAGTTTCAAAGCTGCCATGAGCATTGTCAGTTTGTTAATGCCATTAATGCATCAATTACATTCCCTTTGTATTCCCTTAATGTTCTTTCTGCTTGACTTCTTTGTATTTCCATTTCTCTAACCTAAAAATAAATGAAAATTAATATTTTTAAAAACATTTGAACATTCTTAATTGACAGGTAACAAGCATTTAAACTTGTCATTATAAAAATAAAATATTTAAAAAAAAGAAAAAAAAACATACTATAGATTAAATGTATTCCAAAAATGATGAACTTCTTGTTGTAATATTTGAATTATAAAGTATCTTCTGAAATCACCTAAAGTTGGGGCCTGCAGCAATTTGGAATTTTGATATGAGGAGTACTTAATGGTCTTCATGCAGAGCCTTTGATTATATCGAAACAATGAAAAAATTGACACCACTTACAATTAAATCTACATCATCTTTGTTAATCTTCACTTTGGACAGTTCTTTTTCCTTCTCCAGCTTCCTCGCTGCCTCTTTGACTTGTTGGTCGGAGACCACTTGCATTGCCTACAAAAAAACAGTAAATGTATCCTAGGAAGACATCTTTGCATGTTACATGCCCTTTCAATTGCCATATATTACTTATCAAGGGGAAAAGTGTAGTTGATAATGACTACTGTAGTTGATAGTGCCAATTGCCATCATGGTTGCCATGTACTGATGCAGTGTGAAGAAAATTAGATGATGAACAGTGATGGTCGCTGTGATGTCTTTGTACTCACATTTGCAAATTGTTGAGCCTGAATTTCAGCTTCTTCGACATAATCTGTAACCTTCTCTAGGTCCGCTGCTCCTGAATCGTGTTTGGCAACCTTTTTCCCCTTATTTTCTTTCTCTAACTCTTCCCCTTCTTCGATCTCCTGATCCACGCTGTCTTCCTCTGTCGCCATCTTGGTTGTATTTGACCTAAAATGTGGGGGATTGCGGTAGGAGTGCGAAAGGTGTGCGAACGCAATCGAATAACACTGAACAGACCGAGTTGAACACAAAAAGCCTAAATCATCCCATAATTGATGATTATAAATTGTAGCAAAGCATAGTTTTAAGTGAAACGGTAAAGGGACCGGATAGGTCCAAAGCTTGATTATGTACAGCAAGTCCCATTGATTTGAAAGTTGTAAACTTTTTTTTTTGCTGGACTGTTCATTTTAATATTGGTTCTACATTTTAGTGTCAAAACGATTGCGGGTACTTGGGTCGATTGGCATGACATATGGTAAGACATCTTGCTTTAAAAACATAACACTAAATCTAAATTCAAAATCCAATTTCTAAATTTAACTCGTACATTACTGATATGTAATTACATATTGTTTAATACATTGTATCTTTTTGTGACCATTCAAAGTGCCAATTTTCAGACAAGAGAACATGTGGGTACCTTTGCAAACACTCCATAAATGAGTCTTCAGGTTATTGAAACACCCCAATAAGTTATGATAGAAAGAGAATTTGCTGAACATGCACTGAAAACATTCACTGTCAAAATTTGTATTTATTCATTTTAAGTACATTTCTATGATCCCCATGTAATATACAGTACATGTAAATAGCAGCAGATACAGTAAATGCAATTACGCACATGTATACATGCAATCTTAATTTTTAGAACAGTTTTCCATAAAAATATTTTGATTAGTTCATTTCATGTAGATGATAAATAAAAACTATAAAGAAATATAAACTTATGGAGACTCAAACTTTTATCTTAAAAGATACTAAAAAACCATGCAGACCCAATAAAGTGTACTTCTTAATTATACAGAATCACTACAAATTCTTGTCTACAAAAGATATGTTAGTAATTGCTTCTTTCCTTTCATTAATTTTGAGAAGTTCTGCAAAAATATGTCAGTGTGACAAGGCCAGTTTCTATACCTCTAACAAATATTTTTACTCAAACTGACTTCTTTACAGAAGTTGGTGGTATAATTAGCTTTACTTTCTCTTATGTATACATTGGATAAATGAGAGATGTTTAAACGTATTTAAGGTGAACTTGGCCAATCAAACTGATAAAAATGTCTGTGTACAACTGAAGGAATCGCATTTCATTTGCTTGTTTTTTCAATTTTTTCAATGTACTTAAATTTAAAGTTTATTTCAATAACTCACATTTAGTTGGTAACTTGGTCAAATGTGTTTCAGAAACCCTGACTTTTGTTAAATAAAATCAAAAATGAAATTGTTTAAACCTGAAAACTTGTTCGTTAATCAATTTTAATTCAAAACATTTAATGTTTCCGCACATTATGCATATACATAAATTTTGCTTTGAAATATATATGTCACACTATTACATATTAATAATCACACTGTTGATTGAAAAGGAAAATTCAATATGTACACAACTGTGCAGATCAATTTGATCTTTAAAAAATCATGAAAATATTGCACATACATTTCCAAAATGAAAGACCTACATGTATTATCTCTTGACCCAATATACTTTCTGATGACCCTAATAACAGAAAAAAACAAGATATTAAATGAACTTTTTCATGCATGTATCTCTGTAGCGCAAAAATAATAAATAAATAAATAAATATAAAAAATAAAAAAAGGCAAGAACTGGAACTGGACTTACTATATTATTTCCATTAACAACTGCTTAGACCCAAAATTTCTTAATCTTTATGTATATTGTGCCATAAATGTATACATTAGAATGATTGTACCTATGGTGCTCATAATACATCCAAGTGATATCAAGGAACTGTAAAGAAAGCTGGAACAATCAGCTCTATGATAATTTTGGCTAACAATGCATAGACTATAATAAAAATATAGTGAATAAAACCTAATCAACAGCAATTGGAGAAGTCAAAAACAAAGTGAATTGGCACATATATTGGATGTTGCTGGTGCACTACTAGTAGTAAGTTGTACACTGCAGGCTATTCCACCACTCACATACTATGGGCATTTAGGCAACCATACAGTAATGCCTCCAAACATGTCAAACTAAAAGTTGCCAAAGCCACCAAAAAGACAAAATTACAGTAGATTCAGAGAGAAAATCTTTCAATAAATGATATCTAAAGAACAGCAATCTAGCTGTTGAGGGAATATCCACAAAATCTATATTTCGCTTATAAATGGTGCATGTTAAATGCTTGAGTCATTCCAAAGAAAACTATATTTTCTTAAATCCACTACTGCAGCAACAGGGACCTTTTTGCATCCAGTGGTACACTAACTGAACCCATCCAATTTCAGAAATTGACACCTTATAATAACCTGGCTACAACATGCATGTAAGATTGTCACCTTAACAGTTTGCCCATGTGATTGAAACAGTCAATTAAGTAACTTTACTAAACAGCAAGAAGAGAACTTGTGGAAAACTTGTGAAAAGGAGTATAACCCTCTGCTGAGTAATTAAATGCAAGGACTTATCAAAGTGANCTTTTATTTTAAGTCTTATGCATATTCTACCGATAATACAAATTTACATGCTCTGGGGGAAACAAACTGATTGTCAAATTTTACTACAAAATTAATTAGTTGAGAAGGCATAAATAATAACCATTTGATCAGAACATGATTAAAACCAAGTTCTTACCATGCTGTACTCCTCAGCCTTAAATCATATCTGCAAAATGTCCCTCAAAATTGTTTTAAAGCACATCAGTATAACTGTCATACATTAACCACCTACCTCCCATTCTTCCAGCTGAGATAAGCCAACAAATGTGCATGCCCCAATGTAACACACCTGCCACAGCAAGCTATCTAAACTCACGAAAATATATAATGCAGTTATTGGAAATCCAACTGTAATGAATATCTCAATGGCATATCCAAAATAATAATAATAATAATAATAATAATTTGTCATATTTATACAAGTATAAAATGAAAATTGGTATGATCTGTCGATAAAATGTGATACAGTGGAATTATTAAAATACATTTTGTTCATTAAAAATACATACTGCTGATGGATAAAAACTATTTTTAGTGCGTGTGGAGGTTATTTTTAATGACTGTAGTCATTACAACTGCAGCAAGCATGACATTCAAGTCATTCTCTTGTCACCCACTCATTTTTACTATCCTATTTCCATTATTTTTAGATTTGTATTACTTAAATATATTTTAAAATGACAATTTGCTGAACAATATAAAACATGCTGCTTTTCATTTTAGATAATCACCAGATGTACTTTGGCAGACATTATTACCTATTTTGACACATTATGGTACAAGGTATACTACGCTACATACACTACTAATGCACAAAATAGCTTTGTTTTTTATATTGAAAGGTTGATACCATTAAAAAGCTTTGATGAGTAAATAAAACTACTGATGCAAACCAAGTATTTCATACCTGCACTATAGAGAGCTGCTCCAAATCCTAGTGCAACCATTGCTGAAATTGAACTTATTTTTATCATTCTTAAAATCTTGCAGCAGGACTTGATCTATAATATATTTGAGATGACATCATAAAGAAAATGGACAAAACAAATTAATTCACAATCTTTAAATATTATAGCATGCCCTACAGTTAAAAACAAACAATCAAACAAACTAATTAATGAAAACACATTCAACTGGGAATAAAGCAAATATTTACCTCCAAGAATACTCCAGGATCTCAGTCCTGGCTCCCGCACAAAGTGCAACTTCTCTACATTGTTCTCCTTCACAGTCACAAAACTCATTTTCACCTAAAATTAGTTATGTGCTTTTATTTTGAGCAAATTGTTTCACATATTGAACTGAAGGTACCAGTAGATTTTCTCTTTTACAATGCTGCAATGATAAGTCTTCAAATAGTGGACATACACCAATATTATATACACCACACATGTACATGTATTGTAAGTATGTATAATTTCTAAAACAAAGTTATATACATGTACAGTATACTAGTACATGTACTGTAAGTCTGAATTAAATGAACACTCAGCAGATGTGATACATTTTTCTAGACAAAGTAAACCACTCACTACCTTCAACTCTAACTTAAAATGAGCTTGTTACAGTAAATACTAGTTTTACAACAGTCTATTTGTACTGTATCCAGTACAAAGTAAAACGTACAGCTAGGCCAATAAGACTGTTCACAGTAGGTCACGGTCAGTGCGACCGTGACTCCTGACAACCCCCGCGTGGATAATAACAGGGCAAATAGCGACAGTTTAAGCTGTTAAGTTATCAATCGTAACCATCTCGGACTCCCCGCTGTCTACATCGTGTCCCGTCAAGCAGCCTGTGCAATCATACGCCCCGCTAGTTCCAAGCATTGTTCTGGTGTAGAACGGCACGTGCCCTTTGTTAAGACATGGAAGACTAAATGTTGGGTTTAACCATGGTTCAAGCACTGACGATATTTCTGTTTATTCACCGCATTCCGAACTTCGTAGACATTTTCAAAAATAGAATTTTGTAATTGAATGAAATATAATTAATTTACCAATGTTGCCCTTTCATCTTAATTTTGGCTTACTTATGTGAAACGATAAGAGTCACGATAACATGCTCAAGCCAATTGAAAAAGTGAAGTATGAATATGGCAGAATTATGCGGTGATTGTCTTTTTCAATGAAGTGGAATGTGACCTACAGTACATGTATATATAATGAAACAAATTATTGCAGTCAATGAAAAGTCGGTTTATTCACAATTAACACGGAACGTCCATACAGTAAACTACAAGAATTTTATAAAAAATAAATTTTAAAAATGGCAATTATATATAGTATGCAGTACTCCACTGTGCTAATCTAATAAACTTAAATTAAGTCATTCAACAGATTAAAAAACTATAACAACTCCACCAAGTCAACGTGTTGACAAAAAGAATGGACACGTTGATAAATCCAGCTGATGTAATACCGTTGCTCACATACACAGTAACCTTTTAATAATAGTACAGCACTGTATATTTATTCACTCCAGTAGTTTACTTTCGCTCGTTTACTTTGGACACAGCAGGCCTACTGTTTACTGCCCTAATTAAACTGTCCTTCATCATCCGAACAAAGAGAGAAAAGTGCTTTAAAATTACAACATTCAATAACAGTAGTATGCATTTTTTACATTTTGACATGAATGAGATCACCTACCACAAAATAAAAGAACGCAACTGTTTTCTTAGTATCCGTATCCACCTGATTCAGGCCAATCTTGTTTACGTCTTTTGACCCCGACACGGAAGTAAACCTACTATCTATAATACCGCAATATGATTGGTTAAAATTCTGATTTACTCCTGAGCTAGTCGTTATTTGGACATTTATGTTTTAACAACTCTGAATGTTTGTTAAGCAGTCCTGATAAACTAGAACAGCGTATTAATACCGATAGACAGCGGTGCAGCCATGTTCATCAACTATGATGCTTCGTGATGTACATGCTGTCAAAACTCTAGCACGTAGGACAATACATAGTCTCTCTGGCAAAGTTGATCAACTTCGTCCGTCAGCTTAAAAGTGAAAGTTAAACATGGCACAAGGTCCAGGGGCAGACAAAATTAGGTAAGGCTAATCAGGCTGTACCTACTGTAGGTAATCAATTTCATGATATCTAACTGCCTGGCCCTCGAGGTCGGCTTCTTTAGGTGTGATAAATTAGTTGTTTACCCAGGATTGGACTGCTTGTTTTGAACTTGATATACATACATTGTACAGTATGTACCAGTAGAAGTCACAAAATGTAACAACAATTTATGATAATCAGTAAGTTATGAATCATAACTATTTGTTTAATTTTACCTTGTATTTTTTTATTTTTTTAGTCTGGTTCACTTGGATTTAAAAGGAGCTCCACCCAAGCTGGTCTACTATGAACAAGTTAGTAATATGCCAGTACATGTATTACTGAAGATTTGATATCGTTTTACTTTTTTTTTTACAGTATATTAGTAGCTTTAATAAATAAGATTATATTTAAACCTCAAGGATAATGATAGCAATAGATAATTAAGCCCAGGATGAGCAGCTATAGATAGGAGTTTGTGCTCACCTGTTTTATGTGTGTGTAGATAACCACATCTGTTGACACTTGAAATAGTACTTGCTTCTGCTACATGTACAGTATATGAACATTTACATGTAAAAAACATACAAATTTACAATAGTTCATTAGATGTTAATCAGATATATCGATTTATTTATTTCTATAGCATGAATGCATTTGCTGTATGTTGATGTTCAAGTGTTTTGCAGCTGTTACAAACATCTCTTTCACCATAAAATTATGTACACCGTCACATATATTTAATCATTAATGTAGATTGCTTAATTTTGTTTTTTGTATTTCAAGCTGTTTCCTTTGCTGAAGCAGTGGGGTGCAGGGGGCTTGCTGGTGGAATATGAAGATATGTTTCCATACTGGGGAGAACTGGAAATACTACAAGCAAAAAACATGTACAGGTAAGTTATGTTTTTGTAATAATGCACTGGAAAAAAGAAAATGTAATCAAGTTGGTTATTGAAAAACATTTTTCATGGTAGGTGTAGACATTTCTAAGTGGATAAATATTAGTGTATATTCTTATTGTATTATATTTGAAGGCAGGAAGAAATCAGACAGATAGTTACTTTGGCCAAACAAAATGATCTCATAGTCACTCCATTGGTGCCAACATTTGGGCACTTAGAGGTAAGTGAAGTGACACCTGTGTAACCGCAAGGGTTTTTTTACATGTATGTAATGGGACAAGGTACTTTTAACAACTATTATTATAAGTTGTTGTTTTTTTAAATTTGAATGCATTGAAACTTTCACTCATTTACATTTAAGTTAATTGCAATTATGGTTCATTTACTGAAAGTAATGCTGTCAAGATTGAATGTTCAGTTTTGTAAGATAAAATAGATAATTGTTTTTTGTTTTAGTTTTTGTTGAAACATGAGAAGTTTAGACATTTGAGAGAGGTGCCCAAGTATCCCATGTCACTGTGCCCTTTAAACCCAGGTATGTTTTAATCATCACCTGTATGTCTTTCTTGCTCATGCTAAATGCTTCCGCGGCATATTTAAGAAAGGATATAAAATCTGATCAGACAGTCTTTTTTGTGCTGTGGGCAGACAGTGATTCTCTTACTACCTTAATTTGAGATGTGGGGATATTGATCAGTTGGCTATTTCTTTTCACTCCCCCCCCTCTTGAAGGCTTCCTCATGCCTGTCTTATGGCAGCAGTGCTGTTCATGTTGTTGTCAGCAATAAAATGATATACAGAAAAAAATCCCTGAAAGAAATTAATCTTCTCTTTGTATTTTTTTAAAGTAAATTTATGTGTCCTATTGCAGAAAGCCTTATTATTGTTGGCCAGATGATAGACCAAGTATTATCACTTCATCCAGAATCCAATTGGTTCCATATTGGAGGTGATGAGGTGGGAGCTATGACAATGATAATAAAATAAAATAAAAATATAACTTAAGATAATGAATAAATACTAATAATGATTTTTGCTTTTTATTGTTTTTTTTTTTTTTGCTATTTTTGAATTATGTTTCATCATCATCATCATCATCATCATCATCATCATCATTATTATTATTATTATTATTATTATTATTATTATTATTATTATTATTATTATTATTATTATTACAGATAAATTTGAATATTTCATAAACTCTTTGTAATTGATTTTTAAAAAGCCACAGCATTAAAATTATACTTAAGTTCTAAAGAATGTAAATCACATTTTTTTAGGTATTCCATATTGGGTGTTGTGAGCAGTGTAAAGCATTCAATGCAGATGACAAGCAGGACAAAGAGCTGTACTTATATTTTACTGGCCAAGTTTTGAAGCTAATGAAAGAAAAATATCCTGATAAGACCTGTATTATGTGGGATGACATGTTAAGGAACAGGTCCCTTCATCAACTAAAAGGTGTGTTATCCACATAAATGAATATTTAGGATTGTATGCTCTGAAGTCTAAAATTGAGTTCATTTTAAATTTTACTATGATTTATTTTTAGATTAATGTCATTATCGATTTTTAATATACAGAATGTATACAGATGATATATGTTATATTATTTATAAGTTTATTTGTGTTCATTTATGCAGCAAGTGGGATAGGTGATTTAGTGGAACCTATGGTGTGGCAGTACTCACAACAATTAGAACTTCCTGAGGGTAAGGATTTTCTGTTGGAGAAAGACAGTAACAATGGCAAAATAAAAAAAAAAAAACTGAAAAACAAATCCATAGGACCCAGCAGTAAATACAGAATGCAAGGCAACATATGTACGAATGCATTTTGCCTCGCCGTTTTCACCTAAGGTGCTTACATTACCAATACAGGAAGGTTTTCCATTATCACCTATTTAACACTGTATTGTTCAAAAAGGGGGAAAATGAAGAAAAATTTCAATATTTCCAGATATTTGGTGTCGATACTCTCAGGTGTTCCCTTCAGTTTGGATTGCCACAGCATACAAGGGTGCCACAGGCCCTGCACAGCAGGCAACCAATATAGCCTACCACATAGAGAACCATAAGGCATGGGTCAGCGTGGCCAGCCAGGTGGCTACTTTATTCAAAAACTTCCGTGGTTATGCGTTGACAGGATGGCAGAGGTAAATATTGTATTTATCACAAATACAACTACACTTGCATCGTAAATAGTATAGTATTGGAATTTAGCTTTTAAAAAGTTGCTTTGGGTTTAAAGATACTTCATTATTTACTTATATCGTCTAATACTTGGACAGTTTAGAAGAAGCAACAATGCGTGGATTTAATTTTATTTGCATGCTAAAAAGAAACTCATTTAGCTTGTTTAACTAACAGAAAAAGTGNCATTTATTTAAAGTCTTATGCATATTCTACCGGTAATACAAATTTACATGCTCTGGGGGAAACAAACTGATTGTCAAATTTTACTACAAAATTAATTAGTTGAGAAGGCATAAATAATAACCATTTGATCAGAACATGATTAAAACCAAGTTCTTACCATACTGTTCTCCTCAGCCTTAAATCATATCTGCAAAATGTCCCTCAAAATTGTTTTAAAGCACATCAGTATAACTGTCATACATTAACCACCTACCTCCCATTCTTCCAGCTGAGATAAGCCAACAAATGTGCATGCCCCAATGTAACACACCTGCCACAGCAAGCTATCTAAACTCACGAAAATATATAATGCAGTTATTGGAAATCCAACTGTAATGAATATCTCCATGGCATATCCAAAGTAATAATAATAATAATAATAATAATAATTTATTGTCATATTTATACAAGTATAAAATGAAAATTGGTATGATCTGTCGATAAAATGTGATACAGTGGAATTATTAAAATACATTTTGTTCATTAAAAATATGTACTGCTGATGGATAAAAACTATTTTTAGTGCGTGTGGAGGTTATTTTTAATGACTGTAGTCATTAAAACTGCAGCAAGCATGACATTCAAGTCATTCTCTTGTCACCCACTCATTTTTACTATCCTATTTCCATTATTTTTAGATTTGTATTACTTAAATATATTTTAAAATGACAATTTGCTGAACAATATAAAACATGCTACTTTTCATTTTAGATAATCACCAGATGTACTTTGGCAGACATTATTACCTATTTTGACACATTATGGTACAAGGTATACTACTGTATGCTACATACACTACTAATGAAAAACAAATGCACAAAATAGCTTTGTTTTTTATATTGAAAGGTTGATACCATTAAAAAGCTTTGATGAGTAAATAAAACAACTGATGCAAACCAAGTATTTCATACCTGCACTATAGAGAGCTGCTCCAAATCCTAGTGCAACCATTGCTGAAATTGAACTTATTTTTATCATTCTTAAAATCTTGTAGCAGGACTTGATCTATAATATATTTGAGATGACATCATAAAGAAAACGGACAAAACAAATAAATTCACTATCTTTAAATATTATAGCATGCCCTACAGTTAAAAACAAACAATCAAACAAACCAATTAATGAAATCACATTCAACTGGGAATAAAGCAAATATTTACCTCCAAGAATACTCCAGGATCTCAGTCCTGGCTCCCGCACGAAGTGCAACTTCTCTACATTGTTCTCCTTCACAGTCACAAAACTCATTTTCACCTAAAATTATAGTTATGTGCTTTTATTTTGAGCAAATTGTTTCACATATTGAACTGAAGGTACCAGTAGATTTTCTCTTTTGCAATGCTGCAATGATAAGTCTTCAAATAGTGGACATACACCAATATTATATACACCACACATGTACATGTACTGTAAGTATGTATAATTTCTAAAACAAAGTTATATACATGTACAGTATACATGTACATGTACAGTAAGTCTGAATTAAATGAACACTCAGCAGATGCGATACATTTTTCTAGACAAAGTAAACCACTCACTACCTTCAACCCTAACTTAAAATGAGCTTGTTACAGTAAATACTAGTTTTACAACAGTCTATTTGTACTGTATCCAGTACAAAGTAAAACGTATATAGTATGCAGTACTCCACTGTGCTACTCTAATAAACTTAAATTAAGTCATTCAACAGATTAAAAAACTATATAACAACTATAACAAGTCAACGTGTTGACAAAAAGAATGGACACGTTGATAAATCCAGCTGATGTAATACTGTTGCTCACATACACAGTAACCTTTTAATAATAGTACAGCACTGTATATTTATTCACTCCAGTAGTTTACTTTCGCTCGTTTACTTTAATTGGACACAGCAGGCCTACTGTTTACTGCCCTAATTAAACTGTCCTTCATCACCCGAACAAAGAGAGAAAAGTGCTTTTAAATTACAACATCCAATAACAGTAGTATGCATTTTTTAACATTTTGACATGAATTAGATCACCTGCCACAAAATAAAAGAACGCAACTGTTTTCTTAGTATCCGTATCCACCTGATTCAGGCCAATCTTGTTTACGTCTTTTGACCCGACACGGAAGTAAACCTACTATCTATAATACCGCAATATGATTGGTTAAAATTCTGATTTACTCCTGAGCTAGTCGTTATTTGGACATTTATGTTTTAACAACTCTGAATGTTTGTTAAGCAGTCCTAACAAACTAGAACAGCGTATTAATACCGATAGACAGCGGTGCAGCCATGTTCATCAACTATGATGCTTCGTGATGTACATGCTGTCAAAACTCTAGCACGTAGGACAATACATAGTCTCTCTGGCAAAGTTGATCAACTTTGTCCGTCAGCTTAAAAGTGAAAGTTAAACATGGCACAAGGTCCAGGGGCAGACAAAATTAGGTAAGGCTAATCAGGCTGTACCTACTGTAGGTAATCAATTTCATGATATCTAACTGCCTGGCCCTCGAGGTCGGCTTCTTTAGGTGTGATAAATTAGTTGTTTACCCAGGATTGGACTGCTTGTTTTGAACTTGAAATACTGTTCCAGTAGAAGTCACAAAATGTAACAACAATTTATGATTATCAGTAAGTTATGAATCATAACTATTTGTTTAATTTTACCTTGTATTTTTTATTTTTTTTAGTCTGGTTCACTTGGATTTAAAAGGAGCTCCACCCAAGCTGGTCTACTATGAACAAGTTAGTAATACTGTATGCCAGTACATGTATTACTGAAGATTTGATATCGTTTTACTTTTTTTTTTTACAGTATATTAGTAGCTTTAATAAATAAGATTATATTTAAACCTCAAGGATAATGATAGCAATAGATAAGTAAGCCCAGGATGAGCAGCTATGTGTGTGTAGATAACCACATCTGTTGACACTTGAAATAGTACTTGCTTCTGCTACATGTACAGTATATGAACATTTACATGTAAAAAACATACAAATTTACAATAGTTCATTAGATGTTAATCAGATATATCGATTTATTTATTTCTATAGCATGAATGCATTTGCTGTATGTTGATGTTCAAGTGTTTTGCGACTGTTACAAACATCTCTTTCACCATAAAATTATGTACACCATCACATATATTTAATCATTAATGTAGATTGTTTAATTTTGTTTTTTGTATTTCAAGCTGTTTCCTTTGCTGAAGCAGTGGGGTGCAGGGGGCTTGCTGGTGGAATATGAAGATATGTTTCCATACTGGGGAGAACTGGAAATACTACAAGCAAAAAACATGTACAGGTAAGTTATGTTTTTGTAATAATGCACTGGAAAAAAGAAAATGTAATCAAGTTGGTTATTGAAAAATATATTTCATGGTAGGTGTAGACATTTCTAAGTGGATAAATATTAATGTATATTCTTATTATATTATATTTGAAGGCAGGAAGAAATCAGGCAGATAGTTACTTTGGCCAAACAAAATGATCTCATAGTCACTCCATTGGTGCCAACATTTGGGCACTTAGAGGTAAGTGAAGTGACACCTGTGTAACCGCAAGGGTTTTTTTACACGTATGTAATGGGACAAGGTACTTGTAACAACTATTATTATAAGTTTTTTTTTTTTTTTTAATTTGAATGCATTGAAACTTTCACTCATTTACATTTAAGTTAATTGCAATTATGGTTCATTTACTGAAAGTAATGCTGTCAAGATTGAATGTTCAGTTTTGTAAGATAAAATAGATAATTGCTTTTTGTTCTAGTTTTTGTTGAAACATGAGAAGTTTAGACATTTGAGAGAGGTGCCCAAGTATCCCATGTCACTGTGCCCTTTAAACCCAGGTATGTTTTAATCATCACCTGTATGTCTTTCTTGCTCATACTAAATGCTTCCGCGGCATATTTAAGAAAGGATATAAAATCTGATCAGACACAGTCTTTTTTTTGTACTGTTGGCAGACAGTGATTCTCTTACTACCTTAATTTGAGATGTGGGGATATTGATCAGTTGGCTATTTCTTTTCACTCCCCCCCCCCCTTGAAGGCTTCCTCATGCCTGTCTTATGGCAGCAGTGCTGTTCATGTTGTTGTCAGCAATAAAATGATATACAGAAAAAAAATCCCTGAAAGAAATTAATCTTCTCTTTGTATTTAGTAAATGTATGTGTCCTATTGCAGACAGCCTTATTATTGTTGGCCAGATGATAGACCAAGTATTATCACTTCATCCAGAATCCAATTGGTTCCATATTGGAGGTGATGAGGTGGGAGCTGTGACAATGATAATAAAATAAAATGAATATATAACTAAAGATAATAAATAAATACTAATAATGATTTTTGCTTTTTATTGTTTTTTTTTGCTATTTTTGAATTATGTTTCATCATCATCATCATCATTACTATTATTATTATTATTATTATTACAGATAAATTTGAATATTTCATAAACTCTTTGTAATACATTTTTAAAAAGCCACAGCATTAAAATTATACTTTAGTTCTAAAGAATGTATATCACATTTTTTTAGGTATTCCATATTGGGTGTTGTGAGCAGTGTAAAGCATTCAATGCAGATGACAAGCAGGACAAAGAGCTGTACTTATATTTTACTGGCCAAGTTTTGAAGCTAATGAAAGAAAAATATCCTGATAAGACCTGTATTATGTGGGATGACATGTTAAGGAACAGGTCCCTTCATCAACTAAAAGGTGTGTTATCCACATAAATGAATATTTAGGATTGTATGCTCTGAAGTCTAAAATTGAGTTCATTTTAAATTTTACTATGATTTATTTTTAGATTAATGTCATTATCGATTTTTAATATACAGAATGTATACAGATGATATATGTTATATTATTTATAAGTTTATTTGTGTTTATTTATGCAGCAAGTGGGATAGGTGATTTAGTGGAACCTATGGTGTGGCAGTACTCACAACAATTAGAACTTCCTGAGGGTAAGGATTTTTTGTTGGAGAAAGACAGTAACAATGGCAAAATAAAAAAAAAAAAAACTGAAAAACAAATCCATAGGACCCAGCAGTAAATACAGAATGCAAGGCAACATATGTACGAATGCATTTTGCCTCGCCGTTTTCACCTAAGGGTGCTTACATTACCAATACAGGAAGGTTTTCTGTTATCACCTATTTAACACTATTGTTCAAAAAGGGGGAAAATGAAGGAGAATTTTAATATTTCCAGATATTTGGTGTCCATACACTGTATTGTCAAAAAGGGGGCAAATGAAGAAAAATTTCAATATTTCCAGATATTTGGTGTCGATACTCTCAGGTGTTCCCTTCAGTTTGGATTGCCACAGCATACAAGGGTGCCACAGGCCCTGCACAGCAGGCAACCAATATAGCCTACCACATAGAGAACCATAAGGCATGGGTCAGCGTGGCCAGCCAGGTGGCTACTTTATTCAAAAACTTCCGTGGTTATGCGTTGACAGGATGGCAGAGGTAAATATTGTATTTCTCACAAATACAACTACACTTGCATCGTAAGTAGTATAGTATTGGAATTTAGCTTTTAAAAAGTTGCTTTGGGTTTAAAGATACTTCATTATTTACTTATATCATCTAATACTTGGACAGTTTAGAAGAAGCAACAATGCGTGGATTTAATTTTATTTGCATGCTAAAAAGAAACTCATTTAGCTTGTTTAACTAATAGAAAAAGTGATAATATTTGTAAATTATGTGTATGTAGAAGAGAGACATTAATAAAGAGTCAAATTTATTCATGCATGTAACAAATGAAGAGTAGTTGGTTAACCCTCATGATTGTTTCCAGGTATGACCACTATGCTGGGCTCTGTGAACTGTTACCCCAAGCAATTCCTAGTTTGGCTCTCAATCTGCACATACTGAGACAGGGTAAGTAAACTGTTACCCCAGGCAAATCCTTGTTTGGCTCTCAATCTACAGATACTGAGACAGGGTAAGTTAGCTCTTACCCCAGGTAATTCCTTGTTTGGCTCTCCATCTACACATACTAAGACAGGGTAAGTTAGCTGTTAACCCTGAATTCCCTGCATGACTCCCATGCTATACCCTCTTCCAGGACAGCAGATATTTTAGGCACATTTTCCATCAGCCACCCTGTAACTTTTGGCCAGATGGAAGCAATTAAATATGCACGCATGCAGATGGCAATGTACCAGGTCCGTAGGGAGCTACTACAGGAGATTCCTCAGTTAACTTCAACCTGAAGTAACAACCTTTTTTTATCCGTCACAAAAGAGCAAAGGATTAAATTCAGAGCAATTAACTTGATTGCTGTCAGTGGGACTTACCAGTACATAGTTAAGTGGCAATTCCGGAGTAGTTACGCAAACAAGCCATGCAATCAACCTAGAAATATCAGCACAGTCTCACAGTTAGAAGATTGACCATATTTAGCCAGAGACATTATCTGTGAATATCCAGTAAAAAAAATCAATCTGTGGCCCCGGTGAAAGGTACCCATACTGTCCATACTAACATAATGTTAACCCTGCATAATGTTAACCCTGCTTGGCTCTCAATCTACACACTCTGACACAGTTAGAGTTTAAGGAAAAGCACTGAAAGCATGATGCTTTCATGGAGGTATATTGTAACAGTTATTTGCCCCTTTTGTCTTTAAGCATTTTGTTGCTTGATATTATTTGAAAGAACTCAAGTCAGAATTCTCTGGTTAATTCCATTTCAGAAATAGTTCCATAAAATCTTATCTAAAATAAAGACCGAAGTCCCCTTTGCAATTTTGACATTTCTGAGATATTGTTTCAGGAGCGTTCACATTTGAGCTATATGATGCTGTTTCTAAGCAATTGGGATTTACAGAACCGGTGACATTGAATCCATTTGGGTAGGTTCAGCATGTTCTTCCCTCTTCTCTATCATGTAGTTTTGTCTTCTCTGTACTTAAAGTTTGCTTTAACTCATATAACATTTGCTGAGAAAAAGCACATTAGATTTTTATTTTCAATGCAATAAGAGAGATGACAGTCAGGACACTATTAAAAAGCCTCCAGAAGATGTCAAAACAGTATATCAATAACATTTATCAACTTCTTATTGTATTCATTCTTAGGTTATTTGAACCTATACAGTGCCAGTTTCCAGGCAGTGAAATCTACAAAGGCATTATTATTTTACTACGTCTAACAGCAGAGTATGACATGATCATTAATAGTGATAGGTATGTAAGAATTGTTTTGAATATTTTTTCTGTGTGCAATGCAGTATGTCTTTGGATTTTATGTAGAGTTTTGCATCAGTTTTTTTTTTTTGGAAAGAAATTAGACTTATCTCCTTGCATTTAACTTGGAAACTCTTACTTGTATATACTGTTGATGGAAGGGAAATGCAGTTTTACTATTGAATTGGATAATTTGACAATAACAGTAATTGGTGGAATAAGCATATGTTTGTCCTTTTTGCTGGGTCAAAAACCTTCAAAATACTGGTTAAATTTTTTTAGATTGTCCCTTTTATGTGAAAGTTTGATGTATATTTGTAAGTGTATAAGCACATTTGTAAATATAAATTAATTACTTATTTTTAGAGTGAAAAGTTGGATGAGTGAGTACCATGTGAAGTATAATGTCTGCAATCCAGTGCATGTTGAACACATTCTTAAACCTGCTAAAAAGTAAGCCTTTTCCTTCAGCTTTTAAGAATAAAGATCATTTAAGAATATTCTTCCACAGTTTTACTGTTTGCTAAAATATATTTGAATAAAAGAATACTAAAAATGCAGTCTCACATACAAAGAAAGATATGGTTTTGTACAGTGTATTTTATTATTCACTTGAGGCTGACATATTACGGTATAGTATTACTGTATATGGTAAACCGGTAGTTTACTAGCCAGACCTGGTCACAGTTTAGAGATCGATAGTCGGTTCTTTTTCTTGTAAAATGTAGACTTTCACATTTTCCATATACAAGGCTCAAAATGTCACCTGTGTTCTTAATTGTCATTTAAAGGTTACAAAAAGATTTTGAGGAATACAAGAAGTACATGCAGCTGGCACTGGCTAATGTGTACTACAGTGACACAGTGGAGGAGTGGGTGTGTGACCACATCCTGTCCAAGTTGGGCAGATTGAATGAACTGATCCATACTGCAGAGAGAATGCTGGTGATCGAGAATGAGGCTCAGATGAACGGGGTGTTGGCAGGAGGGAGTGGTGCTATGGACCTGGACAGGAGTGTCGTAGAGGGAGAGACTGATGATGGAAACAGCACCTAGAAATACTGGGTAGTCTTCTTACGCTGTTTTCCCTTCAACTTCGTAGGGGGACATTTGAGTTTGGGGAGAACTTAGCAGAGAAGGTGAAAAAGACAGATGGGGGTGCAAAGAAAGAATTTGTGCTGGTCACATGAATAGAAATTAGTGCAGTATCTTTTCTTATATACACTGAGCAAAAATATAAATGTCCCATGCAGTACTGTAAAAATTTTTTTAGCATGATGGTTTATATATATATATATATATATATATATATATATATATATATATATATATGCAAGTGTATGTTAAATCAAACAAAGTGAATTTTGTTGTTCAATGTGCTACAGATTACTGTCTGTAGCACATGATTACTGTCTGCATGAAGCCCATTACATGTTACATGATGAATAATTCACGTGACATTTATATTTTTGCTCAGTATACACTTATGTACATGTATCATCAAATGCTTAAAAAAAAAGACTACTACTGGTAAGATTTCATTTGATTTCAGCTTACCAGTGAATGAAAACAATGTAGAAAATCATATGGAACAATCTATAAGCACCTCGTGAAAAGGAAACTTTGCTTAATAATATGATTATATGGGAGGGTGTCACGATAATCCAAAGGTTCATTGGTCTGAAAAATTGTATGCACGCACCTCTAATGAACATAACTTTATTGCCAGTATACTATACACTTTGTTGGTGGATTAATTCAGACTATCAAACATTTGGACCGATGAACCTTCAGACTATTGCTACGGCCCCATTATTTAAATACAGGCATTATGAGTATTAATCTGGTCAAAAATTATTTAGTTTTCTTGGCTGAGGTTGTGATGGAAGACAACTGTATTGAACATGCACAGCCACAGAATAAATCTTCCTTAATGATTTCATGATCAAATTAGTAAATGAAATACTATTTTAAGTGCTTAAAAGCACTCAAATGATCAAGTCCTTTATTCTCTTTATGGCTTAAGTATATGACAAAAACTATATTTGGTACGTATTTTAAAATTTATTTGAGTCATATTGTGCTAATATCACATAACCTGAAAGGTTGTCTGGGGTATAAAATTTTGTTTTGTTTCATTAAATGCCAATAAATGCATGTAAAATGAATATATCAGTATATATATTCTAAATGTACCATTACATGTACTGTATTTGAGCCATCACTGTGGTATGCATGATTTAACATATATACATTGAGGAAGTTTTAAAGGTGTCAAGACAAAAAAATACATTTATCAGAACTACCAGATCATGCGGCAGATTGTGGTTATTGCAGACTTAAATCTTAAATGTTTAAAAACCTCTTAATGTAACATTTCAACATACATTGTGGCAGCTTTCAATACAGGCCATACAATATACCCTAGAAGCAATTGATAGATAGTAGAGAAAATTCTCAAATGCTCATTTAGGTTAAAAAGAAACTTAAAAATCATGAAGTCATAAATCAATTTTAAAATTTTATTTTAGATACAAAAACTCAGATCTAAATGAAAATTAAGCTGAGCTATATGCAGCACATATATGGAACTATATAGTCAGAGTCCAGATTGTGTTTTTGGGTTGGTTGTTCCACTGTAAGTGCAACGAACGTCCACCTAACGCAATTGAAAAGCATTCCACGCCAATATGGCGGCCATACGTAGCCTGTCGCATTTACTTCGTCAGGGATTACATTTAAACGCAGCCACACTGATCCCTAAAACTGCACCGTAAGTATTCACATTGGATATTGACACGAGTTACATTCTTTTGGAATAAGTCACCATAGCACTCTGCCTTTGACACGTGAAGATATCTAAAATTATATTTGGAGTTAAAGTCGGATGAAGTCGCAAGTTTGTTCATTTTGTCGTATTAACGTTGTCGAGGGGCATCTAGCGAAATTCTTCAGCCAGACTCAGATTTACAGAGGGGATATTGTGAGTAGTATTTTTCGACAAAAGAGAGTGTCAGGGGAGAGAGAGTTGGGTGGTTGGGGGTACAATACCGTGTTGTTGAATTTTCCAACTTTTAACTCGTACATGTTTCAGTATTTGCCAAACGCGATGTATGGCCCAGAAGGGCATGACAAAACCGCACCCCACTTTGGACCTGGATGCACTGGAGACCACAGTAACGGATATGCAGTCGGGGAAATATAAGAGAAAGACTGTGAGGTATGCTGAGTCCGACCAATCCACTGTGCTCACACACGACCAAATTGTCAGGTAGGTATTAGAACTGGTGGTTCTTACTCATTTCTAGATTGTGCTGTATACAGACAGTGTTATCTGTACTGATGTCATTTATTTTTTGAAAATGTTATCAATTTCCATCAATCAATTGATTTATAAGTTTGTGAATTCAATCAAAATAATCACTTTATACTTAAACGTGCAAGAGATTGTCGTGTATGTGGTCCAAGTAACATATTAAATATTATGATCAGCCTATATTTGTGTTTCTATTAATGTTTGATTTCATCCTTCATCATGCAGGAAATTCATAGTCCTAATCATGAAGGGTGGAAACAAAGATACTGCCAGAAGAATAATGGACAAGGTACATGAATATGTTTGAAACAGCATAATGTGTAGGAGTGAAGAACATTCACTTTAAGAGTCATGCAGGGGCTGGCAGAGATGGGGAAGGAGATTTCTAAAGCAACCAAGTGGCATCATCATCTGAGATAGCCCAAAGTCTTGCAAATTGGCACGATTTCTAGGGATTCAGAGGAGAGCAGGATCAGACATAGTTGCAGACTTGCAAACACTGACAGAATTTATTCATGAATATTTTTTCTGGTTATTTTCTCTGACTGATTCGGACGAATTACTGTCTTTAGCACAACAGTACAAATTCACTATTACAGGTCACCTTTGTATTAAGACAAATTCCTGACATAGTTAAAGTTAACCCCTTCACCCAGATTCTCTTAGTTTTTTCTAATCTTCTGTGATGTCACACATTGTTTTCTTGGATGATGCCCATTACTGCTGCGACAGTCTTAAAAAGTAACAATAATGTGAACTACGGTAATAACTCGGATCTTTTCAATGGGGAAAATTGTGAATTTTACAGATATTGTACTTTTTAAGTCATAATTTCTTAAAATAAGAGCATTCCTATGGAGTGGTTGCAACAAAATTGAAAAGCAGACTACCTTATAGTTCTATTCTATGTATTAAAAGCATTACAAATGCTATACAAAATTATAAATTTTATGATTTTAAAATGATGTATCTGAAAGTTTGATAATTTTTTGCCCATTGAAAAGATCCAAGTCTTTACTGTAGCTATAATAGAGTTTGGGGCACAAAGGCAGACCAGCGTGGGAAGGGCTGTCATCAGAACACTAACATCTAAGGGTGGAATGTGATAAATTTGCAGTAAACTGTTTCTTTGCTTCATATAATCTCAAATGAATTTTAGATAGATGTAGGTGTGTGATTGTTAATTGTAATGTCATTGCAAGCAATTAAATTGTTTTAATAATTTGTAATTTGTTGTAAAATTTTGTAGATTGATAAGATCATGTATATTTCAGACTATGGAAGAAATTAAAAGAAGACAAGTGCGAGAATTTCACAGGGCCACAGAATCTCAAAAATTACAAATTATCACAGATCCCAGGAAAATATTTAACCAGGCTGTCAATAATCTTAAACCAGTGCTTCTTGTTACCAGTGTCAAGAGGGGAGGGATCGCTTATCAGGTAGATAATTTTCAATAGAATTTAAGAACTCGCCCACATTTCTAAATATGACAGTCAGTGTCATCTTTTAAGGGATTTTTTATAATAAAATTTGAAAAGGTTGAATTTTGTCTTCTAAAGTCATACAATCTATTTTCTTTAAGCTCCATTTGTGTCGTGATCAGATATAACAAAATATGGAACAGCTCTCTGTCCAGTGATGTCATTATCTTCCTTGTTAACTAGGATTGCTTTGGTAAGAATGTGACCGTGTGAACTAGTTCTTGTTTTACAAACTGTAGGTTCCTGTCCCCTGCCCAGAGAAAAGGCAGCTGTTTGAGGCAATGAAAATAATCAAAGCTGCACTTGCAGAAAAAACAAATTCCAGAATACCTTTCCATGAAAAGTTGGCCACCATAATCATGGATGCTGCAGAATTCAAAGTAAGAAATAGTATTCTTTAAAATAATTGGTTTTTGGAAATTATATTGCAGATCATTTATGAGTAAAATGCAAACATCAAATCTTTTAAACGTCCTTGCAGAAGGCCGAGTCGCTTGAATTGGGAGTCTTACAATGATATCATTATCTTGTTTACTGGGTCATACAAAATTATGAATAGCTGTTATATATACAATCACTGACCTTTAATGTATTTTTCAGGGCAAGGCTATGGACAGGAAAATAGAAATCCTTAAAAATTGTGAAAGAAACAGAGCTTATGCTCATTTTAAATAGTACATTCTAAGGAGGAAGAGACTAAAAACAAATTCGAAAGTGGACTGACAGCTCAAGTTTATAGTAGAAGTAATACAATGGAGTTGATGAATAAAAACACAAAGGATTCCCAAGCTGGAATTTTAATTTTCTTGGAATGAAAATTAAAGGAGATGTAATTGAATTTTTACAAAGTGTATCCAGCTTGGAGTAAATCTTAAGTTCTGACGTCTGTGAAAAGCGACATGGCATGCTTGCTCGGAAAGTTTTTTTATAAACCAGGAGCTGGATCCATTATTTATAATCACATATTAAAAAACATTGCTACTTTTTTCTATCAGAAATCTGCATTTGGGGTCTACTGGTAGTTTTCAGAAAATGAAGTTCCTTTGTTTTTTGTTTTTTTTTAATTAAATACATCAACAAAAATACAATTGCACAAAATTGATTGTGGTGCTAAAACAGAACTGCAAGCAACACAGTTCATATTACAATAATTTCACATTCATCATCAATAAAAATGTATAAAAACTTATTGTATCTTTTCATATTGTGATTAGTATAAAAATTATGTATACTTTAATCATGTATATCACTTTTATATGAAGAATGTGAAGGTTCACTATACCAGTTCTATTGCTTGCACTTCGTAAAATCCATCTGTACTGTATATAACATATTTGCTGGGAAATGGTTTATTTAAATGCAGCCTGTCACACCATTACGCTGTTCTATTTTTCAGGACTGACTTTCAGATTCGGTATGTTACAGGCAAATGTCCAATTTATGTGAGGCCATTATATGGCATGTTCACTGGACATTTGGATACATCTTTGGCTATAGTTACACCTATGACTTTATTACTACTTATCTGATTGTATTTTTCTGACTACACACTTTTGAGTGAGAATTCCTTTTAATTATAAACAATATCCTATGAATGATATAACAAAATAAACAGAGCAGAATAATAACAATCAGTGCTCAATAATAATGTGGTTTTATAAACCGCATCAACTACCTCTGGGCAAAACATCAACATTTTTTTTTTTGTCAAATGCCATAAACCCTCTCTGATAATATGTGGTGCATAAAATAAATCCTTTCACAAACAATAGTAACACCTTTGGTATGAGCACATATATCATACAACAACAGGAAAGATTGATGCCAAGTGAGATACAAACATTTTTTTCTATCAGGATTTGTGAAAAAATATCTTAGCTACTTCATTTTGAGGGGAACAGTTATCCAATAAAGCTGTTATTTCTTCATGAAACTACAGCTGTAAAATGCCACACAATGTGATGACATGAAAACCATTTAACCAGTACTTACATTAAGATACATCAATAAATAGCAGTTGAAGTTGTTAATATTCATGATAAACTAATGAGTTTATGGCAGGATTTAATGGTCCAAATGAAGCTTTGAATCAAAAAGATTTTCAGCTCTTCACCTGAATCAAATAGATTTTTAGCTCTTTCCCTTCTAAATAAATATATTTTTGTCTCCCATTACAAAAAAGAAATCGCACTTGTTACTTTTGAGTCACAGTATTAGGTGTGAGAGAAGTATAAGTACTGCAATTATGCTTTTCAATCAGAGTTGAGTACAATCTGTCACTGCCACTATGCAACAACCTTCAGCATAGTCTCAAAATGGCGAGTTCATTCCGAGTTTGGTACCAAAGTTCAGCCTTGCCCTCTTCTGATACCTCACGGCAAGCCTAGTAAAAAAGCCAAATTAATAATGATCATTATATATGCAAAAAGACCAGAAAAATATATTGTAATCCTATCACTCATATCAAATGATATCTACTTTATTTCAAAAAAAAAAAAAAAAAACTAGCAATTTTAAAAAGGCGTAAGCAAAGTGTCATTATTGTCCATCAAATTTAAAGTTATTTCTACTTTTGTATCAAGTCAGTGATTCTAAGACATAACAGGTACTGTTGCTACTTTACTTGATTTCATGCATCTTGACCATCTCTAGTAGAAGTAATAACAGCAGAGGCCAGATGACTGCCACCACCCAGGTGACCACAGGAATGTCTGCAAGCAGTGCACTCTCTCCCTCTCTGTACACGTGGACATCACAGATACTGTAGATTACTTGGAGAACCAAGCTACAACAACATAAAGAAAGCCTCAAAAAGCATTATGAACATCTCAGTAGAATTATCCTTAAATCCAATGTCTTACAAGAACTACTTCATCAACTACTTTTCACATGTTGTTATAATGCATACAGTGAAAACTTCTCCTGCTTAATAAGTTATTAAAAAAAAATTAAACAGTCACATGATTTAACAAACCACCAGTGATCCATATCACTTACGTGGCAGGAGCTACAACACACCAGAGTTTGTTGGTGAAGGGAGCTCTCCTCCACAGATGGTAATATCTGTGCACTGAACTGACCGAGCTCAAAACTGCAATAGCAAAACATGTCTTCAATAAAGGTTTTTTTTTCTCATGTCGAACCTAATGAAACGGTTGGCTACAGGAGTAAAAACTACATCTTGGAACTTATAAAAAATCCTTTTATCTCAGTTGCAGTTAAAATTGTTAATATTTGATTAATCATTTTGTATTAACTAACCTGTGTAAAGTACGAATTGACTTAGTAGAATATTCTGTGCCAACACTAAGCCACTGTGATATTGTGTGGACCAGCCACGCCAATCACCAGGGGTGCTATATTGCCTGAGGAAGCATGGGAAAAGATTTATTCTTTCAGTTCTTTCCAACACGAAAAAATAACTGCAAGAAATCTAAGAAATCAGTGCAATTTTCAAGTCAAATACTTTTATGTAAAGAAAATTTCACATGAGAATATCAACATGACAGTAAAAGTCTTCTGTTTGGCAGTGCTTCCGAAAAGGATATAAAACTCATTTATCAAGAATAATCAGTGTTCCACAAAATGATGGAAAACTACTCACATATTTCCAAAACAGGCATGACAAGCCTCAGCCATGCCAGTGTTCTTAACACACAGTCCATACAAGGAGAATCCAAAGCATAACAATATTATCAGCAAAGATGGGACAAATCTTAGAATAAAATATACGATGTACTGGACAATCACCTGAAAATGCGACAAAAAAATTGTTGAAATTTGTGAAATGTCTTTAACTTAACCAATGCATGCGAGTATTACTTAAATTTTAAAATAAAAAATGACTGCCTGATTAATTTTTTTCAATGGCTTACTTCATTCTAAATGCAGATTTGAGAAAACCATCAAAGCAGTCTTCTTGATCATGTGTATTAAGCACTGATACATACATCTTTGGTCAAGTAGTCTTCATTCTTGCCCGAGGCCAGGGTCATGATGTGCGGGTCTAATGGGTTTCCAAAGTGTACTAAACTGAGGCTAGGGGCCACCACTAGGAGGAGCCACAGAAGGTGACGGCTGGCTAGCACTGGAGGCAGGAGAAATATGGCTGCCAAGAGCTGGATGAGAGATATGGACAGATGATAGGACAGGAGGCAGAGGAAAGAGTTCCTCATTGCTACACAGTGGTGTCTGGCCTGGAATAGAACAAAAATAATAAACAAGGCAGCAAAGCTATACAGTGTACAGACAACAAGAAAGAAAAGCAATCCAATCAAGCTGGTTTGCCAATTTGAGCTGTATGTCAATCTTTCTTGTAAGTTACAAAATAATAAGTTACACAGTATTCCTTTTAGAGCATTTGTAATGGTAGTACACAAAACATCTGTCTGTACATAAAAAATATAAAATACTATTTATAAAATGCTCTATCAGTTGACCACAAATTATTATTTAAAAGGTATTTTTCTATTAATAAAAATACAAAAGTGATTATTGACGCAGCTGTCTCACCTCTGCAATAAGCTGTGTGAGGCTGATATTGTCAGACCTAAAGAACACCAAAGAACAACCCAGACTGTTCAGCAGCCTGTTGATATCCATTGGAGAGAGTTCTTCTTCCTCCCATGGCTCAGTCATCACAGACTGCTTCATACACAGCTGTGGGTACTGAGGCTCTAGGCCAATACTAGGGAGACAAACCACGAAATATGATAATGATCAATACAAATTTAACATTAAACACAAAAATAATAAAATGAAAGGAGGATAGAAAACATCAATTATAAAATGAAATAGATCAGTAATGTTTGTTTTGTTACATATTAATACAATTTATTGATTTTGCATTAATGAGAGAGAGAGAGAGAGAGAGAGAGAGAGAGAGAGAGAGAGAGAGAGAGAGAGAGAGAGTCTACCTTGCATCAGCTTGGATAAAAGAAGCTGTATTCTGTATACAAGCAGTGCTCCCTATACAGCAAACCACCTCCCCATATTCCTGCATTATCTGGATCATCTCTCTGGTGGCTGGAAGTATACAAAAAACACGACAATTTAATACAGATAAATATGGACTGAATTATTATTAAAATTTTTTGTCATGATCTTTAGATGATAAAACAGTCGTGCCATTATTAATATTTATCTCTGTACATTTTCACCAGGTCAGGCTGGTGAAAAACTTTAAATAATGTACATGTTATTCTTGATGTCATTTAGTCTCAAATGGTGTTGTGATTTCAATGTACTTACTTCCCTTGGTACAGTCAGTGAACAGTGACACCAGCAAAGGCACATTGTCTACATGCTCTAAGTGGGGCCGGATGTTCTCTATTCCCTTGGGAAGCTTGGCCTACAAAGAGAAATTCTTTCATTTACTTCTTCTAAAATATTCCTTACTTCTTCCAATTAAAACCAGTTCAATTTTGTGCCATATTTTTTTCCATTAAAATCTATTTAAATAATCTCTTTATATCTGTTTACACATTACCCCTGCTCTAAAACATCATTGTGTTAATAATTTGTTAGTCTCTCATGAACTTATCCTGTTAGATATACCCCCCTCCCATACATGTGATATTATCAGTCTAAGTCCCTTGTGAACTTACCCTGTTAGACATATCAAACCCCCCAGACATAGTATCATCAGTGTTAGATGTCCTGTGACTGCCATAGTGTGCTGCTATTTCCACCATCTCCTGTTCCTCTGCTGGCGACAAATCTGACTGGTAGGCTATATGGATGTCTGGCTGAAAATATCCCTCTGGACTGACATTAGAGGAGAAGTTGGTGTATGGAGTTTCATCTGAGGTAAAATGGGATCTTGGTGTCTCCTGAATTTTCACCTCTTCAACCTCTACTCCATCAATGTTGCACACTGCTCCATCTAGTTCATCACTTTGAGACATTTGGACTGATTGGTTAACTGCCTGAGACGACTGTCCTGATTGGTGGATGACTTGATTGACAACTACAGTCTGCACTGTATCGTCTGATCTAATACTGTTGCAGTTTTCCTCAGATGGCTGCATTGAGAACCGCACCTGTGGGTCTTCTATGTGTATCAGTGAGGGTGCACTGTGGCGGCGTGATTTGTCTCGTGACCGTGAACTTCTGTTCAGAGTGTCTACAGAGACGTGACTAGAGATCTTTGATGTCCTGTGTGACTGGTTGCTGGTATTGGAGTCTGGCTGGCTGGTGCTTTCTGTGTAGTCACCACTGAGGAGAGAGATATGACAGTTCCACCCAGCCTCCAATCCCATCTTCTCTGAGAACACCTGATAATAAAATATGACACAATAATGTACATAAATACATTTTATTTTCCATCCTGGCTCCTTCGAAAGTCACTTGTAATCTTTGAAGCACTGCATCCCCATATTATCTGTGAACATTAATAAAAAAACTTAATGTTGCATATATTGTTTAATGAAAGAATAAGACTGATACTTACTCTACTTCTCAATTCATTTTCCTCTGAAAAATGCACAAATCTGATGCATGCTGTTTCCAGATTTTCAATTAATTTTACAACATCCTGAAAGGCAAAAATGGAAACCTTTTTAAAATTCTTACTTATATTTAATACAGCAACGAATTTATGTTCTCTATTGATAACAACTATAAAATTTGACCATTAACACAAGTTTTTATATTTTATTCAGGAGAGATTTTAAATCCAAACATTAATATTTCTTTTACATTCACTTGATCTATAGAATCCAGCAGAGGACATTTTTCAAGACAGTCCACATACCAGTCTGGCCTGGTACTGCATGGTGACCATTCCAATAAAAATCTGATTGCACTGAGCCTTGAAGAGATCCACAGCATCTTTAATGGAGGCTGAGCTAGACTCACTGTACAGGGAGTCCACACTGATGGAGAGATGGGTGCCTTTCAGCAGACGGCTGTCCAATGACTCCACGTCCCATGACCTGGAGTAAAATAAGAGAACAGATAAACTGGTGACCAACTGGGATTTTACCTGATAAATGGTTTATCATTACTATACAAAAGCATCTTCCTGCAACAAAGCCATGACCTACCACAAGAGTAAAGATGGAATTCGGTGAACAAACAACACTTTATCAATGACATCATTTCTAATACTGTAGAGAATTATTTTTTACATTAAAATGTGTAAATTCTATGGTAAAATAACTGAAAAAAAAAATGTAATGTAGTATTTGCATATTTATCTTATAAGTGAACAGAGACTACCCACTATGCACCATGGAAATCTGTCTTTAAATGTTGTGCTTAAAGGGATAATAACTCTTCGTATGATATCTATATTTCACAATAAAAACATTGTGAACAACTCATAGAAATATAATATATTCTGTTTTATCACAAAAACGGCAGCTATAGCTATTATTTTGATATCTGAGCTTGTCTTCAGATCACGTGACCTCCACTGATGGCTGTACTCTGTTATAATCTCTTAAGAGATTTTAACAAAAAACCAAACTTTTTAGAAAAAAAACAGAGACTAACTTTGAATGTAAAAATGGATTCATTAACCATTGGTAAGTATGGGAAAATTGTTGTTTACTCCAGGAAAATTCATTTTTTGACCAAAACGAAGAGTTATTATCCCTTTAAGTTGATATCTGGATAGTTTGTTGCATGCAGACCCAAAGTGCAACAATAGAAATATTAGTGTAAGAACTGCTGACAATCATATTTTACCTTGTGGGTGTAGGACTTCTAGCCAGAGGGTAAAGGTGGCTGCAGTCTTCAGGGAGCTCTATAAACAGGCACCCCATGCTGTCACTGATGTGATGTGTGATTGGGCGATATGAGAAAGCAGTGCAATAGGATGCCATGCTGGTACGGTTGTAGAAATCAAGAATCTTCTTCCTAGAATGTGGAGTGAAAATGAATATGTGGGTAAAATGAGAAAACCAGGGCAATTTCCATCTTGTCATGAAGAAACCATCCATTCCACAGGAAGTCTACACATTAAATTTGCCACTGCAATCTCTTAGTATATGAAAATAAAAAAAATGAGAAAATCAAGATAATTTCTATCTTGTCATGAGGAAACCTTCCAATCCAGGAATTGAAAACATTGAATTTTCCACTTCAATCTGACTCTATATGTGACCGACTCTATATATCTATCAGGCTATTCACAATTTAGTTATCATTCATGTACCTGTCGGTATCAGTGAGAGGGCAGATATCTTGACCATCCCAGAACTCTGTGCAGGACTCCAGCAGGATATCAGCCGTGCCCTGGGACATCAGCTGGGTGGCTCCTGGTATGGACAATGGGTCATAACTGAACACTGACAATACTTATATTTTATTGGCTTTGTATTACATATTAGGCATGCGGTGAAAAACAGAGCCTCTTCAGATTTTTCTTTTGTTTTTCTTAGGAAGTGTTATAAAAGATCAAGCTGAAAACTTAATTTATTTTACTCTAAGTTACAAGTACCTGTTTTGGTTTCTTGAACAACAACAGACATCATATTAGGCATAGGAATCTTGTGAATAACTAAACTTTTATTTCTTTGCAACTTTTCTTTTGCTCTCACTTCCAGTGGCTGAAAAGGAGATTATAATCTATGAATATCTTTCATTACATTATGGACCAAATACAGACAGACAGCTGCAAACAAAAGATGACCAATTACATAAATATGTATGATAAATTCAAATCTGTTTTATTACTTTTTGTAATTTTACCAATATTTGCTCGTGCCTTACCACATGCTTGTACATCCCAAACTCCAACTGTTTTTGAAATATCTCCATTGCCTTGTGTGTAAACCCTATCTGTCGTGCTAACTCACACAGACACCTGAAACAAAAATGGTGCATTTTGTGTGATGATCAGATAATTACAATCCAACCTTAAACTACAATTTAAATACATTAACATTAAGGACACACACACACACACACACCCTTCAAAGAAAGCACCAAACATAGCCTTAAAACAATTTAAGATTTAATAAAGACACAAAATTTGGCAAAAAATATATATCGATTTTATTAATATCAAATATCTTAATCTTGGTTAGTGATTTTATAAAATTGTTAGTTTACCTTCTGTTAACTACTGCCACAGTGTCCTCATTTTTAAGTGCTGCCACCCCTATGTGGTCTGTGAAAGTCTGGTACGCATTCACGGTGGATTTATTGCACGTATTCAACAGTATATTCAAACCCTGAACGATAAATACAAAAACTGATTCAGAAATCATTTCTGAATTATATATTTCACCTACTTTCTAATGACTCAAATTATTGATATTCATTTCAATTACAGATACATGTTGTTATCATAGTAAGATATATCATCTCAAATAAAAGCTCAATATAAAATAAACTCAACATTTCAACGTACAGGTGACTGTGTTACATACCAGTGGTTTCAATGAATTCAGATATTTCTTCCAGGCTGGGTCATCAAACTGGAGCCCAAATGCATCCTGGGAGATAAAGAATGATCTTATCTTGCAAATTTTTCAATAATAATATTTGGACAAAATTTCCTCTACACTTTAAAGTAAACACATTTAGCACATTATTGTACCCTCTTGTACAAAACTAATTCTTTGGTGCGCCAACCTTCGCCATATAACTAAGCAAAAGGGTATATTTTGGTAAAAACAAAAACTGATGTGTAAACAGAAATATATAACATGGATTCTGCCTTATTATGTAAATAAAAGAAGTCTGCCAATCAAGAACATCTGAGTTCACTGCCCAATGGACACCAACCTTAGCATCATGTGTGAGGTCTAAAACTTCTATATGATAGTCAGGAGTAAGGGCTGGAATCCAAACAAACTTATCAGTCATAAAAGATTGACCTTAACCTCTTTCTTTTTCAAAATTTTAATACCTCATTAACCTGATATTTCAACATCTTTTAACATTTATGGATATAGTAACACAAGATATGCAACACTAATTTTGCTAATGAAGCAGTATTATTCCAATTCAATGTGTAATTGCCATAACAGATTTTGAAAAAGCATCAATTGCAATTAAAATTTTCCTCATCAAGTTGCTCTTAAATATTCTTATCTATTCACTCATATTTATATATTATGAAGGGTGGTATTTGAATCAAACAAACAAACAAACAAACACACATACCCTGGTCCACGTTCTCTTCCTCTTCTTCTGCAGCATCTTTCTGAGCCTTTTCCAGTTCTGCCTCCACCTTACCCTTCTTCCCTGCATGCTTGCACTGTGTTCCACTTGAAAAGAAGAACACTTTCTCAGCTGTGGGGTTTGGCCAGGATAGGATACCCTTCTTGTCTATACAACACAGGGACTGGAATTACAGCAATAGATATCACTTGTCAATACCTGCTTTCATTTCTACCAGTATTTATATTGAATAAATGCAGATTAAAAAGACAATAATAATAAGTGTATGTGGTTCAAATAACAAAGAAGGGCAAGGGAAATTAAATAATAAACAGACTTTCGAAAAGTCACACACTTTGGGATGAAATACTTGATTAATGATTTAAAATATGAATAATCATGCACCAACAGAATTTTCAGAATGGATTATCATTAACAGAAGTGGTGATAATGTACAACACATATAAACATTCATATCATAAATACAGGAATAAATAGGTATAAGGACAAAGCTAGCATTACTGATAAAACATCTCCTATACAGAGAAGGTTACTCAATTGCTCACATTGATATTTCCTAGGGCATGTACACTATTTGCTGTTCTGGGTAAGGAAATGCTGGGTCCCTTCAGCAGCTCCAAGAAGTGCCTCCAAACCTGTCTCCATTCATAGTGGACCACTATCTCATCCTCAGAGATGTTTGTTTCAACACTGAAGCGATCTAAATCTGAATACTATAAACAAGTACCATTAATTATTACAAACTTTAGTTAGTAAATGAGGATCAAATCATTATCACTGCTTTTTCGCAGATTTAACCATTTTACCATATTTATTATACTCCAATTTAAATCCTATTCAGTTTTTCTTACTACCACTCCTTTAGATAACAGATTCCAAAATATTTGAAGCCTTTAAAGCTATGTAGTGGCCCCTTGAGTCACCAGGGTCTAAGGATAAACTGAACCAAAACAGAAGTGGTGTCTAGTAATTAATAAAAATTTATACAATTTCACTGGTTTTGTTTCAATTTTACTGACATTTAGCTAGGACCAGTGCTAACAAGACAGGCTACATGTATGCTATTATTCATGGAAAATATCACCTAAGTTTACCTCATACTGCTGCCCCTTGCCTTCATCAAAGACTGCCAATATTCTGGCGTGTCCCAGCAGGTTCAGCATGTACCACAGGAGGGGGAACAACACTGGGAGAAATGGCCACGTGGCATGGACCTTGGTGAAGAATATATACTTAAGTCTTAACTGGTTCATTACATTATAAGGTTTAAAAATTATGTCGAATCTATATCAGAATCCATATTTTTTACTGTACTTATATGCCCACTATTGTGTCAAGAATAAAGTAAAGCAGAAATATATACAAACTGAATATAGAGAATGACCCTCAGTTTAACCAAACGGCTAAGCAAAACAGATTTCAAAAAAGTTCTTATAAACATAAATGAAGTTTTTGAACAAAATCAACCCATGTTTTTTTCTCACTTGATATTTACCACTTCCTTATACAGGTTATACTTTAACATATTAACTGACCTGTAAGACAATGACCATTTCTGTCCAATGCCCAGCACTTTCCTCCAACAATACAATCCTCAGAATATTTGTAATAAGGAGGATAAGCTAAAATAACAAAGAGCAAGAAGAAAAACTGTCAGGACTCCTGTAAAACAGCCATGTGACATGATTCTGAGTCTTGAGTTGTAAAATGATTTTTGGTAGAATTGTCTATAGATTTCAAAATTGCATAATATTATTAAAGCTGTCCAAAACCTCCATATGATATCTAACATTTTGCATACTTAAATTTTGCTAGATGAATAAGTTCATGTATATCAGTTTATTCCAGTTCAAGGCTGATTTATTATTCAGCATTACAGAGCAGTACTCACAAATACTGTAGGCAGTAGAATCCTCAGCACACACAAGGTCCCCAGTGCATATTGCTCATTATCTATAATACTGACAGGACGATTGCCACCTTTCTCTAGTATTGTCCTGGAATGAGTCAAACACCAAGTTAAGTTATAATTGATTAAATATAATGTGTCAAACATCAGATTAATATATTTAACAGTAATTGTAACAGATACTGCATACCATTTGAAATGGACGCTTCGTGAATATTAGCAAAAATAAATTATGGTGAAAATTGTAATGGGTATGATAGCTGGACTGATTCTATTAATAATTTTCTAGATATATTAAATTTTTTCCATCGAATTACAATGATAATAAGCTATATATAAACAATTTCTCTTCTCTACCTGAGATTTTTCACAAAAGGTGTCTCCAGTAGGACGTAAGGTTTAGATTTCAATGGTTTCTGGTAGCAAGGCTGATCTGTGTGTTCTCTCTGACTGTCAACCTCTGGGGCAAACATTTCACCCCCACTCAACTCCTCCTGAGTCTGGTTATCCACCTAGAACAACAGGATATATTCAAATACAACAAAAGCCATCAACAGGTTATTTCAGGGGCAGATCCAGATATATTTTCTGACAGTCTTCCAAATTATCTTTGATGATCCATCCTCATTTTGACTGTCTTCCGACAGAAGAAATCAGATACCTGTCAATGTAAACTTGAAAATCTGACGGTTTTCTGGAAGACCCAGAAGTCGACCTCAATCTGCCCCTGTATTTGACCTACTTGCTGCACCTTCACTATTAATGCAGTAATGATAGGTCAGCTCTTCATGGTACAACTATTCTCTGTCATCTCATTAGGCAAAACTAAGTGTATTTAACAAGTGTATTGACCCGCCCCCTCCCTGACAGTGACATGCCAATCAGTGAACATGGGGGTGAACAGGAGAACAGAGGGAACATACTGTCTACAGGGATCTAATCTCTTTAAACCTTTTCCTAAAATAACTGAAGTGCAGACATATTGTTGTAATTCTTCAATGGGCTTAAACTAACATTTATCCCATAAGCTCTACTACCTCTGCCAGCAAGCATCTGCACCTAGCAGGTGCTTTCTGCCCTGGTCTCATTATGATGATGTCGCCCTCTATCAGCAGGGTAGTTGGCAGGTTAATGACCTCATTGTCCCTGTATGTCCACTGTACAGACACTGAAGGGGATAGTGGACACTGCAGCAAGAGGTAGTTAGACGGCGTCCAGGTACAAGTGCGGATACAAACTGAAACAAGGTTTATGTCATGATTACTACTAAAAAAAAAAAGCAGTAGAAGAAAAAATGGAATGAACACTGTGTTTATCTTAGGTGCAGCATGCTTTCATTAATATTTTTTTTTTAAATCAACATTCAAGGCTATACTCCTCACTTTCTACAACCCTGTTATGAAGTTTTTTTAATCAAAAATCATATTGTCAACAACTGAATTCACCTTTTAATTTGTCCAGCGCCTGTCTGGCATGATCAATTAGTTCACATGTCCTGAGTTTGGAATTATATCCAGTGTAGTACAAATTGATAGCTAAAAACACCAGCACCACCAGGGCTTCTACAGCTAACCAGGGACTACTGCAAATGAAATTTTGAATTAAAATATTTTTAGAAATATCAATGGAAAGTGATACAAATCTGATAAAAACCTGATCAACTGTTAAAGATGAAATATATGAAGCCTACAGTAATGCCTTATCAATATGATGAAGATGATATTTCTGCCAGGTCATGTACATGTATACAATAAGACTAGAAAAAAAAAATTATCATCCTTAGCTACTATGGCCAATTTGCTACAGATAATTAAGCAACCCCCAAATATGATAGAGTAATGTAAAATTGTAATAAAATTTGAATACTTATAGGAGATGTATCATGACTTTTGCTTTTAAAGGAAATATATGTAACTTTTCTTTATTTGCCAGAGCTCCATCTTTTGTCTACATGGCCCACTCACCCAATTTTTTCCACCTCAGAGTATCCGTAAGCCACAAATAGCATGACAGAATAGATGAGAAGAACAGCCGCACCCATCCAGTGAAATGAGGAGCGCCTGTCTCCGTGATAAAAACTTGACTTGTAAAACTTCTCTTTATAAGTAGAAAAGCTGATTGTGGCCTCATATTTGTTGATTTCTCTGTCCAATTCATCATGGAGCAGTTGCAAGGCTTCCTTGGTGTTGTAGCCTTTCAGGTCTGGGAACTCCTGGTACTGCAAAGAGGATTTAATATAATTATTACTGCCCGGTTAATCAATCATTAATAAAATGATTGGTCAATGCAAATAGTTCAATGTAACGTTATTTATAATAATTTATTCATAAATCCTTACGTGTTTGACATACGTTTATTTCTAAAACTGCAAATTAAAGAAGTAAACAGTGATTAGAGTATCAAATTAAATAACAAAATGAACTCATGGGTTTCTATGAAGTTTTGCTAAATTAAAACAAATTCCAGACTGATCAGAAAGTTCGACACAACATTACATCATTCTGCTTTACGACAACAAAAGGCGGTGTGTGAACCTGTCAGTAGCACATGTCATTACAAAAGAAGCATGAGCATGATGCACGCAGTCAGCAGTCTCGAGAAGAACTACAGATTCTAATCAGGTATGAAAACTTAGCTATTAAACCCTGTGGTACATATTTAACTAAGGACATAGGGCATCTGTTAATAAATTATCTAGGAGGATACTCACACTGCTGTCATTCATTTTACGTTTTAGAAAACGTTACCTTCACCACCACTCGACCTCTCCATTCCCTTTTTTAAGACGGTCACACAAGACAATCCTGAATTGTGCACATTTCGCTGCAAAAAAAAGAATATGGTTTATGCATTGTTCTTTTTTAAAATTTTGTTTCACCTATGAAACATTGTTTGAGATATCTGTTAGATTTTCTTTGTTTGATGTATAAAACTTTGGTTTTCTTATCTTGGTAGTGGCGATGCCTCCTGGGCAATTTCAACCAATGATCAACGTTGCCCAGCACGCTAAAATTTGGCGGACTTTCCAACTCTGTTTTTGTTGCCGAAGGTGGCTTTGGATGAACTTTTTCTCAGGGAATTGTAGAAATATTTTGCTGAACAGCCAGGTAAAACCTATAGAGAAGATGCTTGGAAGACTAAAACCGAAGAAATCATTCGAAGCTGGTAAGCGATATGTGAAATTATATTTTTTTCTGGAGACGAAATGCGAGGGCGCAAACAAGTTCACGTTCTCACAAACAAAGCACGCAAGAAGCTTGCAAAGCGTTTGCTCGAGTGCTCCAAAAATGAAACTGATTCTTAGTTTCATATTTTTGCTAATGTTTGTGTATAATTTTGTTTAATTTAATTTAACTTGTTTGTTATGTTCAGGGGTAAAACATGAGGGTGATGGGGGTTGGGGGCGCGAACGTGAGTCAGTATTAGAGTCTTGAGTTATATACCATAAATATTATTCTTTTACAACTGAACCCTAGCTCACCCTACCCGTAGCAAAATCCTGAACCTGCTGGTGATACTATCCAAAAAGAGGATCTAATAAAGTGGGTCCTATCTTTTGTAAGTTCACATGACTCATGGCTCATGTTTCAGGTCATCTGAGGTGACCAACTGGTGTTATTTATCCAGTGGGGAAATATGTTGAAATATTAAGAATTGACTTGAATAAAAAACGTGAGAGTAAGCCAACACTATGACATGATTGTATATCTTTCCATCTTTTTTTCCAATTTCATATCACCAGAATTCATCAAAGATTTTGAAAATTTGAATTTTTGCAAAAGTACATCCACAGTAAGTACATTGTCATTTTGTATCTACTTTTAAATGTAGAATCTGTAATAAGAATCATCTTATTTTTCAATTCATTGAAGATCACTTTGGTAAATTTTGTATTGAAAATTTAGTATTATTATGTTAAAAGATATATATATATATATATATATATATATATATATATATATATATATATATATATATATATATATATATATATATATATATATAAAAGATATATAATTGAAAAAATAGGGCTGGGAGTAGGTTAATTGTTATATATATGTATGTGTGTGTGTGTGTGTGTGTCTAATAATNTATATGTACAGACACATCTGTGTCTGTACATAAAAATGGAATGAACACTGTGTTTATCCTAGGTGCAGCATGCTTTCATTAATATATATATATATTTTTAAATCAACATTCAAGGCTATACTCCTCACTTTCTACAACCCTGTTATGAAGTTTTTTTAATCAAAAATCATATTATCAACAACTGAATTCACCTTTTAATTTGTCCAGCGCCTGTCTGGCATGATCAATTAGTTCACATGTCCTGAGTTTGGAATTATATCCAGTGTAGTACAAATTGATAGCTAAAAACACCAGCACCACCAGGGCTTCTACAGCTAACCAGGGACTACTGCAAATGAAATTTTGAATTAAAATATTTTTAGAAATATCAATGGAAAGTGATAAAAATCTGATAATAACCTGATCAACTGTTAAAGATGAAATATATGAAGCCTACAGTAATGCCCTATCAATATGATGAAGATGATATTTCTGCCAGGTCATGTACATGTATACAATAAGACTAGAAAAAAAAATTATCATCCTTAGCTACTATGGCCAATTTGCTACAGATAATTAAGCAACCCCCAAATATGATAGAGTAATGTAAAATTATAATAAAATTTGAATACTTGTAGGAGATGTATCATGACTTTTGCTTTTAAAGGAAATATATGTAACTTTTCTTTATTTGCCAGAGCTCCATCTTTTGTCTGCATGGCCCACTCACCCAATTTTTTCCACCTCGGAGTATCCATAAGCCACAAATAGCATGACAGAATAGATGAGAAGAACAGCCGCACCCATCCAGTGAAATGAGGAGCGCCTGTCTCCGTGATAAAAACTTGACTTGTAAAACTTCTCTTTATAAGTAGAAAAGCTGACTGTGGCCTCATATTTGTTGATTTCTCTGTCCAATTCATCATGGAGCAGTTGCAAGGCTTCCTTGGTGTTGTAGCCTTTCAGGTCTGGGAACTCCTGGTACTGCAAAGAGGATTTAATATAATTACTGCCCGGTTAATCAATCATTAAAAAAATGATTGGTCAATGCAAATAGTTCAATGTAACGTTATTTATAATAATTTATTCATAAATCCTTACGTGTTTGACATACGTTTATTTCTAAAACTGCAAATTAAAGAAGTAAACAGTGATTAGTGTATCAAAACAAATAACAAAATGAACTCATGGGTTTCTATGAAGTTTTGATAAATTAAAACAAATTCCAGACAGATCGGAAAGTTCGACACAACATTACATCATTCTGCTTTACGACAACAAAAGGCGGTGAGTGAACCTGTCAGCAGCTCATGTCATTACAAAAGAAGCATGATGCACACAGTCAGCAGTCTCGAGAAGAACTACAGATTCTAATCAGGTATGAAAACTTAGCTATTAAACCCTGTGGTACATATTTAACTAAGGACATAGGGCGCCTGTTTGTAAATTATCTAGGAGGATACTCACACTGCTGTCATTCATTTTACGTTTTAGAAAACGTTACCTTCACCACCACTCGACCTCTCCATTCCCTTTTTTAAGACGGTCACACAAGACAATCCTGAATTGTGCACATTTCGCTGCAAAATAAGAATATGGTTTATGCATTGTTCTTTTTTAAAATTTTGTTTCACCTATGAAACATTGTTTGAGATATCTGTTAGATTTTCTTTGTTTGGTGTATAAAACTGTGGTTTTCTTATCTTGGTAGTGGCGATGCCTTCTGGGCAATTTCAACCAATGATCAACGTTGCCCAGCACGCTAAAATTTGGCGGACTTTCCAACTCTGTTTTTGTTGCCGAAGGTGGCTTTGGATGAACTTTTTCTCAGGGAATTGTAGAAATATTTTGCTGAACAGCCAAGTAAAACCTATAGAGAAGATGCTTGGAAGACTAAAACCGAAGAAATCATTCGAAGCTGGTAAGCGATATGTGAAATTATTTTTTTTCTGGAGACGAAATGCGAGGGCGCAAACAAGTTCACGTTCTCACAAACAAAGCACGCAAGAAGCTTTCAAAGAGTGCTCCAAAAATGAAACTGATTCTTAGTTTCATATTTTTGCTAATGTTTGTGTATAATTTTGTTTAATTTAATTTAACTTGTTTGTTATGTTCGAGGTAAAACATGAGGGTGATGGGGGTTGGGGGCGCGAACGTGAGAGTCAGTATTAGAGTCTTGAGTTATATACCATAAATATTATTCTTTTACAACTGAACCCTAGTTCACCCTACCCTTAGCAAAATCCTGAACCTGCTGGTGATACTGAACCAAAAGGAGGATCTAATAAAGTGGGTCCTATCTTTTGTAAGTTCACATGACTCATGGCCCCTGTTTCAGGTCATCTGAGGTGACCAACTGGTGTTATTTATCCAGTGGGGAAATATGTTGAAATGTTAAGAATTGACTTGAATAAAAAAATGTGAGAGTAAGCCAACACTATGACATGATTGTATATCTTTCCATCTTTTTTTCCAATTTCATATCACCAGAATTCATCAAAGATTTTGAAAATTTGAATTTTTGCAAAAGTACATCCACAGTAAGTACATTGTCATTTTGTATCGACTTTTAAATGTAGAATCTGTAATAAGAATCATCTTATTTTTCAATTCATTGAAGATCGCTTTGGTAAATTTTGTATTGAAAATTTAATATTATTATGTTAAAAGATATATACATATAAAAGATATATAAGTGAAAAAATAAGGCTGGGAGTAGGTTGTTATATATATGTATGTGTGTGTATGTCTGATAAGAAACGCTTATACCTGCCTTGGCATTTTCAGGTTTGCATTGAAGGCAACATAGGCAGTGGGAAGTCAACCTTGCTCAATCATTTTGCAAATTCACCACACGTAGAGGTTTGTTGATCCTCTGTTCATATAGTTTAAATTAACAAGGGTCTTCATTTTGTTTTGTGGTATTTATAAATTGTGAGAGTTATGAATGTGAAATAACATTTTTGGCACTGGGGGGAAAGCTGTTCTTAAACGCAATTATGTTTTATAAGTGGGCATAGAGAACGTTTGTTGATAGTCACTTCTTTTTTTTTTTAGGCAATAAAAGAACCCTTAGATAAATGGTGCAATCTTCAGGGACACAATGCTTTGGTGAGTTAAGTTAAATTTTTTCTCTGTGAAAGGAATTAAATAGCTGCTTAAAAAATAGACAGTATGTCACTGTAATCATGATAACTATTCCAGTATTGTAAATTGTTTGATTATATGCATTCATTGAAGGTCGCTTTGATTATGTGCAATATTGAAATGTTTAGCGAGATGGTAATATATTGTTTATCCTATTTGTAAGTGTTTCTCTTTTAGGAACTTTTGTATAAGGATATGAAAAGGTGGAGTTTTTCCTTTAATACTTATGTCCAGCTGACCAGAGTGCAAATGCATAACTTCGAAACTGTGAGTGCATGTTATAAATTCAAATTATATTACTAGTAAATTATATCATCTGAGATGTCTTTCTAGAAGCTGCTGTGTTTTTTGCAAATTTAACTCAATTTTTGTCGTTACGTAAACTAGAAAAGGACATGAAATTATTTAATGCCATCACTTATCAGCTCTTTTTGACATTTCAGCAAAAACCTATCAGAATGATTGAGAGGTCTTTACACAGCACAAAACATGTGTTCATGGAAAATAACAGACGGACGTAAGTGGATTATAAACTCTTCCATTTTTGTTTATTTTTAAAATAACACTGTATTTATGCACAATGAGTGCCTTAAGTGTTTTGTACATATAGTAAATTTGAATCAAATATATCCTGTAAAATACTTTTTTCTATTGCAGGGGCATTCTTCATGAGATGGAATATGCTATATTAGATAACTGGTATGAGTGGTTGAATGAAACAAAACAGGCAGAGGTTGACTTAATTGGTGAGTTCTGCAAGTGGTGCTGCAAAACATTCCCTGTCCCCTGTTATGAATTAAAGATGCAATTTAGGTGTTGTTATTAGTTTTAGTGAAAGTATTGTAGTGAGAAGCTGAAAAAAGGAATTCAAATTTCATTGCTGTATTTTTGTTAAGCATACAATTACATGCTTTGAAGTTATTTTATCCACTGCAGTATATGTTCGAGCTCCACCAGAGGTATCCTATCAAAGAATAACAAGAAGAGACAGAAAAGAAGAATCTGGGGTCCCTTATGTGAGTTTTAAAAACTATATCTTCCCTGTGTAATACTAATGTCACATTTATCAAATATTTGGTAGAATGTTATATGTTACACAGATTAAGCATGCTATTTTTAAGAAATGAGTAGTTCATTTTTATACGTCCAATGTGATAGACTAAACTAGATCAACTTAATGAGCAGATTCTTTGGGACATTGTTTATGCCTGAGAGACAAGTGCACATTTTAAGCACTTTTTACTTCATTTAAGTGTAGTGGTTTTCAAGATGGGTGTACTTAATTAATTGTTGATTCTGTCTTCCAGGAGTATATAGAGGCTCTCCATGAACTCCATGAAGACTGGTTAATAAAACAAAAGCATCCAGTGCCCTGTCCTGTCTTGGTAAGTAATAGTAATGATGAAAGTGGTCATAAATGAAAATTTGGGATAAAAGTCTCTGGGGAAAGTAGTGGATAGGGTAAACATTTTCTACATGTATCTTACAGTAGTTGATTGCACTTTCTAGCTAAAATTGTTTTATTGTTGCAAAATTTCACACACAAAAAGAATGTGGTTAAAAAACATGATATTTGTCCTGTCTTGTTAAGCTGGGGATGAAAGTCTGAGGAAAGTAGTGGATAGATGAAACCATATTTTGCAACGGATGATTGCACTTTTTGTGCTAATAAATGAAATTTTTATTTTTGCAAAATTTCACACACAAAAAAAATAAATATTTGTTCTGTCTTGTTAAGCTGGGGATGAAAGTTGCAGAGCAAAGTAATGGATAGATTAAACATTTTCCCACTTTTGTCTTGCAGTAGTTGATTGCACTGTATTTTTGTATGTTTCAAAAGTTTCAGGCAAAAATGCTAAAACTTTTAAGTGATCACACATACAACAGTGTTATGAATTTTGCAGGTGCTGGATGCAAGTTGTGGCCTAGATGATTTGAAACATCTTTATGAAGACAAAAGACCAGAAATCCTTTGTGGATATCACTGATCTTAAACTGTGGTTTCAGATATAATGTTTTTCTTGAGACTTATGTCATTTTATCTTTTTTTATTAATTCACAACATGTCAAAGGATTTTAAAAGTAAAAAAGAGATTTTTGAATTTCTGTCTAGTCTGTTGTGTTGATCTTGGCAACTTACAGCATATTTTTTTCACATGTCAGTTTTATGTTTAAATTCAGGCTTGATCACTTTCTCCAGCTCCTTTTAAGTTAATAGTTTATGATGTTTACATTTTAGTTATGTGTGGAAAGCAAAAAATGTTAAAAACAGTACAAAACTTGTATGCATAGTTTTAAAACCAGTATTATTTTGCATAAATAACTTGTGGAGGAGAATGTTTACATGAAGTTGCTGATAATGTAGATTATTTATTCAGAGAACAATGTCATTTTTTAAATATTGGTGTACATATTTTTCTTATACACTGTTTCCTCTTTTGTTTTCATATGTAGTCAAGCCAGTCACCACATTGTGTCAGATGCAGTGACATTGAGGAAAGTATATATAATGTGAATATTTATGGTCATGTAAAATCTGTAATGCACATAGACCTGTTGGTGCTTACAGCTAAAATATCCAGTGTGTTTGTTGACAGATGCATATATGTCATCATTTAATACAACTCAACACTGGCAAAGGTGCAACATAAAGAGAAGACTACTTCTCTTCAAACTGTATTTTGAAACTGCTGTATTCACTCTCTGAGAAAGTATTGTAAGGCATCTCAATTTTCATTTTGAATCCATTGTTGAGCAATGGCATCAGCATTGAAATAGCTGATCTTGTAAGAATTTTAAAACACTGGAGAATAGTGTGACAAAAAATTGTGGCCCTTTAAGATATTTTATGTGTGGATGTTAAGTAAATGTCACATATGACATCATAAATGTACACATCAAGAGCCTTGGATGACCTGGGTTCTGCATTTTATCAGCCAGAGTGAAAGGGTTTTAACATTAAAAGACATTCATGAATATGTGATGAGTGCGTGTGAGTCACATTTGTATTATTCTTGGTATCAATTTTTGGCAGATAAGTTAGCGTATTAAGACCATTTTATTGTATTACTCGTACTGTCATTTTAAAATTTGATGACCCATCTCCTGTGCTCCACTGTGACAAATATGAAATAAATACCATGTCATTATATAAGATTTGATTGTTTTATCTTGTTTGGAAGATGCAGCTCTGACACAATGCCAACCAGTTTCCCTGAAAAGCTCCTCCAAATTAATTATGTTTATTCTAGAGTGCTCATTTGAGAATAATTTTTTAAGAAAAGGTTTTGCAGTTAATGCACACCCATGACTTTTCTTAGAAATGATTGTTTTGTGGTAAAATAATTCTTTTGGTACAAAAATAGTTTTATTTGACATATCCAATGCAAATGTACATATATGATACACTTATACAAAAACATGCCCCACTCATAATATATTATGCTTTGTGAGGTTGGCACAGGTTAAATATATGTTTTCTAATCCATTGTTAGTTGAAATATTGTTGGAAGTGGTAAAAAATTCCAAAGAAATCCCAGATTGGCACCAAAATCTAGAACATTGTGAAATTTGTAAGGATGAAATGGCTTATGACAATATGAAACTTACAAGTTATTACATGTACTTGTTGATGACGTCTTCAAACGCAGTCAACGGTATGTTAATATGCTATATTATCTTGTCTATTAACATAAGTCTAGTTCACGGTGCCTGAGATTTACCCATCCTGTGCCAATAAGGCAGCTTCTATTGCAGCATCAGCACCAGCAGATATGGAATCACCATCCCTCTGAAAGATAAATTTTTCCCTTATTGTTTACTGATGATTTACTGATTTATAATTTCCAATAGTAAAATGTTCAGTTCCTGGTTTTTAAAATTTAAGTCAATGATGTGTCTCTATTGAAAAATTTATTTTTTAATAAAAGTGAGATTTAACTACTCCAAAAAATTACCTTTTGTTCCAGAATAAGTAGTTCAGCCAGTCGTTTTACTTCTCGTGAGTTTGATAATAATGAAGACTCCCTCACTTGGTGTTTCTGCAACTCTCTCTTTTGACGTCCATTAAACTTGGAGTTTTCTTTCATTGTTTTATCCAAAAGTCTGAATTTATCAACAAATACTGTTACAATATTGCAACAAACTGCAATTATACAGAACATTTCCAGTTATCACTTGATTTTTATTTTATTTTGATAAATGACAGGGTAGAACTACATTTTTAATTAGTGACATTATAGAGATGTATTGCAATATTTAGAAATATTCACTTACTTGTCATATGTCTGCTTGGTCTGTTTGACATTCTTAAAGGCACCAATGATCACATCTCTGTAGGTTTTAGTCTCCAGAGTAAAATCAGTTAAGAAATAGATGGTACAATGCAATGAAAATAAGAATATTCATAAGAGAATTGTCTTCAAAATGTTACTCCTAAATCTAAGATAATAAGGCACTAAAGTGAAATTTAATAATATTTCACCTACTGTGGTATTACTCAAGGTAAAAATAACAATTTCTACTTAATCACCTACTGAAAAATAAATCTTATTTATTGACTAAATTTCCCTTCTGTTCTATTCTACTCCATTATTAAAATAGAAGGATATGGTGGTAGATTCTCCATCTCAGTTCTCTGGACCTTGTATGTTGTCCCTGCCTGCTCTGTGAGGTGGTGTGTCCTCATAAAATGAGCCACCAGGGGGCACTGGCCCTGGACATCAAAGACAGACCGCACAAAGTCTGGACCCTTGCATGCTGGATGGGACTGAAAAAAGGAAAAGGAAACAAGTAAAAAAAAATCTGTCAAGAAAAGGAAATATGTTTCAAATCATTGATATCCAATAGAATTTCTATAATGTCAAAAATAGTGAAAGGTGGTTTATACACAATTCTTCACAAGAAAAATACAAAATTTTGGGAGTTCTTACATTCCAAATGCCATCACTTAATGAAATTCCACATTCAGAAAAATTGAATGAAACAAAGACTATTTTTAAACAGCAAACAGTTATTGGTAAGTTTTCTCTGAATTTTTTTCTTACAAAAATATAAAATGGCTGAATATACCTCTTTTTTCTTATACCCTGAACTTATAAAAGACATGGTTGATGGATGTAAGGAAGCTGCCTTCTTAGCTTTAACTTTCAAATCTGATTCCTCCTCCACTTCATCTTCTTCCATATTCAGTTCTCTGATTGGAGACAAAACATCAAGCCCTTCTCTGACATCTGCCAAACCCCTAGATTTTTTAGACTGTCTTTTGGTAGGACTCCCTGCATTTGTTTTATTACTCTGTCCAGAAGCACTTGCCCCAGCAGCAGCAGAGGCCTGGGCCTCAGCCACAGTCTCAATGGCAGAGGCTGTTGAAGGGGGCTCACCAACTGCAGACCTAGTGTCATTTACACCAGTAACTGATTGCTTCTTTCCTTTTTGCCAAGATGTACTTTTCCTTGGAAATGACTGTTTACTCTGCCTGCTAGTGGATGCTAATGAAGTACTGGAGCCATACAGACTTTGCATCTGATCCAGGTGATCTAGGTAGTCAAAGTTCAACACAGATGCTAAAATGAAAAATTGAAAAAAAAATTTAAGAATTCATCCAGCAATACAATGAAGACTTTAAGTTGTAAAGAAGTAAAAATACTAAGTACTCAAAGTCTCTTTGAAAAATAGTTTGTATAGGGCACTAGATTATTGATTTTAATATCAATGCAAACTATGTGCCATGCCATGTCTATTTGTCAAGAAATTCTTTATGTTAACTCTTTTGTTCTGTAAAGACTGACAAGCAATGGATAGGCAAAACAGTGTTCACTGATACTGTGAAACGTGTATATTAGGATCATTGTACAGGGAGAGACCTGATGTTTCTTACTTTTCTTATCTTTCTTGGCATTCATCATCTCCTCCCTGTTCTTGATACCGGGTGGCTCAAGCATTGGGAAGTTCCACTTTAACCAGGAGCGGGGTGCTGGCCGCATGCCTGTGACAGAGCAGTAAGAAGTTAAAAATTCATAGCTTTTTACCACAATATTAAAGAAGGAATTCCTTCCAGAAAAAAAAAAAAAAAAAAAAAAAACAAGATTCATAAATTCATCAATGACAAGAATTAATATTTAAGATGGACCACTGGAACATCTATTACCTAAACATAGGAAATCAATGACAAAATTCTTTAAAACAACCTACCAGCCATCCATTCCCATACTAAAAACACCATCATTTCTTTAAAGTCCTCACTAAACTGCCTGTAGGAGTCAGGAAAGGCCTCACAGTATGCTGCATACACTGCCTGTGACATTAGGTCAGGGTATGACTACAAAATATAGATATGAAAGTTTAACATGTAATATTCTGAAAATTTCTTATGAAAGTTAACTCACTTTAAGATTTTCCAAACGGGTATACACTCAGTGCATACACATATTTCACAACTAAAAATATCTTTTCAAAAGCACAAAGTAATGGAAGTATGAAATACATGGCCACGTCAAAATAGAAATTTGCAACTCAAATTAATAATTTTATCTATCAAATTTATCATTAAAAACTAACCTTCAGGAACACTTCCTTGTATTGTGGATGCTTTGCATAAATCATCAACTTCACATAGTTGTGTGATACTCTGTTAAACAATTTTGCTTGAACTACTTTGTTGGGCTGATATTTCTCCAGGAAATAAAACCAGAATATATCCTGAAAACATGCAGACAGTTCTCAATAATGATAGATTTTTAAAAAGACAGTAGATAAACAAATAAATAAATAAATACATACTTGGAATCTACATAATCAATAAATACATACAGTATATGTGATGTGGGCCTTAATTATAATATAATATACTGTATCACACAACATTATCATCAGTTGTCACTGTATAAATTATGCTTCACTTACTAGTAACATAGCCTGAGACATTGGTGAGTAGAAGAGTTTTTCAAATTCTGGTCTGTAATTTGGCTGAAACAGAAATGAAAAACTTAAAATTCTTCGCCCGGTAACATTTAAAATAATCCCCAATATTTTTCTACTCAATGAACAGATTTCTAACACAGTTAATTGATCTATCTATGGGAAAAATGAAAGTAGATTTCAATATTGTTGGTTTTAAAGTTTGTGAACTTACTTTTCTTTTGAGGTCCATCTGGGCAAATGTGACCTTATTAAGTATTTGTGTAGCAGAAATATCATGTGGCAGCTGAGTCAGTTCAGTGGGATCATAGCCAGGGAACTGGTGCAACTAAAAACATTAGGAAAGTAAAGAACTCTCATAAGTGCAAAACAAAACACAGACAAACCCATATAAACTTCAACTTAATAACTTTGAAAACTGTGACCACCAACTGTGACCTGAATTTTTAAAAATAATAATAAATTAATAAATGAGTTTCAACTGAAAACTAATAAAAAAATTAAGTTCTACATTCATGTACTATAATACTCTTTTATATATCTTTAACTCTCCAACAAATACATTTTACATTTAATTCACCTCAATGAATTTTGGTTTTCCTGTTTCAACTTTTTTTACTGGTATTTTATTAGGCTGCAGTGTGACTTTAGAGATATTTCTCACTCGCTCACTGACTTCATGGCCTATAGCTGGAACATAAAACATGAATTGATGGCCAGGGTCTTTCTTGTAACATAAATAATTTACTGTTACCATAAGTTATTATGCGAATAACCAAAATATGATTTCAGTTTAATGTTGTAATAGATATATTCTCATTCACTGATCTCAGATCAACATTTAGTAAGAACTTAACATATGTATATCTATCCAACAGTATTTTTCTTAGTTACAATTTTCTGACTGAATCAGTATTTTTGTAATTTAGAAAAAACCTATATCTTCTTTAAACTATGCAATACGGATCTTACTTGATTGTAGTGCATAAAACCCAGCAAATGCATTCAACTCCTTGGCATCTTTCACTGAAAGAAAATTAACCTTAATTGTCATTAATACTGACATGATTGAGGTAATGAATAGACCAAATGTAGAACATATATATCACCTTGTCTTAATAATACCAGTATTCACATATCTTAACCTCTAAAATAAACATAAAAAAGATATTTTTACATTACATGGAAACTATTTACTTCAGTGTTTTAACTGATTAAAGCCATTTAATAATATAAGAACTGAGATAATAGCAGCATGTCTATTTTAAACTGACCTTTCTTTTCATATTTTTCTCTCCCCTTTGCACTTGAAGGATGCAAAAACTGTGCAATGTAGTCATCTTCAGTCTCTGTGCTCTGGGATTCACAAACCAACTCAGAGTAATGAGACAGCTTGCGATCCAACTTACTGATCTTTTTATTGACTAAATCAATAGATCCAATTAAAAATGCTGTGAAACTGATTAAGGAAAAATAGTTTAAAATGATGCTAAAATGTAGCTTAAGTGCTAAACATGTTGTTTATCAGCTGCACTAAAGATAAGGTTAAAATGTCACAAAAATTAAGATTGGATTATTTATTTATTTATTTATTTATTTATTTATTTATTTATTTATTGTGTGTCTACCTGTTACATGTAGTAGCTATATCTGTAGGACTCTCTCTCTCTCTTTCTCTTCTCATACTTACTGGAGATCTAGCCTTGTAAAAGTAACAACTTTACCGAGTCTCTGGTGCTACATTAGAAATGACAACTGATTTTTCAGTGCTAAATTCATGTGGTTTGCCTTAGCAACCTTTCCTTTTGTCTTTAAATAAGAAATGTCTTTCAATGAAATAAGGATACGTGATTTTGTGTGCTGCCTGTCTTGTATTAATCTCCTCCTTTTCTCGGTAACATCTCTCGTTTCGTTTATATCCTCTTCAAACAGGTGCATAGGCGAAGCTGTACGGTTGATGTCCGCCATGTTGTCAACAAAGTATACAGAGTCATCACGCAAAACTTTTTGAAATATCATGCAGTGAAAAAACGCAGAAGAACTCCATTTTTTATTGTTAAAATTGATAATATTATTTATTGTTGACTTAATAATTGATTCTTTTATAATTTTTGTAGGCTAAAACTGAAATCTAAAGGTCACTGATATTTTCGAATATACCAACTATGATGTTGATGTAGTGGCTCAACTTGATTACAAACTGAAGCCTGAGTCTGTGAGACTGTGAGTTTTTGAGAGAGGTACGTACCATGCATTTGTTAATTTTCCTATTTGCGAAAAAGTTCAAAAGTCATGTTGAATGAAGTCTGTCCGACAAACGCTTCAGTTTAAGCTCCAGCTGTGGAATGCTCTATTTCCTTTATATTTATTGTCTGACTATAAATTGCCTTTGACTTTCAAACACAGCCAGTACATGTACCGTACATTGTACATGTATGAAGCAGGAGAGCAAACGCATGAGTTTCGTGGTGTTATTGGTATTACTCCCATCAAGTTGGCCCAACTTAAATTCGATGGTGAAAACTTAAGAGAAGTAGTGAAATGAATATCTCCTAGTAAATGATTCACCTCCTTTACCAGATGCAACAGATTTTTTATTGATGAACATATTCACATACAAGGTACAATCAATACAGCACAGCTACTTGTAACTATAACATATCACAAATAAATTAATAGATAAATATAGATTATCATATTGTTGATAGATGGCTATACAAACAGATATGTATGTCGCATTTCATAATCAATTTACCAGGTTTGATCTACATGCACAGTCTCTGCTGTCAGCGCATAATGGATCTCACACTGGTATTATGATCTGGTTTGGACATGCGCAGAAAGACTAACTCTCTTCTTCATGCATTTCTGTACAAATATAATGAATATTTTAATCGTTAATATCCAGTTGATTTCCATTTGAAATCTACTATTTTTTTTTTCAGATTTTTCAGCCGCGTTAGTTAACTTCAGTTCTTACTTCTACACGGACTTAAAAATATGCACCGAAATCTCTAGTTGCAAGAACATAGCTAGTGGACCTCTTTATTAGCTAACTCAATCACTTGACAACTGGCACGTTTGTGTTCCATTTAATATCTTATGAATGTGATTTAATTTTCAGGCTTTGGTGTTATTTTTTCAAGGTCAATAATGCCATTGTTTGGAAACAAATTTAGTCCAAAGAAGACTTCACCTAGGAAGTCCACATCCCTGTCAAACTTGACTTTAGATCAAACAGAAAAACCAGTAGAGTTTGGGTTGGACTACGGACCTATCAAAGTGAAACTAGGACATAACGAAGTTGCATTTGAAGATGGACAGTGGATTTCAGGTAGGCCTGAATACTTACATACTATTACTATATATCAATTGTCATTCTGAAGAAGCTGTTACTTAACTGTAAATGAGATACAAGGGTCACTTTTTGAGATACTTTCACAAGCAATACAGATCATGTATATGTTTTTTTTTTAACCAAAACCTTGATTGTCTCAGCTAATGGTAAAGGAATAATTTGTAAGTTTGATTTGGTACCCTTCTTTCTATATTTTCATTTCCCTGTTTTCAGCTAATGGTGGAAGTGGTGTCAGCAACAAAGAATTTATTAAAATGAAGAAACAAAACCAGCAACTCACAGAAGAAAATAATTTACTGAAAATTAAGTTGGAAATACTTTTAGATATGGTAAGTGAACATTGCTATTACCTGCGTCAACAGCTTTCTCCCTTGGTACCATTAAGTTATTTACAGTAACAATGGCAGATTTGTGTGAGTTTATATCATGATCGTATACTTGAACTGTAGAAGTGTTGCAAAGAAATCGCCTAGTGTGCATATAAAATGGCAGTAAACCATTCTGTTCCAGCTGTCAGAAACAACAGCAGAGGCACATTTACAAGAGAATGAAATAGAAGAACTAAGAGCTTTGACAAAGAAATCAGGAAAGAGAAAAGGTGGAACTGGTTAAGGTCTTATGAAGGATGAAAATAATTCCAGAAGTGCTTTTATCTATCAAACATTGCAATGTGTTTCATAGAGTGGGGTGATGACATGCCACCAGTACACCACTGAGATGAGCTGTTATGTTTTCATAAACTATATGAACCAAATAGGATGAAAACAAATCACATCCTTATGATTGATATATCCTGGAATTGGATTTGATGCTGCTGCCATGGCTACATGTACCACAGTGTTGCTAGGCACTGTTATCAATACCCTGTGATGCTTGGGTTGGTGCCAGTGCCATTGCTGATGTCAGAAATGTAGTGCAGATGAAGCAAGACAAACATCTGTATCTGATGGCTTACCACTTTCTGTCAAGAGGGAATTTAGTGAATAATAATGATAAAGAATTGTAAATTGACACTGTTTCATAAAAATGCATTTTGCAATATCTGTTAAAAAGGTAATTTTTCCAGCATATGTATATCATTTTGAGTACACGGAGATTTCTTTTCAGTGATGAGAAATAGTGTTAAGTCCAGGACTTGAAATAATCTTTCATTTCTTTTCATTAGAAATATCTTTTGAATAATTGTTGTAATAATTATTATTTTGATATTAAATTTAACATGTTCATTAAAAATTAATATTTGTTTTCTGCTTGTTTTATTTATTGACATAGACTGCCTAAAATGTCATTTTTAAAGAGGAAAATTTAACATAAATATTGCTGGTAATGCAGAAAAAAGTCTGTGACATGTTCATGAAACAATTTGGCCCCAGTCAGAATAGGGGACTAACTAGTTCTAGGAACAAATATGGTGACCCACTACAAAGAATGCCGTCTGATACACTAATAGACACTGAAAAGATATCATGTGGGGAAATATTCAAGTGGATCGGCCATATTTGACCCTCAGACTATCTAGTCCCCTATTCTGAATGGGGCCCAAGTGCAGAATTCAGTCAGTTCTGTAATCAGAGAAGGACCTGGAGACCCCCAGGTCGGTGTACCTAATTACCGTCGACAACCGAGGACAACCGAACACAAGCACTAATTACCGTCCACACAACAGTCCACAAGCAATAAATACCACCCACAAGCGTCCTCCCATATGAAATAGTTGTAAAATCAACTAATAGTCAGAAATTTAACATAAGATGGTGCTAAAACGTATACGGCCCTGAAAGAGGTCACGGGTGCGGGGCTGTGGACGTTTTGAAAACAACGTAAAACGATTTTCACTTTTGTATAGGCCCTACTAGCCTTCCAAAATGTAAAAAAAGGGAAAACGCTCATTAGTTTATTAAATATAATAATAATTGTCATAGCTAGGTTGCCTTTAGATTAAATAAACATTAATCTTGACAGCCAAGCGTGCCGAAAACGGTCTCTGTACGTGTATAAGCTACATTAGTGCACTTTTAAAGGCAGTAACGCTTTTTAAACAGCTTTTATCCAAGTACAGTGACGCATTTTAATTTGATCTCAAAACCAAATTGGAGGGACAGTTGATTACAATTAACCAGTAGAAATATTATTGACAAATTCCAAGCTTTGTATAAAAAGATAAAAAAAGTCCCGAATTAAATGAAGACATTATCTAAGCAAAGATAACAGATGTTACCGCGAGTGAATATCACAGCAAGTAGAATTTCGCAGTTTATTTATATGGTCATTTAAGCATAAACATTTCACCGTCAAGTGCTGCCCTCTAGCGGAATATAATTAAAGTTTTGTGACCCAATTTTATCATGGCGTTGTCTGCTGGTAAGTGTAATTACCTTCGTAATGTAGTAACTATCGGTATCTTTTCAGAGTTCCAAATCAACATTTTTTGTACTTGAAAGAGGGAAGAAAAAAACTCACGACTTGATTCATTATGTATTTTAACATTTTAAACTTCTAGTGAATATCGGGTAACTTGTGAAGTTACCAACGATGTCAAGTTCGTGACTGATTTCGATGGATGATTAAATGAATCAGACCGAGCCCTGTTATTTGAGCGCTTCATGTAATAGCACTTTTTATATCATCTTATAAAGAAGGATATACGTTCTGTGTAAATGAAGGTTTTCATTTTGGTCCACACCTTCAGCAAATAGTGCACATTAATTCCACCTGCTAGCCAAAATTAAAAGTTGTGCACAAACATCGGCATAGTCAACAAAGACAATCCGCGAAGCACATAGCTAGTTGCAAACATTTTAAACATAATGTGTATGGACAGAACATCACGTAATTCATAACACTGCTGTTTTAATATAAATTTTGAATGGTCTTGATATAGGTATTTTTAATGTCCCAGTTATATGCAGTGTTTTCTGGATTTCAAGTTCCTATTCTTGAGCCAAACAAGTACTTACTAGTATAGGTACTCAAAAGAATTTTGAATAGCTGTTCAAGAGTGGGTGTGGTCATGTCTGGTTATTTGTCCAGTACATATCAAGCTTTAAACTTATGATGAATTTTTTGCCCTAGCCACTTATCTATACAAGACTGGTCACTAGGGTTTAATTAATAAATTTTAAAGATAGTTATATCATTCAATCGTAATAGTTATATGGCCATTATTTTTATTTATTTATATATATATTTTTTTTGCTGTGGTTTCATCTTATTTTAAACTCTTACCTGCTTAGTAGAGATAAAGAAGAAAAGATGTAGATTGCATTTTATAAAGTTCACTTTGATGGCCATGTCTGAGACAGGCTGACTCACTCAGTCAGCTGTGGTACAGTTATGATTTAGAAAAAAATGTAAATTCAACAATGATTGATGATTGCCCTTTGGGTGCTTCTAACTCAATACTACTGTGGTTCATAATTGTTTTTGTTAAATACATGCACATTTCTTTCAATTAAAGATGGACTTTTAATGATTTAATTGGCATATCAGCAAAGTGGCAAGCACCTGTTGATTTAACAGTCCCTGACAATAGTACTAGTAATTGTTATTCTGTGCAGATGACAATTAAAATTAAAACAAAAGGCTACATATAGTTATATGGTTATTGATTGTGGGATTTTATAAAGAAAGCAGGCTGCAACACTGTGTAAAAAAAAAAAAAAAAAAAGAAAAAAAGAAAAAAAACTTTTTTTGGAAAACTTTTCTTAGGCATTACAGTACTGCTAATATAGAACAGGATCTTTGTCTAAATGATCAACCTTCCTTTTTGATTTTTACACAAAACTGAACAAGTTAAAGTAAGTAAAAGGATAAATAGGAATTTATGAGACTGACTGTTCACAAATCAAGGAAATGAAATTAAACATTTTTCTCTTAACTCTAATTTAAATAAGATGTATACACCTTCAATTTTCTGTTATAATATATGAGTACAGTTGTCAGAGGAAGATAGGGTAAATTGAAACAAAATATCCTTTCAACCCTCTCTATAATTTAACACCTGTTATTAAAGGGATAATAACTCTTCGTTTTGGCCAAAAAATGAATTTTCCTGGAGTAAACAACAATTTTTCCATGCTTACCAATGGTTAATGAATCCATTTTTACATTCAAAGTTAGTCTCTGGTTTTTTTCTAAAAAGNACAAATGTTCCCACAACTGTAATCTTTTAGCCAGTAACAATGGCAGATTTGTGTGAGTTTATATCATGATCGTATACTTGAACTGTAGAAGTGTTGCAAAGAAATCGCCTAGTGTGCATATAAAATGGCAGTAAACCATTCTGTTCCAGCTGTCAGAAACAACAGCAGAGGCACATTTACAAGAGAATGAAATAGAAGAACTAAGAGCTTTGACAAAGAAATCAGGAAAGAGAAAAGGTGGAACTGGTTAAGGTCTTATGAAGGATGAAAATAATTCCAGAAGTGCTTTTATCTATCAAACATTGCAATGTGTTTCATAGAGTGGGGTGATGACATGCCACCAGTACACCACTGAGATGAGCTGTTATGTTTTCATAAACTATATGAACCAAATAGGATGAAAACAAATCACATCCTTATGATTGATATATCCTGGAATTGGATTTGATGCTGCTGCCATGGCTACATGTACCACAGTGTTGCTAGGCACTGTTATCAATACCCTGTGATGCTTGGGTTGGTGCCAGTGCCATTGCTGATGTCAGAAATGTAGTGCAGATGAAGCAAGACACAAACATCTGTATCTGATGGCTTACCACTTTCTGTCAAGAGGGAATTTAATGAATAATAATGATAAAGAATTGTAAATTGACACTGTTTCATAAAAATGCATTTTGCAATATCTGTTAAAAAGGTAATTTTTCCAGCATATGTATATCATTAAGGTTCATTTTGAGTACACCGAGATTTCTTTTCAGTGATGAGAAATAGTGTAAAGTTCAGGACTTGAAATAATCTTTCATTTCTTTTCATTAGAAATATCTTTTGAATAATTGTTGTAATAATTATTATTTTGATATTAAATTTAACATATTAATTAAAAATTAATATTTGTTTTCTGCTTGTTTTATTTATTGAAATAGACTGCCTAAAATGTCATTCTTAAAGAGGAAATTTTAACATAAATATTGCTGGTAATGCAGAAAAAGTCTGTGACATGTTCATGAAACAATTTGGCCCCAGTCATAATAGGGGACCAACTAGTTCTAGGGACAACTATGGTGACCCACTACAAAGATTGCCGTCTGATATGCTAATAGACACTGAAAAGATATCACGTGGGGAAATATTCAAGTGGATCGGCCATATTTGACCCTCAGACTATCTAGTCCCCTATTCTGAATGGGGCCTAAGTGCAGAATTCAGTCAGTTCTGTAATCAGAGAAGGACCTGGAGGGACAGTCGATTACAATTAACCAGTTGAAATATTATTGACAAATTCCAAGCTTTGTATAAAAAGATAAAAAAAAGTCCCGAATTAAATGAAGACATTATCTAAGCATAGATAACGGATGTTACAGCGAGTGAATATCACAGCAAGTAGAATTTCGCAGTTTATTTATATGGTCATTTAAGTATTTATTAACATTCCACCGTCAAGTGCTGCCCTCTAGCGGAATATAATTAAAGTTTTGTGACCCAATTTTATCATGGCGTTGTCTGCTGGTAAGTGTAATAACCTTCGTAATGTAGTAACTATCGGTATCTTTTCAGAGTTCCAAATCAACATTTTTTTGTACTTGAAAGAGGGAAGAAAATAACTCACGACTTGATTCATTATGTATTTTAACATTTTAAACTTCTAGTGAATATCGGGTAACTTGTGAAGTTACCAACGATGTCAAGTTCGTGACTGATTTCGATGGATGATTGAATGAATCAGACCGAGCCCTGTTATTTGAGCGCTTCATGTAATAGCACTTTTTATATCATGTTATATAGAGGGATATACGTTCTGTGTAAATGGAGGTTTTCATTTTGGTCCACACCTTCAGCAAATAGTGCACATTAATTCGACCTGTTAGCCAAAATTAAAAGTTGTGCACAAACATGGGCATAGTCACCGACAATCCGCGAAGCACACAGCTAGTTGCAAACATTTTAAACATAATGTGTATGGACAGAACATCACGTAATTCATAACACTGCTGTTTTAATATAAATTTTGAATGGTCTTGATATAGGTATTTTTAATGTCCCAGTTACATGCAGTGTTTTCTGGATTTCAAGTTCCTATTCTTGAGCCAAACAAGTACTTATAGGTATTCAAAAGAATTTTGAATAGCTGTTCAAGAGTGGGTGTGGTCATGTCTGGTTATTTATCCAGTACATATCAAGCTTTAAACTTATGATGAATTTTTTGCCCTAGCCACTTATCTATACAAGACTGGTCACTATAGGGTTTAATTAATAAATTTTAAAGATAGTTTTATCATTCAATCGTAATGGTTATATCGCCATTATTTTTATTTTTTTATATGTTTTTTTTGCTGTGGTTTCATCTTATTTTAAACTCTTACCTGCTCAGTAGAGATAAAGAAGAAAAGGTGTAGATTGCATTTTATAAAGTTCACTTTGATGGCCATGTCTGAGACAGGCTGACTCACTCAGTCAGCTGTGGTACAGTTATGATTTAGAAAAAAATGTAAATTCAACAATAATTGATGATTGCCCTTTGGGTGCTTCTAACTCAATGGTACTGTGGTTCATCAATGTTTTTGTTAAATACATGCATATTTCTTTCAATTAAAGATGGACTTTTAATGATTTAATTGGCATATCAGCAAAGTGGCAAGCACCTGTTGATTTAACAGTCCCTGACAATAGTAATTGTTATTCTGTGCAGATGACAATTAAAATTAAAACAAAAGGCTACATATAAAAAGAGTTGCACCTGGTTATTGATTGTGGGATTTTATAAAGAAAGCAGGCTGCAACACTGTGTAAAAAAAAAAGAAAAAAGAAAAAAAAACCTTTTTTGGAAAACTTTGCTTAGGCATTACAGTACTGCTAATATAGAACAGGATCTTTGTCTAAATGATTAACCTTCCTTTTTGATTTTTACACAAAACTGAACAAGTTAAAGTAAGTAAAAGGATAAATAGGAATTTATGAGACTGACTGTTCACAAATCAAGGACATGAAATTAAACATTTTTCTCTTAACTTTTATTTAAAAAAGATGTATACATCTTCAATTTCCTGTTATTATATGAGTACAGTTGTCAGAGGAAGATAGGGTAAATTGAAACAAAATATCCTTTCAACCCTCTCTATAATTTAACACGTGTTATTAAGTTAATTTCATATTTTAGACAGTTATAAATCCTTAATGATTAAATACTTTTTGGATTGGCTATCTTTATCATGCATGGGAATACTGTCTGATGAGTTATATCTTATCTGACATTACCAGTAAAGACCTAGAAGGTGAATTAATGGTGAGAATGCTACATCACACTTTTGGTACTTTTTTTGAATGCCAGAAGTAAACTTTATCTTATTCATATATTACATTTTAATACCTTCATCACCATGCTTATGATCTCTGATTTTAATGCTTTAAATAAAGGGTAATTTTATTTTACAAAAAGAGAAAAAAGTGACTAAGTGACTCATTTTTATTTATATCAAATTAAATAATGCATTACACAGTTCAGTAGTTTATGTGCTTGCTTCCATTAATCCCTGTCGTATTATGTACATGTTAATCAAGATAAGACTGGTATTCAAGTATTAATCACCACAGTGATCTTGGCAGGTGAGATATAGTTTCCAGCCTGTGAGAAAAATGTTTTAGCTTCGGTTCTAATCTGCTGGTCCAATAGGGAAACTCAGTGGCCAGTAAAAGAACAAATTTACAGAACTTTACTGACCAGTGCAGTTTCATTGTTGTTGTCATTTTTTATAGAGCCAGTGTTTACCTGGCAGACTATGTTTAAACTTGGACCCATCATTTGCCCAAGGTTTATATAAGACCCGGAAGTTCCATTGTGTCCTGTAGTTATTTAGTGCAGGTGAGACAGTTGACCTCAGCAGAGTTATGACGTCACAGACAAGGTGATCAATCAATCAATCTATTGTCACTGGTCTAGACCATATTTTAATTACAACATGTCAAGCAAAGTTTTTTTTTTGTAATATTTCACCTTTCATCATTTAGATTAAAACACTTCATTTAGAATCAAGAAAATAGTTTTCAGATTTTAACATCATGGGTTTAAAAAATAAAATGGGGCGTGTGAGATAATGTTAAATCCTATTGCCAGAGTTGCTTGATGAATTATTATAGATAACACTGTTTGTTTTGTGACTTGGGTTGTTATGTGGGCCAGCATTAAGTTGCCTGAGGCACATTCTATGGACTGTAGGTGCAGGTTTTTTAGATGTCGAAACAGTAATTGATCAAAATTATTCCAGTTCCAGAGGCACTGACCTTAGTGCAGAGGCAAGTCTCTTTTATTTAAGTACAGTACCATGTTATAATTAATTAGAGTGCGTTATCTACCCTAACAATTTTGTTGCCATTAATCACCTGTTGGCAGCTAGGCTGGATATTTAACCCTAGCTGTAGTCAAAAACAGGTGAGGCAGGGACCCTATAGCTTATTAGTACATGCTGTGGATGTTGCTTATCATTCAGTCTAGATTTCTTTATAGAAAATAGGTGAATGGATATAGAGATAAAATGTTTTACTTTAAAAAAATTTACTTAAGTGTTCAGATTAAGAACTTCATCATACAATTATATTAACTGATTAGATAATACAGTTTTTTGTCTCTTTAATTTAAACCTAAAACCCTAAATGCCTCTCTGGAAGAAAAAGATATGTGCATACAGATGACTGAAACACAGCTAACGAAAACTTTCTCATTTTCCTACAAAGGCGGGAGTGAACTTCTACAGGAGAAGGAAGAGAGGAGCATCTGAGTTCCTAACCTGAGTGGAATGTGTTCAGTTCAACATCAAACAGAGTCTCTTGTCCTGGAGAAAACTGTAGAACATAAAGATTGCATGTGAATTCTTTCTACTGTTGACTTCACTACCTGTGTGGAAGCTGTGTAACATACTCTAACATCATGGCACATTACTATGAGGATGGGAGGAGAAGAGGACATGATATACCCATGCATGCAGGTAGGTCTTTGCTGAAAATTAAGGCTGATGCGTGGGGTGTTGATATATACAAGTATCCACTTGTATTTCATACTGAACATGATCATGTTGCTAGAAACCGTTGACAATTAGCAGTGTTGAGATCAACTTATATGGATGCGTATCCATAACTTGTGACTGTTTTAATAGTACAAACATTTATAAATATTTTGCATACTCGTCCAAGGTTGATAAATTTCTGGGCTTGTGCTTTTTTGTCAGTTGTTTTGTTCATCTGTTTTATTTGTTATTAACATGATAAATCTTGCCATTTTTCCTGTGTGTTTAAATTGTGTTTTATTCATGATGATAATTCTAAGAGCAGTTTGATGTACTGAGTGTATTTTTTTTTTTTCACTGTCAGGTAATTATTTCCTTTAAACGGGTGTTTTAGGTAACACCCTTGCATGATTCAGATAAAGTGCACACCATCTTTATGTAAAATAAGTCTGTGTTTGTCTTTTTTGAACTGAAGAGATGTTATTTCTGTGCTGTCATGACAGGTGACGTGGCTTTGTTCAACAGATCTCAAAGCCATGTTACTACTAGTAGGTAATACAACACAGCCAGGTAAATACAGGTGTGCTTGCAACCACTCCAGGTAATATAAGATTCCTGGAAAGTTAACTGTTGAAGCTGGCCAGTTAATCACTTCTTAGTGATCTGTGAAATGTACAGCAAGTGGCATTTAAGCATTATGATAGCTGTTTGAGTGCTTCCAATATAGTTCTGATGACAGATTTATTGATTACTTTCTACGGAAATGCTGTTTGTGTTGTAATGTTTTTCTCTGAGTATGATATATTTTTGTTTTACTACCTGATTGTTTCTTAATTGATCTGGGGTTGAATTTCTATATCATTTTACTTGTGTGTTTGATAAGAAATAATGTGTAGGCATGAGTTCAGTTATATCAGCCACAGGGGTGTGCAGAAAATAACAATGTACAGTACATAGCTTTTACTCATCAGTGTGCTTAGAACATTAGTCTACCATATGTTTAATGAAGCCTTGTAGAATTGATTGCCTTGATATTGTTGAATTGCCAAGTTGCCATTCTGTGGTGAAATATTTGCATTTAATGGGAAAGATGTCAGTACCGCAGGTGAAAGGCTATGCAAAATTCTATTTACTAGTTTGTTTATATCACTTGGAACCAACTATAATACATAAGAAAGACTTTATACTATTTAAAACATTTTCTAAATGTAATTAATAAGAAAAAAATTCACTGGCTTTGTAGACAAAATATATCCTAAGTTTTTTTCCTCAATTTAGAGATGTTTTACTTTGGGTGAGTAAATGTGAGATATTTTCAAATTTGTTAGCTTTTGGTGATTTATAATTCATTTGTAAAAAGAAAATTGCTCATCCAGACAAAAGATATCCAAGAAAGTCATTGTCCCACCTGTTACAAACAATTAAAAACACCTGTTGTTCTGCTAATTAATTCATCTTGCAGGTTGCATACATGTAAGCCTATTATCATGTCTGCTGTTGGGTGGCTATATTTTATTGTTGTGATCCATCTGTGGCAAAGATGTTCCAACCTACTGGGCCTTCAGGACACTTTTGTCTAAGAATTCGCATGTATTGGCCCAAAGCAGAAACAGAGGCTGGCCACTAAAGAAATGAATTTTTTGTCTGTTTTTCTGGCACATCCTCAATTTTGCTGGTATGAGCTGCAGCAGTGTCAAAAATGCAGACTTGATGGTCTCTTCATTTCTTTATTGAGAAAAGTTTATGGAAAACAGAGAAAAGTTTATGAAAATATGTGATAAGCTTTGCACATAAATGTCATTCTGGCCCATTTATTACTCCTGCCAAATAGCCTACTTACAAAAAAAAAAAAAATTACAAGGCTGATTTTTTAAAATAACGTCACAGTATCTTTTGTTTTGTTTAACAAGAGTGAATTATCTCTATAGCCATTGTAGGTTGGGTTAGTGAAAGTCTAGGAAGCTTCCCAGCTTCCTGCTTTGGACCAACAGAAATAATTATTTGTCAGGAGTATTTTATACACAACTCAGTCAGCTACACAATAGGAAGTGCAATGTATTAGGACCCGGTGTAGGTTTTGTGTAACGAGTATATTAAATCACTTGGGACATAATGGGCTGGAGTGTAAATATGAGATGTGTCAGGTAAACTGTGATGCTGGAATGGAAGGCCAAGCATGAGTTCAGCAGGCTGTAGAAACATTTATGCACTAGAAACCATTGTAAAATGGCAGGGAAGGGGTTACCATACATTGAACTCCATAAAGGTATGCTATGTCTTAGGAAGTTCTGTCTGTGTCCTCTCCCTGTAAATGTCCATGCTGTGTTAGCATTTTGACAGACAGTACACTTTATTCTAAGCATTGATCAATATTTTACACTAAATTGATCAATAAAACTGAACTTCTGTCTACACATGGAGAAAGCTGGTCATTGTCAGCTTAGTGTTATTTCTGTGTTGAATAATATGCAAAAACATCAATTATGCAACTTTGGTTTATATTATAAAATGTGTAGCAAGATCGGATAAATGAACCAAGCTTGGGGTTATATTATTTTGATACTCATTATGCTTCATGTTTTAACCTTCATAATATTAAATCTAGGTGCTCACTACTCTGTCTTTGCACTCTGTTGTAAGGCTATGTGAACTTTAAACTAGCTGGGAGATTCAAGATTCAGTTCAGTTGACACGAAATTACCAGTATATGCATGTCATATGGATGAGATATCCAAATAAAGTGATTTTGAAGCCAACAAAATGCTGTAAATTGCTTTGTTGTTTCAATTACGAATATTTTTATATTTTAATATGTTTTAAAAAACATGTATGGTAGCTCAGAATTTGAAACACAGGATATAATCAAACTGGCTTGAGTCTATTGTATTGACACAGTTTTTTCCTTATCTATGTAGTATTGGGTTTAGTTCACAGCATCTGTGTGTTGAAGTGTATGCCTCTATACATTAGTGCCCTACATAGTTATAGATCCATATCATTCTGCTGATTTTCATGGTTGAATGTACTAGTATTATTTAGAGGGGATGGAGAAGAATGGAAATAAAACTGGCAAAGAATGCAAGATTTCTTTTTAGATGTCAAAAATGAACATTTCTTATAAAGTATTTGCTCAATATTTATAGATATTTACTGAAGTTAACTTTTATGGACCATAAAGGGAATGCACCAGCAAAATGATTATGATTGTCTCATATTACAGTCTATGATATTGTGGTATGCAATTTTAAAATTTTAATGACGGGAGAATGTTTGGTAATGTCTGTATAAATTAACTCTGATCCTTTTACCCTGTAAAAGCTGTGACTTATTATGCATGTTCTAACACATTTCTTTTGGAAGTAATTTCACTTATAAATTTAGGCTTAGATTTGTGATAAAAAAGGTTAGAGTTTGAAAATTCTAGATAAAAGTTACAAAACTGTCCAGAGTTATCAAAGATTAACATTGTTATTTATATTTCTCAAAGTTTATTTACCAGCTTTTATTTATTTCATTTCATTTTTTTCTTTTTGTTCATCTTTAGTGAATTCCTCACACTATTATGATCACAATGTACATCCAAGTCAAGTCACTCTGGATGTGCCGGAGAGTTATCGCCCTGGCAGGAGGGGGTCTGATGCCCCTAGCTATAAGTCTTCAGATGATGGCATGGAGAGAGAGAGAGAAGAAGATATGGAGAGACAGAGGGAACTATTGATGAACTTACCTAGTGCACAACTAAGTCGTAAGTGTAACAATTTTGTATCTCAGGTTTGTCCTCTCTGTACTGCAAAGTTAATGTGAAAACTGTTGTAAAATGAAAATATTGCTGTTAATAAGGTGATTAGGAGGTGATCAGAATTTTAGTGATAAATGGATGGACAAAAAGAAAATAATTTAGTCAGAAGATAGAGAAGTATATTTTAGTTGAGAAAACTCAGAAACGAAGATTAATGTTTCAGAGCCAAAATATGGAAAGCATGGAATTATTAATGATTCAGATTTTTTTTTTTTATAACTAGGAACCAGCATATGATTTGCAAACTCTTAAATTGCTTATAGGTCACTTCAAGTGTTATTTGACATGATTTGAAAATTAGCTATGTTAGTTATGTTATTTTTGGTTTGTTTATAACTACTAGTACACATATACTTGTAGTATTGAGGAGTGTAGCAGTGTAATTCAGTCAGGTTAGATATTTATGTCAACCACATGTCATTGTAATTTCCTGTGACATTTGAAGCTATATTGGTACTTAAATAATAACCAAGATAATAGGCCGAGCCTTGTCTGTAGAAATATTAAACGACATTTGCCAGCATTCATAACTTGTCAGAGGGATTTGCTATTGTGGCATTTTTAGACCAAATGATGGAGGGGTACAAGGGCCACAGAACTCTGCGCAGAAAATCTTCTATGCGCCATCGTAAAAGGAGCCACCACATTCATCATGGAACGGTGCGTATGCATGGCAGCAACGTAGCACAAGAACTGGTGAGGGAGATAGAAAACAGTCCAGACTACATGGACGGTGATATGGACGAGGTGGAGGTCACAGAGCACCTCAGAGGGATGACCAGTGCTACCCTGGCCACTAAGAGACAAGTCAGGTAACAGAATTATAATGTTTTAACACCAATAAACAATGGACATGGAAAGAAAAGTTTGGTGTGATAAGTTTAACATTATATTGATAAATTATATGCTTAAGCCTTGTGACTCAGAGATTATTAGTTATGAAAATGATGATTTCTGCTGTGGCACGTAAATGCAGGGGCGGGTCCAGGATCATTTGAAGGGGGGTCTGGTTTTTAGGCCATGGATGCATAGCCAACCCTTGGGAACTCCGCAAAGCCAAATTCAAGTGTCAGAAGAGATGAAAAAATGTCTGGGAATGCAAATTTATATTGCACATTATTAAGATACTTTTCGCTCAGTTAAGAATATGATTTTTTTATCACTGTATGCCTTTGCTTTCTGTTAATTGCAAGTCAGGTACTCTAAAAGTTTATTGTTTTTCATTTTTGGAAAATAACATTAAGTAATGATAAAAAAAAATATTATTTGCACTCAATATACAAGTTAACTCATTACATAGTGTGACAGGTATGATAATTTGAACTTACTATTGCATTTCATCTAGGCAAGATATTCAGAGGTCATCAGAAAAAAGAGTGGCCACACAAGGGGTTGGAGCATATAAAAGATTCAAATACAATTTGTCCATAGTAAGTGCTCAGTGGAAAAGTTAACTGCATCTCAGTTATCATATTTTATTTGAAATGTAAGAAGTAGATTTAACCTATGTGCCATGGAAAATATTAACTTGAAATATGGGTTAATATGAAATGTTTTTTTTAATTTATTATTCTTATTATTTTTTTAAAAAGAAATTGCAAAAATATATTCAAAGTCTATATTATGAGTAAATTGATTTAACAGCATTACTTATATTACTATTGCTTTCATTTGTTATATAACTACCTAGTATGCTTCCTTCTAGCAATACAGTCACTTCAAACAGAAACTTGCTGACATCAGGTATTCCTTAAGGTTCTGGCATGGGCACCTGAAGAAGATAGAGGGTCATTTTGGAACCGGTGTCACGTCATACTTCAGGTTCCTCAAGTGGCTGTTTATCATCAACATCCCTGTGTTCCTGTTATCCTTCTTTTTCATTGTACTACCTGAGATGCTTTTCAGGTAAAAAATAATCCTCACATATTGTAGCTTATTCTTGTGCATTGTGTAAAATTACTTTTTGTTTTCATTTACTTGTTGACTAATTTTGAAGTTTTACTAAGGTGTAATTGACTTAATTTAATATATGATTGCTCAATGCACAAAATAACAATATATAGATTTTGTCTTCTTTTCTTTTAAAGCATAGAGCAGGGGACCATACTGCCAAATGATCACTTTTAATGTAACAGACTTACTGACTGGAGGGGTAAGTCTTGCATCAAAAACATTGCATCAAAATATATCCATCAACTTGCTGGTGATACAGCAAAATTAACTTTGCCTTCTTTAGATTTGGTGTCTGTATGATCTGCAGTACATTTTGATGAGATATATTGTTTGGAGGCTCATTTTACTCTGTCTTGTAAGTCATATTCTTTGCTGTCATTTTGAACAGCGGACAATGTGAAATTTGAATGGGAATTTTTTTATCCAGGGCTGGCTGAGTGAAACTTTGCTGTATTATGGATTTTACACAAATGAGAGCATTGAACTCCACCTCAGCAAAGGTCACTACTACAACATGCAGCATGCTTACCTCTTCACTTCTGCTGCTTATTACATCTGCAGTCTAATTCTTGTCATGATTAGGTAAGTTTACCCTTGATTGTTTTGATAACTTAAAGTTTTCCCTTCATTTTTGTGATGACATATAAGTTTTCCCATGATTCTTGTAATGATCAGGTACAAAGTTTTTCATTGATTCTTGCCATGACTGGGTATTTTTCCATTTATTTTTGCCATAGTTGTAGGAAGGTATCACTATATGTTCATTTCATTTCAGTACATGCATTGTATGATGATTGAAAATGCATGTATATTTTAACAAAAATGGATCACATAGCATGAAATAGTAATAATAATAATAATGTTCATTTGCAACTGACAGTTGGATGAACAATAATATAAATTGTTAAATGCGCTAAATTAGAAAATAATTAATGTAATTGTTAATTTACAGTGTTGAGATAAAATAAAACGTAAAAAATGCCTTAATATTAAGATTCATTTAAAAATCACTATAAGTTAGGTCATTTTTTAAAGAATTCCGTGCCCATGTTGTGAATGAATTCAAGAACCAGAAGTTGAGTTTATTTCTCTTTGTTTCTAGCCTTTCTAAGTCATACAAGATAAACTACATCCAGGGTAGTGGTGAATTCAGCTTTTACTATGTGAGCAAAGTGTTCTGTGGCTGGGACTATGGGATCACTGATAAAGATGCAGGAAATCTCAAGCATAAAGCACTATACAATGAACTTCAGGTGAGGTATTTATGCCAATCATCTGCTTCTGATTGAATAGAAATGCAATTTACATGATGTAAACTGTTTCAAGCTCATTTGTAACCATTAATATTAATGCTACACTTTGCCAATATGCTGAAAACATATTTCACCTCATCGGTTACTTATAATTTTACAACCATCCGTCTTCTGTGGACATGTGGTCATTTTGACATAATAGTGAAAGTTATTTTCATATAAATAATTGTTTTGAATTTACATATAAATTTTTAGGAGTATCTAGCAGGCTATCATGAGGAGAAAAATCTGACATGTCAGCAGCGGTGTGGCTGGTTCAGCCTGCGGGTCTTCACCAACCTAATAGTGCTGGGGATGATAGGGGGTGCTGGCTATGTAATATGGTACATTTCAGAGACGCAGTCTGTCCGGGTAGGTGCTTGTGATTTGTGGAGAGAGTAGATGGTTGGATGTCTGTGTTTAACTAAATACAAATGTTCTGTTGGGGTCTGGCTTACTGCATTATTGCAGACAGGCCTACAGTTTTTCAAAATTTAAGGGACCTTTTTCTAAGACTACTTATGGTATATACTCCCCTGTTTTACTTTGTGTATAAAATGTTTAAAGAAAATCATTACATTCATTTCAGACAAATATCCCTGTGCTGAGCTCTCTTGCCATGCCTCTTTGTGTGTCTTCAATCAACTTGCTCTTCCCCTTTGCCTTCTCTGTCATTAGCTCATTTGAGAGGTACAGCAAACCCAAGTATGAACTCTACATCACTATGGCAAGGTGAGATTTATTCTTGAGTAACCCAAATGATATATGGTTTGTTTGTCTGGGGTTGGCTTGGTTCATGTTTGGTGTGTTAGAACTCATTCAACAGAATCAAACTTATATACAGATCAGTTAGTGTAACAATTGAGATATTGCCTTTAAATATTTTATTTAATACATGCAAGAACATTTACAATATGATTGATATATGTTGAAGGAGTGAACTCTGTACTCTCACAATTTCATTTGATATGAACTGTTTGATTAATTAAAGTTTATCTTTGAAAAAGAGTGATCACAAATGCACAATGTTAATGAAATGCATGTATGACTAATTCTGTTGAACAGGACAATCCTACTGAAAGGCACCACCCTGGCAGTGTTGATCTATTTCTGGTTCAATGATGTGGATTGCAACTTAAATTCAGATGAAAAACAATCAAAGAGTCACACATGTGAACAGGTGAGGACATTCCACCTTTATTATTCTGTGCTAGATAAAGCATTATTTTGTCTCTTCTCTAGGCCTATTGAATATAAAATCCCATCTTAGCATTGTTGAAACTCTTCAATATGCAACTAATTGACAGATTGAAATCTTTTGATTAATTGTTTTACAACGTGAGATTTGGAAGTAGAAAAGATGGAAGGAAAAGGGCAGCATTACATATGTTTTGATTGCTTCAGGCTCCAGTCTTTCTCCTCACATTGTCAGTAGGTATCATACCAAGCAGTGAATGCATAGTCAAGCTTGGGTCATTTGTATATGGTTATAAGGGATTATTATATTTATGAAACCCTGGGAGACCTGTTTAAAATGTGTCATATTTATAGGATCATGTTACGGGCAGTAGACACCTTGCATGTTGTTTTAATTGAGGTGATACAACGTGGTGATAGGTGATGCTGGTTTTTACTGATGGTATGCATGGATGATATTTATGATTTATAATATGATTTTTCATTAGTGGAAAAGGAATATAACTATTGACTCGGAGGTAAAATTGATTATACTTAGCTGGGAAAATATTGAGATTTTGATCTTTGAATATTGAGTTCACATGACACATTCATGGTTATTTACTGACAGGTTTAATATTGAATCTCCATTATTTTTATTGTTGCATAGTTAATTTATGAAACTATTGCAGTTAATATCTTTGATAGATAACAGAGTTTTTCCATTAACAATTCACAGTATTTAATTACAACTTTTTGCTTTACTAATAGAGGTGGTTGAGAGAAATAAGGGCCATTTGACAATCCTGGGAAGAAACAACCTTAATGAGTTACTGTGTTAGTTATTTAAGTTAAGATAATGCATGTAATTTAAATTATCATCATATAGGAAAAAGGATGGTTTTGTCATGGTAACAAGTCATATGATAAACTTAATTACATAGATACATAATTTCTAACCATTACTAACATTTCATATTTTCTCTTAGTAATATTATTTCATTCAACTGCACTAACAATTGTAAAAATCTTTTAATATGAGTAAAAGTATGAAATATGTAATACTCTGAGAGTGATTTCTTCTCTGTGTACTCTCCCTTCATAAAATATTTCTACTATGAAACTCATTTGTGTACAATTCTAATAAAATTATTCATTGCTCTCTGCCTTTTTTTTAAAGTTTTGTCTTGATTTAATACTTGTACATATAACATGCCCCTTGCTCGTCTTTTAAACTAACACTTGAAAAATTATTTTGATAATTTAGTTTAAATAATTTAATATTTGGATTTCTACAATGCAGGTCCATTGTTTTTATTTTCAGTGTTGGGAGACATTTATGGGAGAACAAATCTACATGCTTGTGTTGGTGGACTTTGTCTTTGTACTCTTGATCACTTTCTTTTCTGAGTTCATCAGAAGGTAATGTTCAACAGAATGTCTTTAATTCTTTTTTTTTTTTTTTGTAACCATAAAATGATTGTCAAGTAAAAGTGTAGACTGTATTTGCAGATGATAATTTGCAGATGATTGTATTTTCATTTTTTTTATTAAGTTTTATTAATCCCTTTTTTTATTAAGTTGATCTTGACATTTATTTATTATTTATTTTTGGAATTATGTACTCTATTTATATATATATAATAGAAGTTTTCAAAGTGAAACAATAGCCAGCTTTATCCATTTTACATTACATCTGCAAATTGTTCCAGTCTATTTTCTGTTTGGATCATTTCAAATTCCTGCAAAGCAGTATATTGACCATTCATGTGTTTTAAGATTTCTTATAACTTAGATATTTCACCTGCTTCCAGAATCATGTCCCAGTTTTGCTGCAAGTCACTAGGGCATCCCGAGTTCAACATTGGGAGAAATACCCTGAATCTGATCTACTCTCAGGCTCTGGTCTGGTATGTGTGCTCCAGGGCAAACTGCAACATCAATGATGGTGTAATAATAATAATAATAATAATAATAATAATAATAATAATAATAATAATAATAATAATAATAAACCACATTCCATGTTCATTTAACACTGTGTACAATATAGAAAGTAAAATTGAACATCCTTAAGATGTGATTTTTATGCACCTGTGAAAAGGGAATTAATATCAAGTATATTAAAGAAATATCACAGAATTTCATTTTGTTATTTCCTGTTGTTTCATTACAAACTAGATGAATAAATATTCAAGTTTATGACCAAAAAGTTGAAGAAAACAAAGACTTAAAGCCTTTTTTCCAGCTCACCAAGTGATTAATATGTGTTCTTTTTGGATTTGTGCATATTAATTGAGTTGTTTAAAAACTATTAGTAGTAATTTGTGTGGCTTATAGGGAATGTGCACAGCTGTGCTCTCACTTGTTATCTTTAACAGTGTAGCAAAATAAACTTGCCTCTGAAATATTTTTATATTTTCCCATGCATATTTTCAGGCTTGGCTCCTTTTACAGTCCCCTGTTGCCTGTGATCCAACTTATCAAGTTGTTTATAACATTTTATGTCAAAAGAGTAAGTTCTTTGAGAATTGATGGTTACTGTAGTGAAAATAAATTTTGTTCAATTGAGCCTGATAAAACAAAATACAATACCATGTATACTTTAAGTAAGGATACCTATATATATTAACTTAGTATTTTTATTGTAAGTATTAATATTACAATTAATGTAGAGATATTTCAAAAGCACCAGCTCTGTGAGCAGTGGAAATCGGTTGCTTTGCTACAGTATATGCACGGGTATCTCAGCTGTGTCTAACTTATGTCCAGATAGTTCTTTTATACAGTTATATATGCAAAGTGGCTCTGTAAGATACAACTCATGCATGTTTTACTGTGCTCTATCCAGGTGAGTGTTATCCAGAACTGTGTCCCTTCCCTTAAACCCTGGAGAGCTGCCAGAGCACACACCACCTTCCTCATCCTGCTGCTGCTGGCCTTCTTTGTGACTGTAGTGGCAGTAGTATACAGTATTGTGTTGTGAGTATTGGCTCAAAATTGTGCTGTTTCACTGTTATATCAGTATTGTGTTGAAGGTATCATTATTAGCTGAATATTGTCTTGGATCACTGCTACTGTATATCTGTATTGTATAGTATCACTGTTATATCAGTATTGAGTTGTAAGTATCACTCTTATATCAGTATTGCATCATAACAATCACTGCTATCTTTGGCTGTATTCCCAGGGCTTTTAGATCGATCTATCCCCACGGGTAGTCTCACTATATTACTGTCAGATAATCCGGCTTAAATGTCTGTCCGGCCTACTACAAGCTGTAAGGGGGTAATTAACTTTTGTGTCCGCACGGCTGACAGCTATTTAGCGTGAACCCCCAGGGAGTTAGGTCGATCTAATCTCTGGAAATGGGGTCTTAGTAACATGCAGAAATGTCATGTATTACTATTGCCACCCTGTATGTAAATTTTGTCATTGTAATACGTGTTGAATACAGTATTGTATATAGCATTGTGATATGAGTGGATTGCATTATTGTATTTTGAACATCACTGCTTTCTTACTGATATACAGTATTGTATTTCACTTGTCACTGTTGTGCAAGTTACATATAGTATTGTAATGCTTTCAATTTAGAGTGTATCTTACATAACTGTTGTACCTTTTTGAGTGCAAAATGTTTGCATACACTTAAAAGTAGTAAACCTGACTGAATGATCAGCACTTAAGTATATTCTCCTGCAAAACCAACATGACAGTCACTTTTAATTAGATTGTTTTATTCAGCAACTGTCATATTTCCTGATCAGATGCACAGCATCAAGTTTTGAATTTGATAAATCCACAGAGACTGCAAGCAAAATTAACTGCAGACCATTATAAATATTTGAATCAATATATAATACATATTTACAAATTCTATTCTTTTTATTACAATCTCAGTATCAAACCCTCTGAAACATGTGGGCCATATCGAGGTATGAATGAATCATATGAAGTGGTAACTGAGATGATAACTTCTTGGCAGGATGAGGTGAGAGGACTTGGGGATGCCATTGCATTTATCACTTCTCCAGGCTTTGTAGCAGGAATTATCACTGTTCTTTCGTGAGTATGGCCATTTAAATCATTTTATTACCACTGTTAAGACAAATCAATGTCATCAGTGAATGGTTAGGATTTATGGCAGACATTAATACACTGTAAAGTGTGGTCATTATCATTGTGGTTATTGTGGACATTTATTCAGTCTATTTCTGATGGAGTTAGGTGATGAAAATTGTATCTGAATGCCTTGGGAGTTTTGGAGAATGTTACAATGTAACACTTACAAAATTACAGCATTTGATTTTCTTCCCAGAATTTTTGTGTACTACACACATGAGGTGACAGTTGGTCACAAGGCAATGGTGGAACTTATGAAAAGACAACTTCAGATGGTAATTTATTTTTGATTTATCAAGAAATTTATTAGCAAAAGTGTTTTTTTCACCAAAATGATTACAAGCTAGTTTTTCCTATTAATAAGCAGTAAATGACTCATTTGTGCCTAAATTAAAACAGTGCAGCAGAACTAGCAGTTTTAAGACAAAGCAGTACTTCAGATCAAGCATTTTAATAAATAATGGCAAGTTTTTTGGCACTGATTAGATTTAAGCAAGGTAAAAAAGCTTAAGGATGGGTTTTGAATTTCACAGTTCAATTAGCACATAAAAGGTGCCAATTTCATTTTCAGCATTTTGATTTATCTATATTAATGAATGCAGTACATTAAATCCAATATCTTGCTCTGTTCGTTTATCTTTTTCAATTGATTTTAAAGGTTAAAATCATTGTTTTCTCCATCATCAGGAGGGCAGGGACAAGGTGTTCCTGCTGAAGATGCTTCAAGATGTCAACAAGAAGGCACCAGCAGCCGAGCAGGTGAACAGAAGAGTTCAGACACTTCACCAAGATCTGGATAATTCCGGTGTGGGTCTTCCCATGTCTCCAGGTATACTGCTGTTAACCACCGGTACTCCTTCACTGTCTGACAGAATTTTGAAATGATTTGCTTATATCTGCTGTATATATAGATCTTTGTTGTTTGAACTTTTTTATATGAATTTATATGAGGGGAAAATATTTTCTTTTGACTCTCATTTGTGATTATCACTTATTAAGAACAAGAAGTTGATCTTACTGGTGCTTTCTTTGTCAGGAGGAAGAACATTTGCCAAAGTAGAGTCTGCTGCCAAAGATGCAAAGAAAATGGATTCTCCAGCTATGAACAAAAAGGGCAAAAAGTACCTTGCAACCCAAGAGCAGGAAGATGTAGGTTCAGGGGCTGATAGCCCCAGTAGGCGACGTAAAGATATCATGTCTGGCCCTGCACAGGGCACACCCCCTGAGTCCCGACATGGTCAGCGCCCTTATACTGAACTGTGGGTGCCTGGGTCATCATCTAACAACAACGCCACTCCCTCCAAGGCTGGTCCTGACAGGAGGGAAGAGATGTTTAACCCCACCTATGAGGAACGCTCTCCCAGAAATGAAAGGAAGAATGACCCTGATTCCAGATACAGGCAAGATCCAGTCAGAGGAGGATCACATCAGAGCATGGAACCCAGGGGGGTGGGGCATGACCCCAGAGGTATGGGACATGATCCCCAAGGGATGAGGCCACACCCTGGACAGGACCCCAGGGGAATGGAACCTTATCCAGGACAGGACCCCAGAGGAATGGGAATGCACCCTGGACAGGACAACAGAGGAATGGGACCATACCCTGGACAGGACCCAAGAGGAGTGGGAATGCACCCTGGACAAGACCCAAGAGGATTGGGAATGCACCCTGGACAGGACCCCAGGGGAATGGCACCTTACCCTGGACAGGACCCCAGAGGAATGGGAATGCACCCTGGACAGGACCCCAGAGGAATGGGACCATATCCTGGACAGGACCCCAGAGGAATGGGACCACACCCTGGACAGGACCCTAGGGGAATGGGACCATACCCTGGACAGGACCCCAGGGGAATGGGACCTTACCCTGGGCAGGACCCTAGGGGGATGGAACCATACCCTGGGCAGGACCCCAGGGGCATGGGGCCTCTTCCAGGACATGGCCAGAGAAGGAAAAGCAAAGACAATGCTGGGAAGAAAAACAAGAGAAAATGAAAGTTCAGAATTACATAGGTGCACTATAGACTTATGCAAGAATTCCAAATATATGCTAAAATGCACTCATTCTAATGTATTGGTTGTGTATCCAAAAATATATACACTTAAGTCTTAATAAACCTACATATCTGTGGGAGCATTCATGATGGTAAAATAATAGAAGCTTTAAAGTAAAGCTTGACATGCAGCATGTGTGCAGAAATTAATTATACCAACAAGGGCTGAAATACAAATATGTGATTTGATACGTACTTTTGAATTATGCCAAATCCATGAAGCTGAGAAGTTTTATTCCCAGTGAATTATTAGAAAATGTTTTGTTGACTCATGAGTACTAATTCACCTGGCAAAAAATATAATTTTAATGCAGATTTGTTAAATGAAGTGCCTTAGTATTTTAATAAAAAGTAATAAATAATTAACAAACTAGTTTTTAACTAAATGTCAGCCATTTAAATATCATATGTGCAACAATAGCAGAAATAAATGCGCTTAGGTGTTTGTTTTTAATGACAGACAGGTGTTTTTATAATCTTATTAATCATTATAATTTTTCGTGATTAAAACTATTTAAACATTGATTTAAGATGCATTTTAATACCTCTGTCTGAAACATTATTTGTAAATATGAATTCCAGGAGTAACTGAATTGGATGCTTTAACTTGGGTATTCATACATGGAAATGTAAATTCCATATGATAAGTAGCTAATGTGAGTTGGCGTTTATTCCTCGAATAATGGAAGTTAGTGGTTTGTTCCTCCAATACAGTTGCCTTCCGTACAGACTTATTTCAGTTAATCATGTAGCCAAAATACTATATATTTTCACATTTTATTTTCTATTTTGTTAAATTTAGATTCAAACTTAAATACCAAAACTTGGTAGGTTCAAGTAGAGAGAGAACTGTGTTATCATTGGACAATCAAAACTACAACCAAATTGGTCATTATGTACATATCAATTATGTTATGGTTGTGTGGAATTAATGTGAAAAGTAACATTGTTTTTGTGATATCAACATTAATTTATGTTCGTAAATGTTCAATTTTTAGTATTTTAGAAACTGTCAATACACCATATGTGACAGTGGATGTCTTCCAAAGTTACAATCCTTGCAGCAGTGGCTGTCTCTCAGGCTAATATAAATCATTTGTGATCTAAATACTAATGCAACAAAACTGGTACATGACTAATAATAAGGCAAGCAGAAGTGCATTAAGAATATTCTAGCATTCCTTTATTGTGGGAGATCTCTGGATTACCATCACATTATGTGATGGAATGATTTCAATGCCCACTTGACAACTTGTATGTACAAATATAGAGCTGTTGGTTTCACTATTTATCTATCATTTTCTTCCAAATTATTTTGTCATTACATTAATATTAAATATATTTTGAGAATCCAGATGTACTAATCCAGGCTCTGGCAGGGAACTGCTGATGTTGGTTGTGTTATCTTTACTCGTTCATATTTTGCAATCACACTTTCTTACCAAATAAAGTTAATAGTTAATTGTGAATATTGCTTTTGGTTTAATTTCTCTGAATCTGATCGCTGTCTAAGCCCATCGGCTGTTTCACAATCAGGGTGAACAATTAAATGTGGTTAATGTTACAAGTGTCTGATAAATTAGCAATTTATGATTGGAGATTGCTGATAGACTAATATCAAAGACACTGTTCATAGGAGCAAAATAAAAAAAGAATTATAATAATCGGATTACTATTTACAAAAATATAGCCAATTACGTGTTCAAAAAGTACCTATTTTTAGCTGTTACGGTGGGTCATTTGCAATTAAGGTCATATAGATGATGCACTAGCTCTTTATGTCAATGATTTATGGTGAATATGATATTGGTATATAATTCCCACAACATTGTCTTCTCTTCTAGCAGGTACATCCAAAGATATGTTCTGAGAAAAAAAATATTTTAACCATTTTGCAGAAACGGGCTTTGATACACGTTTTACTTATTTTTGTTAATGCAATGAAAAACATATTTGATAAGTCCAAATATTACTTTGAAATCACCTACATGATGATAAGATGAATTTACCATGNCAGTGTGGGTCTTCCCATGTCTCCAGGTATACTGCTGTTAACCACCGGTACCCCTTCATTGTCTGACAGAATTTTGAAATGATTTGCTTATATCTGCTGTATATATATAGATCTTTGTTGTTTGAATTTCAATACAAACACTTTTTTATATGAATTTATATGAGGGAAAATATTTTCTTTTGACTCTCATTTGTGATTATCACTTATTAAGAACAAGAAGTTAATCTTACTGGTGCTTTCTTTGTCAGGAGGAAGAACATTTGCCAAAGTAGAGTCTGCTGCCAAAGGTGCGAAGAAAATGGATTCTCCAGCTATGAACAAAAAGGGCAAAAAGTACCTTGCAACCAAAGAGCAGGAAGATGTAGGTTCAGGGGCTGATAGCCCCAGTAGGCGACGTAAAGACATCATGTCTGGCCCTGCACAGGGCACATCCCCTGAGTCCCGACATGGTCAGCGCCCTTATACTGAACTGTGGGTGCCTGGGTCATCATCTAACAACAACGCCACTCCCTCCAAGGCTGGTCCGGACAGGAGGGAAGAGATGTTTAACCCTTCCTATGAGGAACGCTCTCCCAGAAATGAAAGGAAGAATGACCCTGATTCCAGATACAGGCAAGATCCAGTCAGAGGAGGATCACATCAGAGCATGGAACCCAGGGGGGTGGGGCATGACCCCAGAGGTATGGGACATGATCCCCAAGGGATGAGGCCACAGCCTGGACAGGACCCCAGGGGAATGGAACCTTATCCTGGACAGGACCCCAGAGGAATGGGAATGCACCCTGGACAGGACCCCAGAGGAATGGGACCATACCCTGGACAGGACCCAAGAGGAGTGGGAATGCACCCTGGACAGGACCCCAGAGGAATGGGACCATACCCTGGACAGGACCCCAGGGGAATGGCACCTTACCCTGGACAGGACCCCAGAGGAATGGGAATGCACCCTGGACAGGACCCCAGAGGAATGGAACCATATCCTGGACAGGACCCCAGAGGAATGGGACCACACCCTGGACAGGACCCTAGGGGAATGGGACCATACCCTGGGCAGGACCCCAGGGGAATGGGACCGTACCCTGGGCAGGACCCTAGGGGGATGGAACCATACCCTGGGCAGGACCCAAGGGGCATGGGGCCTCTTCCAGGACATGGCCAGAGAAGGAAAAGCAAAGACAATGCTGGGAAGAAAAACAAGAGAAAATGAAAGTTCAGAATTACGAAGGTGCACTATAGACTTATGCAAGAATTCCAAATATATGCTAAAATGCACTCATTCTAATGTATTGGTTGTGTATCCAAAAATATATGCACTAAAGTCTTAATAAACCTACATATCTGTGGGAACATTCATGATGGTAAAATAATAGAAGCTTTAAAGTAAAGCTTGACATGCAGCATGTGTGCAGAAATTAATTATACCAACAAGGGCTGAAATGCGAATATGTGATTTGATACGTACTTTTGAATTATGCCAAATCCATGAAGCTGAGAAGTTTTATTCCCAGTAAATTATTAGAAAATATGTTTTGTTGACTCATGAGTACTAATTCACCTGGCAAAAAGTATAATTTTAATGCAGATTTGTTAAATGAAGTGCCTTAGTATTAAAAAGTAATAAATAAAAAGTAAAAAGTAGTAAAAAGTAATAAATAATTAACAAACTAGTTTTTAACTAAATGTCAGCCATTTAAATATCATACGTGCAACAATAGCTTAGGTGTTTGTTTTTAATGACAGACAGGTGTTTTTATAATCTTATTAATCATTAAAATTTTTCGTGATTAAAACTATTTTAACATTGAGTTCAGATGCATTTTAATACCTCTGTCTGAAACATTATTTGTAAATATGAATTCCAGGAGTAACTGAATTGGATGCTATAACTTGGGTATTCATACATGGAAATGTAAATTCCATATGATAAGTAGCTAATGTGAGTTGGCGTTTATTCCTCGAATAATGGAAGTTAGTGGTTTGTTCCTCCAATACAGTTGCCTTCCGTACAGACTTATTTCAGTTTATCATGTAGCCAAAATACTATGTATTTTCACATTTTATTTTCTATTTTGTTAAATTTAGATTCAAACTTAAATACCAAAACTTGGTAGGTTCAAGTATAGAGAGAACTGTGTTATCATTGGACAATCAAAACTGTACAACCAAATTGGTCATTATGTACATATCAATTATGTTATGGTTGTGTGGAATTAATGTGAAAAGTAACATTGTTTTTATGTACAGACACAGATGTGTCTGTACATATTGCCATCACCTGCGTCTGTCGTCGCCGTCGCCGATGCCGATGCCGGCGCCGTGCACTTTCCTTGTAAACACGATAAGTGGAGGGCAGTTTTACTTTTTGGCTTTATATTTACAGAGCTGATGAATATTCATAAAACGCAGGTCAAGTTCGAAAATCAGCATGATCGGGCCATTATTGTAGAAGTTATGCTGTTTTTTCACTTTTCAGCATATATGCAACCCTGTAAACACATTTTAAGGAAAACCGTTAGGCCTGTTGTCATGAAACTCACAGGAGTAATCAATCTTACTAAAACGCAGGTCAAGTTTGAAAATCAGCATGATCGGGCCACTATTTTAGTAGTTATGCTTTTTTTTTCACTTTTCAGCATATATGCAACCCTGTAAACACATTTTAAGGAAAACCGTTAGGCCTGTTGTCATGAAACTCACAG